ATGTATACCATGGAGTATCTATTCAGCTCCAAGAATAACAGTGATATAGCACATCTTATATTTTCCTGGTTAGAGCTAGAACCCATACTACTAGTGAAGTATCCAAGATGGGAAAAACAAGCACCCACATATACTCACCAGCAAACTGGTATTAACTGAGAAAGCCCTAAGTGGGACACATAGAGTAACAGTAATAGGGTATTGAACAGGTGGGAGGGGGGCGGGGGCGGTACTATATAGTAGAGACGGGGTCTCGCTCTTGCTCAGGCTGGTTTTGAACTCCTGACCTTGAGCAATCCGCCCGCCTCGGCCTCCCAAGAGCTAGGATTACAGGTAAAATTTCATTTTTTATATAAAATACTGACAAATAAAATCACAAGATGTATCTGAAAATGAGAACATCTGTAATGACCTGGTAACTGAGTGCCACTAATTCAGAGTACTCAGGTTCAATTATCTCACCAGGAAACTAAGTGCTCTAAATCTTACAGCTCATGTGTGGAAGAAAGCTTACACAGCATTATCAAACTAGACCATTAATTTGGAAAAAACTTTTCTTTTTCTTTCTTTTCTGAGACCTTGCTCTGTCATCCAGGCTGGAGTGCAGTGGTGAGGTCATAGCTCACTGTAGCCTTGAACTCCTGGGCTCAAGCAATCCTCCTATCTCAGCCTCGGGAGTAGCTGGGACTACAGGCACATACCACCACACTTAATTTTTAAATTATTATTATTATTATTTAAGTAGAGATAGGGATCTCACTATGTTGCCCAGGCTGGTCTTGAATTCCTAGCCCCAAGTCATCCTCCTGCCTCAGCCTCCCAAAGTGCTGGGATTACAGGGATTTGATGGAAACTTTTCTAAATTCTTAATAAAATATATTCAATCTTGCTAGAGAAAGGACAATTATCTTTCTAAGAAAATTATCTTATGTCTTATTGTTAATTGAGGTAATTAAAGTGTATGCAGCCAAAATATGTTAACTTTTATCAAATTGTGTTGGCAGTTTAAATGTTATGCTATTTTTTTTCTGTTTGTTTGTGGGTTTTGTCAGTTTTGTTTTGTTTTTAATAGAGAAAGGGTCTTGCTCTGTTGCCCAGGCTGGAGTGCAGTGGTGCCATTGTAGCTCATTGCAGCCTGGAACTCCTGGGCTCAAGCAATCCTCTTGCCTCAGCCTCCCAAGTGGCTGGGACTACACAGGTGTGCTACCATGCCCTGCTCACTTAAAAAAATTTTTAAAGACAGTGTCTCGCTTTTGCCCAGGCTGGTCTTGAACTCCCTGCCTCAAGCAATCCTTCTGCCTCAGCCTCCCAAAGTGCTGGGATTTACAGGCATGAGATACCATGCCAGTTTTGTCAGTTTTACAGATCTGTGATTTGTACTTATTTATTCATTCCAAATAAGTATTAATTTTTGTTTCTAATTTTGCCTTCACATATCTTCTTGCAGTGCTTCTGTTTAAGAACATCCTACAAATTGGGTAAGCTTGGGCTCTACAATCTCTGAATGTACCTTGGATCAGTGAATCTCCCGACACAATGTTGAGTGTAAAAAGCAATTTGCAGAAAAACGCATTCAGTATAATTCCATATCAAAAATTTTAAAGTATGCAAAACTTATTAATATGTTTACAGATAAAAACAAATGTGAGAAGATTATAAGGTAAGGCCCATAGAGAACTGCAGAGGCAAGATGAAATTATATGACTTTTGTTTACCCTAGGCACTTACACCTTCGTGACACTTTTCTCCATAAAAAAATAATAAAAATGATATTTTATGATTGTTGGTATAACGATAAATATATTAATGTTATATATTAAAACATTTTCTTCAACCTAAACTTTCGCTTTTTTTCCTGACATTTATAAGAAGTCAAAACATTTTGTGTGCCCATAAAACTATCTTGGTGCCTAGGCGTGAGTTATCATGTTTACTAGTTCAATCTCCCTGTTCAGAATTCAGGGTAATGTTTTATACACTGTTTTATACAGAGTGGTGAGTAGCTTGGCATTTATATTTTTTCATATACATTAATACTTTAATAAAATCAGTTTAAGGAATATACAGCTAAATCTATGTCACAAATTCTCCAAGGACATACATTTAAAATTTTTCAGTAGCCATTCAAGTCCTTTTTCAAAAGTATTATATAAATGTATTATCTTTAAAAGGATACATACACAAATTATAACACAGTATAGTTTTGAAACATTTTTGTAACTCTCTTATTTAAACACTTTCTTTGAATGTGGCCAAAATATTTCACAGGGTGGAGAAAAACAAAACCCGAAAATAACGGTCTTCTCTTCCTTCGCTAGGAATCCCCAGATTGTTAAATTCCAGTAACGGACAACACGCCCTTCCAACAAGCCACGCCCCTTTACTGGAATGTTCCTTCCCCGGGGGTGTCTCCCCCAGTTCTCCCTTGACTTGCTTCCTCTCATACTCGAGTTGAGGTTCTCTTCGGTAAGACTGTCCCTGATCAACCTGAGCCGGGTGCACCTAAGCCTCTTCTTTTCTTTCTTTCTTTTTCTTCTTTGACAATTATCACTGGTTCCCAATCTTCTTTTCTTTATAGCATGAATCACTGCTAGTAATTATTTTGTTTTCCTTTCTCCGCTACTAAGAGTGTAAAATAGTGGTGATGCCTCATCACCTGGGTCAGTAGTAGGCGTTAAAAAAGTGGGTAGGCTTTCCAGTGCATTTTACTCGTGGTATCGTGTATCACTTGTATTTTTTTTTTAATTTCAGCATATTATGGGGGTACAATGTTAAGATTACGTATATTGCCCTTGCTCCCCCTCGCTTGTATTCTTTACAATACTTAATGTATCCCTTTTCTGTAATATATATATTCCCTCCAAATTCCGTGTTCACATAAGTTACAGTATATTTTAGGTGGTCTTTAAAGGAAATCAGATTTCCTTTAACACACCCGCTGAAACACCTGAGCCGTTGAAAAGAGAAGAAAAAAAGACGCAACGGAAACGGCGGGAGGGTAGGCCCGCATCCCTTCCCAGGTTAGCCGCAGCCTGGGCCGCCCAGCCCGGAGGAAGTCACGGCTCAGCGGCAAACTTTTCCCCTGCCACTTGACGGGCACTCCTGATTGGACGGGCCCCAGAGGCCCGGAAGTGACGCCAGCGGCCGGCGCCCGGACTGGCCCGCGGCGCCCCGCTGCCCCTCTTTCCACGCCCCGCCCCTCGGCGCACCAAAACAAGAAGGCACCGGCCGGGGCGGGGCCTGTGGACGGCGGACGCCGCGCGGGGGGCGGGGCCTGCCCTCGCCGCGGTTGTGGGTTGGGCGCCCGGGTGGCAGGCTCGCACTTCCGCCCGCGGCCGGCTGTTGGGCCAAGGCATGGAGGTGGGCTAGGGGCTGTCGCGAAGCTGAGCGGGGTAAGGAGAGAGCGGCGGGCTCGAGACTGCAGGCCGGGCGGGCGTGGGCGCGCGCGCAGCTTGTGCACGCGGGATCGCGTCGAGTAACCGTCGCGGCGCGAGAGGTCGGGCGGGTGGGGGAGGGGCGGCGCGCTGGGCCGCTTCTCCGGGAGGGCTGAGGTCGCGGCGCCGGAGGCGGGAGCACCCGCAGTCGGCTGGCGGGCTGCACTGTTGCCGTTCCTGCACGTCGGGGGCCCGGGCGCTGGGCCCCCTTTCCCTTCCCGCTGCGGTCTCGTGTGAGCTGTTTTTGCCGTGGGCACTGCGTAGTTGCTGGGGATGAGTGGGAGGGAGGTCTCGCTGTGGAAAGTGTCCGTCCCCTTGACGCCCCCTCCTACCTCCCGCCCTTCCTACCTCTGGCCCCAGCATCTCTCCCTCTGGAGAGTCTGGTTCTCCCGTTGGCCGCCTGTGCCTTCCCTGCCCTGCCCGAAGGGGCTGGGGCGCTTCCAGCCGCCCGCAGGGGCTTTGTCTGCCCTGCCCACCCTCGGGGAGCGGTGGATGTGCCCAAGATTCGCACAACCCCGAGTGAGACGGGCTCGACGGCTGTAGGGGAAAAGCATCCCCCTACTAGGAGGACGATAGGATTGGTGTTACCTGCGCTTGGTAATTTGGGAAACTTTTGACTAAGTGCCTAGCTATTCCTTGAGTGGGGACAGTCCCGTGTGGAACTGGGAGTCAGAATTGCACTTTTACCCTTCATTTGTTACTTGTGTGTCTACAGACAAATTGTCTATCCTTAACTTTTCTGGGCTTCCTCATCAGTTGGCAATATCTGTCTATATTTTATAGGATTGATATAGAGCTCAGATGAGGTAAAGAGTGTAAAAGCCACTTTTGTTTCTTTTTAATTTCAGAAATGTTCTTTTGAGGCCAAAGACTGGGTATATATGAATGCAAATGCTCATTCACAAATAAGCCCAGCAATCTCGATTGAGAGGATCACTTTTCTGTAGGCCATTTGCCCAGGTAATTATTTTTGTAAATGGGAGTTCAGACCACCAAGGTAAGTGCAATGTTAAAAACATATAACAGGTTCTGAGGGGATAGAGAAGATCATCAAAGAGAATGGAAGAGAGGATGGGTCAGACAAGCCTCCAGACGCGATGACGCTCGGATGGGTTGCACACTGGTGTTCTCAAATCCAACTTTCTATCAGAATCACTTAGTGGAGTTCTTTAAAAGTGAAACTAAATTTTATCAACAGAATCTCATCGTCTACATTTTATTAAATAGTGTCTGAGGTGAGTCTGATGTGTATTCAGAGGTAAGAACCAGGCAGAGAGGTGCGTGTTCAAGGTAGATGAACTTTCATAGAGGCAGGGAATGGCAGACATCATGAGTCTATTTAGGAAGAGCAGGTGAAGGGAAATAAGTGTGGGGGAATAGCAAGAGATGATGCTGAAGCCAGATCATGGAGGGCCTTGTGTATTGAGCTCAACAATTTGAATTTAATCCCTAAACTGTGGAGAAGTCATTTGCGCTTGTGAGGTCCAGCTTGTGCCTTAGCTTCTGGCAGCATTTTGGAGAAAGAATTGGTAGTGATCAAACAAGAGGCAGAGAGATCATTTAGGCTTCTTCAGTAATCTGGGCAAATAATGAAAATGTATTAAACTAAGGTAGTGGTAGTTGCACTGAGAAGTACAGATGTAATTGAGGTAGAAACTATTTAACTCAGATATGGAGGCTGGAGGAGACAAAATATATGGGATAATGCCTGGGTTATTGGTCTGAAAAGTGAATGGATAGCAATGCCATCAGAGAAGGGAATAGAGGATGAATAACAGATTTAAGGGAAGGACTTTGTTCTGTTCTGGTCATGTTTACCTTGAGGTTCCTGTCAGACATGTGAGTAGAGATATACTGTATGCAGTTGGATATAGCATATATCTATCTGGAGTTCTAGGCTAGGCTGCCATTTCTTGAGTGGTTGGAACATGGTGCATTGCATTAAGAGTTTTATGATATAGTCTTAGTCTTTGAGAAGTTTCAATATAGGTAGTAGTAGAAGCAGTGGTTTGAATTAGTTCACCCAGAAAGAGAGTATTGATGAAGAGGTTAGAATTCTCAGGATAAGCCTTTGGAAACTTTTGATATTTAGATGGGGAACATAGGAAGAGGTGATTGTGAAGGAGTCTGTGTAAAGGAAATGTCAGGAAAATGGTGTGTTATAGCTAAGGGAAGCATTGTCAGCATTTTCTCTTAGAGGAGCCAAATGAAGAACCTATTGGATTTGGTAATACAGAGATTATTAGAAACTTTTGTGAAAACATTCAGTAGATTGTAAGGGTAGAAGCCAAGTGCAAAGGTTCTAAAGAAGTGGGAGGTAGTAAATCTAAATTACTTTTTTAAGATGTTTTGCTGGGAAGCGTAGAGGACAGGGATTGCTATTTGAAGTTTGTGTCTAGCTAGTATTGGGAATTGATATTCTGAAGATCAGTCTGTGAAGATTACAGCTATCCCTCGGGTAAAGCATCATATGTTTTTGACAAATCAGCTCTCTTTTTGGTGCTTAGGGAGGTGCTCTTTTTTTTTTTTTTCTGAGACACAGTCTCACTCTGTTGCCCAGCTTCTGTTGCCTGAGGCTGCTGTGGTGTCAGCCTACCTCACAGCAGCCTCGAACTTCTGGGCTCAAGCAATTCTTCTGCCTCAGCCTCCCCAGTAGCTGGGACTACAGGCATCTACCACCATGCTTGGCTAATTTTTTTCTATGTATTTTTAGTTGGCCAATTAATTTCTTTCTATTTTTAGTAGAGATGGGGTCTTACTCTTGCTCAGGCTGGTTTCAAACTCCTGACCTTGAGTGATCCACCCGCCTCAGCCTTCCAGAGTGCTAGGATTACAGGCATGAGCCACCATGCCTGGCCGTGGAGAGGTGCTCTTATTTCTGTCCTGAAGCTTGGGTATTGTCTGGACACTCCATTTGTGGTTCAGTAATGATTCCAAGCAGTTATAGTCCGATGGAATTTACAAAATAGACCTCAAGAGGAACCCAGTTGTACAAAAACTTACAGGATTCACAGTCATTTAAAAGCAATAATTGGCCGGGCGTGGTGGCTCACACCTATAATCCTAGCACTCTGGGAGGCCAAGGCGGGAGGATAGCTCAAGGTCAGGAGTTCTAAACCAGCCTGAGTGAGACCCGTCTCTACTAAAAATAGAAAGGAATTAATTGGCCAACTAAAAATATATAGAAAAAATTAGTCGGGCATGGTGGCACGTGCCTGTAGTTCCAGCTACCTGGGAGGCTGAGGCAGAAGGATCACTTGAGCCCAGGAGTTTGAGGTTGCTGTGAGCTAGGCTGATGCCACGGGACTCTAGCCAGGGTACAGAGTAAGACTCTATCTCAAAAAAAATTAAAAAAATTGATGTTTGAGAAATGAAACTCTGTGGAGTTTCACTTTCTATTCTTAAATCTTCTTAAGTTCACTTTCTGCATTGAATCAAATCATCAGATCACAGGAAAAAAAACAGCTTTCTCAAATTGTTAACTTTTTTTTGTTGTTGTTGAGACAGTCTCGCTTTCTTGCCTAGGCTAGAGTGAGTGCCGTGGCGTCAGGCGTCAGCCTGGCTCACAGCAACCTCAAACTCCTGGGCTCAAGCGATCCTCCTGCCTCAGCCTCCCGAGTAGCTGGGACTACAGGCATGTACCACCACGCCCGGCTAAGTTTTTCTATATGTATTAGTTGGCCAATGAATTTCTTTCTACTTATAGTAGACACAGGGTCTCACTCTTGCTCAGGCTGGTTTTGAACTCCTGACCTTGAGCAATCCGCCCACCTCGGCCTCCCAGAGTGCTAGGATTACAGGCGTGAGCCACCGCGCCTGGCTCAAATTGTTAACTTTTTAGTATTACAGTATTGGCCTTTTAGGTATAAGTAATTCTGTGAATAAAATAATTTTATATTCTGCAAAAACATAGCAAAAAAACTTATGCGTTATGTTATTTGGCATTCTTTCGTCTGCAGTGCCCTTGTACAAGGTAGGCATTAATGAAATGTAATTAAATTAGAGTTAGTGTCAGGAAGTCAGGAAAGGGTAGGACTCTGCAGCTAAACTTGCACACTTTTTTTTTTTTTTTTGATCTGGATGGGAACTGGGAAACTCATAATGTTATCCTTTTACTCTACTTTGCAGGAAGCTCCTAGTGTAGAACTTAGTGAAATTAAACTCCTTTTAAATAAGTTTTGATTTCTCAAAAATTTTTGAAATCTCACTTTTAAATGTCCTTTTCTATATTTTAAGGTTGAAAGCTACCCAAATTCTTTTTAGAAACAAGAAGAAAGTATGCTTCAGAAGCATAAGTAGAAATAATACTAAATTTAAAAAATTAACTCACAAGACAAATACATGTACTTGGTTATACTTAGGCATTTATATATATAATTACTTAATCATGGGTATAAGAAGAAATTAGAGAATTTTTAAAAAACAATTTATTTAAGAAACTGACATAATGCCACAAAAGCCTTAGCAGTATAATTTCTGTCGAGATGTTATTGATTACCCATTAGCAAAGATTATGTACTCTGAATTTTAGGGTGATACTCATTGAAAAATCTCAAACTGTCAAATTTCCATACCCAGGTATTCAGTGACTTTGCTTAGGTTTTTTAACCTTTTATTGTCCCCCTTTTTTTCCCTGAAAGAGAGACTTTTTTGACAGCTTTTCTAATTGCCCCTCCCATTAATTTTAATAGCACCAATATATTACTGTGTTTCCCTGAAAATAAGATCTACCCATAAAATAAGCCCTAGCAGCATTTCTAAGCATTTGCGCAATAGAAGCCTTACCCTGAAAATAAGACCTAGTGATGGGCGTGGCTACGCAGCACATCTGCATAACCCATGCATTTCATAGGGGAGCAGTAAAGAAAATGAGCAGGCCTTCTCATTGGTCCTATTGTGACAGCTATTATCCCAGAGGTGATCGGAAAGGTGCAGGCAGCCTCACCAACAAGGTCGACTCCCCCTATCAGGTGCTGGCCATTCTGTGTGTGCTGCAAGCTGAGGCTTTTTTTTTTTTTAGACAGAGTCTCACTTTGTTGCCCAGGCTAGAGTGAGTGCCCTGGCGTCAGCCTAGCTCACAGCACCCTCAAATTGCTAGGCTCAAGCAATCCTTCCTACTGCCTCAGCCTCCCGAGTAGCTGGGACTACAGGCATGCGCCACCGTGCATGGCTAATTTTTTCTCTATATATTAGTTGGCCAATTTATTTCTTTCTATTTATAGTAGAGACAGTGTCTTGCTCTTGCTCAGGCTGGTTTCAAACTCCTGACCTTGAGCAATCTGCCCACCTCCACCTCCCAGAGTGTTAGGATTACAGGGGTGAGCCACCGCACCCAGCCCAAGCTGAGGCTTTGAGGGGAAAAAAACACATCCCCTGAAAATAACCACTAGGGTGTCTTCCTGAGGAAAAATAAATATAAGACCCTGTCTTATATTTGGGGAAACGCAGTATCTCTTTACTGTGTATCTGGGCTTTATATATGAAAAGAGTAGGAATTTTTCATGTCCCACTAAACAATTTTCATCCCCTTTAGGTTGCTATCACCTCTGATGGGAATGCATGGGTTAGATTCATTCAGTTTATGAAATGAACTTTGTTAAATTTGTGGTTAGTTTTGCAATCTCTTCCCCCCCACACAACTCCCCTCCCATTAGGTTGATATTTTACCTCCCTTGGATAGTTAAAGTCACATTTCTCAAGATAGGTCTGTTGGATAATTTTCTGGCCAATTCCCAATAAACCCTTATTTTCATATGAAACAACACTGGATTCTCTTTGGGTGTGGTTTTCTTCCTTTTGTTGCAGACTGGCAGATAATCATTTAGATAATACTCAATGTGGGTTTGTCTGATTTTTTCTTTTTTTCATGAATGGTCTGTGCTCATGGGTTTTTAGAAAGGGTTTTTTTTAAACCACAAAGATCAGGTTACTTCCTTATCACATTATGTAAGGGATGTGTCAGCATGGCTTATCCCCATAAGGTTGTGTTTGCAAGTGTCTCCATGCTTCTTCCTTTTCCAAATTCTTCTTTGGAGGTGATTTCACTAAATTAAGCCCGTACTGGGCTTGAGGGTTGTGGTTAAGCTCCACCTCGTGGAACAGGGAGTATTTATACATATTATTTTGGGTTCTATATATGGCCAATACCATAATACTAAGAAGTTGACAATTTGAGGAAGCTTTTTTTTTTTTTTTCCGGTGATAGCATTCAGTGTGGAAAGTGAACTTAAGAAGATGTAAGTATAGAAAATGAAACTCAAGCCGGGCGCGGTGGCTCACGCCTGTAATCCTAGCACTCTGGGAGGCTGAGGCGGGCGGATTGCTCGAGGTTGGGAGTTCGAAACCATCCTGAGCGAGACCCCGTCTCTACTAAAAATAGAGAGAAATTAATTGACCAACTAAAAATATATATACAAAAAAAAAAAAAAATTAGCCGGACATGGTGGTGCATGCCTGTAGTCCCAGCTACTTGGGAGGCTGAGGCAGGAGGATCGCTTGAGCCCAGGAGTTTGAGGTTGCTGTGAGCTAGGCTGACGCCACGGCACTCACTCTAGCCGGGGCAACAAAAGTGAGACTCTGTCTCAAAAAAAAAAAAAAAAAAAAAAAGAAACTCGATGGAGATTTCTCAAACATCAATTCTTTTAAGCATGATTTTGGCAAGTAACATTATAGTCAGTCTAAACTTTAGAAACTTAAGGGACTGAAGTGCAAGTAAAATGTATACTTTAAAGGAAGATTTGTCCCTTCTCTCCCATTTTTTCAGTCATTTATTTATATCAGTATGGATTCATATATGTTTATTATACTTTGGGTTAGGATCCAATATTACATTATTTATTTTGTTAAAATTGTTTCAGCTTTAGCCATAGGGAACTATTCTAGGTTGACTCTCTAGCCCTACAAGATCCTCTAGACCTACTTGGCATTTTCCCTGCCTCAGCCTGTTTATTTGTTTGATACATTATCAATGAAGACATTTGCTTTTTATTTGGCTGCAATATACTGTTTGCTGACAGCTTTCTGTTAGCTTTTTTTTCTATCTTTCTGTTCTTTCCTTTTTTGGGGGGCTGGATATTGCTCTGGCTGGAGTACAGTGGTGTCATCACAGCTCACTTCAACCTCAAACTCCTGGGCTCTAGTGATCTTCCTGGCTCAGCCTTCCGAGTAGCTGGGACTACAGGGGTGTGCCACCATGCCTGGCTAATTTTTCTATTTCTTTGTAGAGATGGGGTCTGTTAGCCTTTAGATGTATTTACTTATAAGGCTAAGAATGTAGGATTTTAGCTTATTTTTGTTATACCTTTTTAAAGCTGGAGACCTCTTTGAATTCTGGCTTCCATCCTATTTTCTAATCCTCTCAGTTTCATGTCATCTGCATTTCTGATAAACCTGCCTTATAGGTCTTCATTCAAACCTTTGAACAATTTCATTCTTGGGATTTCCTCTTTCTTCTTGTTACTGTATTGCTACCTTGCTGTCTTTGAGATTTCCAGGATTTGGAAGATTATTTCATTTTAACCCTTTTACTTTTGAGTTTATATTGTAGAGGGTCTGCTGGTGTTATAAAAACAAAGTTGAAGAAGGTTGGAACTATAAGTATTAAACTTAGTAGCAATAAGTTAACATTTGTAGCTATTAAGAGTTTACAGTTCAGTGAAGACCATGAGTTATGGGCAGCAGTTCATACATAAGTATATGCAAGTTCATATAAGTGCTTTAGAAACAAGAGAAAGTCCTTCTCTGTGTCAACCTTAATAACCAGATTCAGGAAATATAATTAAATACTGAATTTATTTTAGTGCAGAATTTGAGGATGGCCACTTGGGAGAACACAGACTGTAAAAGATGGAGTTTGTGCTCCAAACTGGAAAGAGGTTTGAGGGCCATTTATATAGGCAGTATCTGGGGAAGCTTAATAAGATTTCAGCATTTTCTATATGAGGTTAGTGTGTAGTTACAGCAGTTTGATTGCTTATAGGCAGTGTTCCTTTTGGGAAGGATATGTTTAACATTCCACATTATGTGTATGGTAGTCTTGGATCTTTTATTCCAGTCATGAGGTCTTTTATCCCAGGTGTCATCTGGTCTGAGCCAGTCACAAGAAAATAAGTTAACCTATTGCAAAAGGTCAGTAATTAAGAGGGCATGCTCCGTAACTGTCTCCAAAGGTCAGTCTTCCTCAGGACCTAACAACTTTTATTTACTATTTTGAGACAGGGTCTTGCCCTGTTGCCCAAGCTAAAGTACAGTGGCTTGATCATAGCTCATTGTAACCTTGAATGCCTGGGGTCAAGTGATTCTCCTTTCTCGGCCACTTGAGTAGCTGGGACTATAGGCATGTGCCACCATGCCCAGAATTTTTTTTTTTTTGTAGGGATGGGATCTTGTTATGTTGCCCAGGCTGGTTTTGAACTGCTGAGCTTAGGTGTGAGTCACTTTGCCCAACCACTGACAACTTTCAGAAGCCCCCGAATAGACTATCCATTTTTCTTTCACATCTATATGAGTTTTTATTATTTGTGCAAGTTAATATTTATGGATTTTTATGTTTCCAGAGATTTCTGGAACATGGCTTCTGGGAATGCAAAAGGATTCCGGAGCTTTTTGCTTTGACTCTAATACATTTCTATAATACTTCAACATTTGTACTTTGAAAATGTTGATTAAGTCTGTTTCTCTGTGTATTATCCATAAGTGCTGCATAGTTTTGAGCCTTCTCTATAGCACAACTATATGTTGCCATATTGTTAGGGTTAAGGCGGGCTGGGAATTTGTACGTGGGCTTGTGAAAGAGTTCTCAACACAAAGATTAGGATATAAAAAAAGTTAGAAAGTTTATTTTACTTTCTCTGAGAGAGAGAAAGGGAGAGAGAGGAGAAAGAGGTACAGCACATGAAAGAAAGAAGGGGAAGTGCCAGCCAGGAATAGAAGGAGCTGGAGGGGTTTATGGAGACAAAGAGAAAGAGGAAAAAATGGTGGTTGCTGGTCTGCTGATAATAGAGCCTCTTCTATTGTCAGCCGACCAGCAGCCACCATTTTCACCACTGGATCTGGATTTCTTTGGCAAGGAGAATTTACACTTTCTTTCTGTCTGCTCAGCGCTTTTCAGATGCTGTGTAATGATCTCCATAGGTGATGAATTTGTGAGAGAGCTCATGTGATTAATCTTAAAGACAGGAGTTAAGGTACATGCCATTACTTAGACAATTTATTTGCGGGTTAGACAATTTATTTTTCCCTGTTAGCTTATTAGCAAGGCCATCCTGTCACTTATGATGTTTACTACAAATACAGTGCTTTCATTTCTCAATATTTCTTATGTCTCAAAGATAAAAGACTTTAAAGAGTTTAGTCAATGATAAGCTAGCCAGCAGAATGTTCTGGCGTGGAAGAACATTTTAAGTTGAAGACCAGGGTCACAAGTAGGAAGTATACCTCTTCTTCACACAGAATAGGCCTGAAGTATTACTTTTTTCTTGAGTCTTTAGGTGTCATTTTTTCTGGCTATAGGTGCAGAATGACCACATGTTGTTGGTGTACGCCAGGTGGTGTTTCCACCATTGACTTCTTAAAGAGCTATGTGTCTAAGACCCAGTCCAGTGAATTTCAAACAGCTGATGAAGACCTCTGCTACTGCTTAGAGTGTGTGACTGAATACCACAAAGCAAGAGATGAATTACCATTCTTGCATGAGGTAATTTATATTAGACGGGCAGTATTTTTCAGAGCTTGATAAATAGGAAGAGAATTAATTTGAGCTCTGTGGAAGCATTTGCAGAAATGATGATTTGATATGATTTAAACTTTGAAGGCTAATATACCTCAAGTACCTGGTATATAGTATGTGTTGAGTAAATGCTTATCACTGATGGAATTGAATTGAAACCTAAAGTAGAATTTTATGATGTGTCACATTTAGTCATTTTGGGATAAAATTATTTTATCAATTGAAGTTATGGGGATAATTATTTTAATCTTTTATGATAATATATTTGTCAGTGCTACATTCTTGAATCTGAATGATACGAGTTTTTTTTAATTGGTTAATAACTTACTTTTTTGTTTTTTTAATGGGTAAATGGTATAAACCAAAGGGCAAGCATCTGAATGATACGAGTTTTTTTTAATTGGTTAATAACTTACTTTTTTGTTTTTTTAATGGGTAAATGGTATAAACCAAAGGGCAAGCATATTTTCTAGTCATAGTAACCAAAGTGAAAGGTATAATTCTAAATATGTGGCTTGGAATATTTGGTTTATTAAATTTATCTGATGAAAAACAGAACACAGACCATAGAAACATGTATGATATGTAGAGGAGAGGGAAATTAGTTATGAATCTGTGTTGAGAAACTTGCATTTTATAAAGTTTTCTAATTAGGAAGCTATCCAGTGGCTTTATGCTAAAGCTGCTATGCTAAGGTAAGAACTATGGCTAGAACACAGAAGGGAAGGCACAGAAGGCCTAGCTCACAACTTTGACAGAAAGCTCCAGATTCTCATTTCCTTTTGAATAGTATAGTTGATAGGAATGTTGAGATAGTTATTACAAAACTCTGCATGAAAAATGTTTACACATCTCATACTCTGCATTCAAACTCTTATCTCATAAAAGTGGCCCTGATGAGATATTTTTCTTCAAATAAATCTAATATATGATTTCTGAATTTTTATACTTAGGAAAAGGCTTTCTAGAATGACCATCACATCCAATGTATTATGTTGATATAAAGCACATTGCCCATTTTTCTTTTCTTTTAGGTTTTATGGGAATTAGAAACCTCACGTCTCATAAATCACTTTGAAAAATCCATGAAGGCAGAAATTGGAGATGATGATGAATTATACATAGTAGACAACAATGGAGAGGCACAATTGTTTGACTTTACTGGCCAAGACTTTGAAAATAAGCTTCGAGTTCCTCTTCTTGAAATACTCAAATATCCTTACCTGCTTCTACATGAACGTGTTAGTGAGTATCTTTGGTGTTCCTCAAGTTATATCAGTTTTATTATTTTAAGATTGTAAAAATTTAGATTTATCTATATTGAACATTTGTGTACTAAACATTAAGATACTGTTTCTCAGTAGTATGGATCTCTTAAAAGTAAAGGCATTTTCCTACTCTATCAAATCTAACAAAATAACAGTACCTTTAAGGCATCTAAAATCTAGTCATAGTAACCAAAGTGAAAGATATAATTCTAAATATATGGCTTGGAATATTTGGTTTATTACATTTATCTGATGAAAAACATAACACAGACCATAGAGACATGTATGATATATAGAGGAGGAGGCAATTAGTTATGAATCTGTGTTGAGAAACTTGCATTTTATAAAGGTTTCTAATTAGGAAACTATCCAGTGGCTTTATGCTAACGCTGCTATTCTAAAGTAAGAACTATGGCTAGAACACAGAAAGAAAGGTGTAGAATAAATTAGAAATTATTCAGATTTTCCCAGTAGTTGCAAAATGTATTTTTGGCTGGTTTGTTTAAATCAGAGTCCAGTCAGGGATCACACATTGCATTGGGTTCATAGTTCTTCCATCTCTTTTAATTCAAAACAACCTACAGTTGACTCTTGAACAACAGGGGTTTAAACTATGCAGATCCAATTATACTGGGATCTTTTTTTCAACCAAATTTGGATCAAAAATACAATATTTGTGGGATGCAAAACCCTGCATATACAAAGAGCCAACTTTTTGTATATGCAGGTTCCTCAGGGTGACGCAGGACTTGAATATGTGTGGATTTGGTATGTGGGGGATGTCCTGAAATCAGTCCCCTGTCTATACCAAGGGACAGATGTATTTGTACACACACGCACACACGTGCTTTTTCCTTCTCATGAATTTGACTTGTTGAGGAGACCATATAGTTGTCCTATAGAGTAATGTTCTTTATTTAACTTCTCAATTCTCTGTATTTTTAGTCAGCTGAAAAGTAGATCCAAAGATTTGATAAAGCAATTCTCCCTAAATCAATAAATTCAAAGTAGTTAGATTTTAAAATTCTAACAAGGCATTTTTCAAAATATATCCAGAAAAGCATGTTAACTTGATGAGTTTTTACAAATTAAACACATTGTGTGTAGCCAGCATCCAGATCAAGAAACATCAGTGTCCCAGAGGCTCCCCTCATGTTTGTCCTGTCATTATCTCTCTCAGTCCCAAAGGCAGCCACTATCACTAGCGGAATATTTTTTGCAGCTTGACACTGAAGTTGATAGATCTGTTAGCATAAGTGGATTATTCAATAAATAGGAGTGGGACAATTGGGGGAAAAGCTGACTTCATTCTTCACTCCTGTACCAAATAAAGTCCAGGTGGGTCAAAAGGTAAAATCCAAACAGAATTGGAACTGTAACCATATTTCTCAGAAAATAACCTATGAAGATAATTGCCAAGCGTAAAAAGAAAGATATATTCTAGTAAAGTCAGAATAATTCCTAAGAATACACTGTGATAAACTGATAAGTCTGTCAGATAGGTGAATATTGTCCTACATTTACATAATAAGCATTTTTATGCCTCAGTATGAAAAAAAAAAATTTGATTTTTTTAAAAATTTTTTTTTGAGACAGAGTCTCACTCTCTTGCCTGGGCTAGAGTGCCGTGGCATCAGCCTCACTCATGGCAACCTCAAACTCCTGGGCTTAGGCAATCCTCCTGCCTCAGCCTCCCAGGTAGCTGGGACTACAGGCACACAACACTGTGTCCCAGCTAATTTGTTTTTCTATTTTTAGTTTTTTGGCTAATTTCTTTCTATCTATAGTAGAGACAGGGTCTCGATCTTTCTCAGGCTGCTCTCGAACTCCTGATTTCAAGCAATCCTCCTGCCTCGGCCTCCCAGAGTGCTAGGATTACAGGTGTGAGCTACCACGCCCGGCCAGATTTTGATTTCTTTACAGAGCAACTGAAGGAACCAGATTTAGGAAATCTTGATAAGTTGATAAGATTTATATCTTTTATTTATTGCCTTATTTTTTCTGTTTAGATGAATTATGTGTTGAAGCACTTTGTCGGATGGAACAAGCCAATTGCTCCTTTCAGGTGTTTGACAAACATCCAGGGATCTATTTGTTCTTGGTCCATCCCAATGAAATGGTGAGTATGAGTGTTAGGCAGTGGAAGGATATATTTTATTTCGGTACCTATAGGTAGTATAATAGAAGTTTTTGGTGTGAAATTTGTTTAAAATGTTTGCTGAAATTTTTCTTATTTTAAAATTACTATAGTTAAGTATAGGGTCAAAGAAGAAGGGATCCAAGAGGGTAGGGGAATAATTCCTGGTGGGTGATGCTTTAGCTTAAAATACAAATAGGGGAATAATTTGATTTTCTTTCAATATGTTGAACTGAATTGATGAAGAGGGACTCTTCTCTCTTGCTTTTCTTACCTTTCTGCCTCACTCCAAATGCACAGAAATGTAAGTTAAAATGTTTGAAAAATTATTTCAGTAATAGATGAGATTTAAAACAAGGTAAAAGGAGAAGTTCCCTGGGAAATTCCTAGGTGTTAGAAATGAAGAGAGACATACAAGTCAGAACAGTGGCAAGGAACAGAAGCAGAGAGCATGTCAGAGCACGGAAACCTGACGTCGTGCTTATGGCTTATCACCACGCAGGGAGGCGGTCATTGCTGTAGGTCTCATGCACATGGGCACCTAGAACTTAATGTTACCACATTAAGCCAGTGGCCATGAATAGTAGCATAAAGTAATAAATGGGTGAAAACCTGTAGGCCTAGGTAGCTGTAGGTAGCTGGGAATTCAGCTTGTGCAGGTTAATAGGAGTTAGAAATATACTCAAGGCAAGGCAAAGAATCAGAACCAAGCTCTGCTTTAAACAAGAGTGGGGCTCTTGTCTATGGAAGAAGGTTGACAAAGTATGAAAAGCTTGACTGGCTTTTTCAAAGCAGTGTACATATAGAGGAAGCAGGTGTAGTCTTGTAACCAAGACCCATACCAAGCATTTGGAGGCTTGATGACTGAGTCTACAGTACCCCTTATGTGACCAAAGGTTGGCAATCCTGAGCTACTGATATTAGACCTAGTTCTGGAGTAAGAGTCTGAGGGATGGATATAGATAATCCCAAATTTGTGTTTAGGAAAGGTTATGGAAGGAGGCGTACTTGCCTCCTTGTAGGATGGCCTTGTAAACCAAATCCTTGAAAAAAACATAAAGAAAATGATTGCTAAGATAGATAGCCAAGACCAACACTGTTGGTCTTTTCTTTAAAGAAGAACTTGAAAGCAAAAATAGAGAAAACTGGGAGAAACTCTGGTTTGACAAGGGCTGTTTTGAATGGTGAATGTGGGAGTCAGGGATGAGACATTCCTGTTGTCTGGCTGTGGGAGGAGAAAATAGGAAAGGTTCTACTCTCAGTTCTCCTTTACCATTGCCTTGGATAAGCAGTGTTTGCACTCATACCTGTGGCAACTCAAAAGATCTGATCCAGGTGAAGGTAAGAATAAATCAGGATTGTGCATAACCCTGGTGTCTTTGGGATGCTGCTGCAACAAGCAGCTGGGGACCAGTTAACCACTGGTAGATTTCAGCACCATCTCTTCTCAACTCCCAGGACTGGGGAATTACACAGCCCAGTAGTGTCTTCTAATGTTGCTTCACTCTGGGAATAAAGGCTGATTACCTGAGCTTGAAAATAAAATGTGCGGCAATGAGTGATTACTGTTTGTCTGGCTTGGCTTTCATCCTTCATTCTCACCCCTGAATTCATTGGGAGTAAGCCAGACTGGGGTCTGGCCACCTTCTATAGGCACTGCCTGATAGGAGCCAATACCTCAGAGTGAAAATGAATTCACAAGCTAAAAATGAAAGACATAGGAGAAACAAAGATTTCAGTAGAAACAGAAATATTAGAACATTTTTCCAGTAATTTAACATTATTATAATAAACATGCTAAAAGAAATAAGGGAAAGTGTAAATATGAAGTGAGAACAGAAAACATAAGAACTGAACAATTGTAAGATTTGAAAAATATGATTTAAAATGAAGATTTCAGGAATGGGATAAATAATGTAGTGAGTACAGCTGAGAAAACAAATTACTGATTTATTATTATTATTATTATTATTATTTTGAGACAGAGTCTTGCTTTGTTGCCCAGGCTAGAGTGAGTGCCCTGGCGTCAGCCTAGCTCACAGCAACCTCAAACTCCTGGGCTCAAGCGATCCTCCTGCCTCAGCCTCCCGAGTAGCTGGGACTACAGGCGTGCACCACCATGCCTGGCTAATTTTTTCTATATATATTAGTTGGCCAATTTCTTTCTTTCTATTTATAGTAGAGACGGGGTCTCGCTCTTGCTCAGGCTGGTTTCAAACTCCTGACCTTGAGCAATCCGCCTGCCTCAGCTTCCCAGAGTGCTAGGGTTACAGACATGAGCCACCATGCCTGGCCAAATTACTGAATTAGAAGGCCAGATTGAGCAAATCTCAAGGAAGAAGAAAAAGGCAGAAATAGAAAATATAGAAAAAGCTAAGAGATATGGAGGATAGAAGTAGTAGTGTAAACATAGATGTAAGAAGATCCAGAAAGAGAAAAATAAAAATCAAGATGAGGAGATATTGGAGAAATAAGGCAGGTAAATTCTTTGGAATTTAGAGAAAAACAGACTGCTGATTGTAATGGCCTAATGGCCTATATCGAGTATCAAAGAGAAGAGAAGGAAAACCACACTTAGGTAGAATTAGTGATATTTGAGAACATCAAAGACAAAATCTAAGGGTTCTCCAAAGAAAAGATCACGTCCAAAGACACAAGAATCAGATCGACACCAGATTTATAGCAGTCACATTGAAGGCAAGAAGACAGTGGAGTGGTATTTTATAGTGTATTGAAAGAAAAGAGTTTAAAACCTAAAATTACATCTCCAACCAAACTTGCTCGAGTTTGAGAGCATGATAAAAATACCCTGTTTGTGGCCGGGCGCTGTGGCTCACGCCTGTAATCCTAGCTCTTGGGAGGCCGAGGCGGGCGGATTGCTCAAGGTCAGGAGTTCAAAACCAGCCTGAGCAAGAGCAAGACCCCGTCTCTACTATAAAAAAACAGAAAGAAATTAATTGGCCAACTGATATATATATATATAAAAAATTAGCCGGGCATAGTGGCACATGCCTGTAGTCCCAGCTACTCGGGAGGCTGAGGCAGAAGGATCACTCGAGCCCAGGAGTTTGAGGTTGCTGTGAGCTAGGCTGACGCCACGGCACTCACTCTAGCCTGGACAACAAAGTGAGACTCTGTCTCAAAAAAAAAAAAAAAAAAATACCCTGTTTGTATAAGGTCTTAGAAGGTTTGCCACACTGAATGAAGTACTGAGAAGAATCTGCAAGGTGTTACAAGTGATGTATAAAGTTGACTGAATACTGTGGTAAAGTTTATTGTTTTAAAAAAGGCTAAATTCAAACAAAGTGAATATACTTTGAGTATCCCTAATCTCAAAATCCTAAATGGTCCAAAATCTGAAACTTAAAATGCTGATGTGATGCTCAAAAGTCATGCTTGAAGGATAGCTCATTGGAGCATTTTAGATTTCAGATTTTTCGATTAAGGGATGCTCAACCAGTAAGTATAATGCAAATATTCCAAAATCTGGAAAAATTCAAAACACTTCTGGTCTCAGTATCAGTAATAACTTAGAATAGGCAATATCAACATGGTAGGGTTGCCAGGCAAGGAGACCAAAGATGTGAGAGCATGCATGCTAAATTTTTATCCTATTAAGGACAGGGATAGATACGAATTATTTTTAAAAAGCAAGAAATATTTTAAAAGAAATAAAAAGGTTCATATATAATAGAGACTTAAGGATATCAATATTTAATGTAAATTGGCTGAATTTGTCAGTTAAAGATCAGGTTAGATTACAAAATAACTAAAATCTAGATAGATTCTGTGAGATAACATCTAAAACAGGCATCCTCAAACTACAGCCCGCGCAGGCCACATGTGGCCCGACAAGGACATTTATCCGGCCCACCGGGTGTTTTTGCCACTGCTGCCTGTCCTGCTTAGCAGCCAACTCATCCCAAGCCCACAGTGTGCATGTGTGGAATGTGTGCCACACTCTCCAGCAATCTGAGGGACAGTGAACTGGCCCCCTGTTTAAAATGTTTGAGGACCCCTGATCTAAAACATAAGGGCACAGTAATAGTTAATACGTAAGGGATGGAAAAAGAACTATTAGGAAAAGACCTTAAAAAGCATTGCTGAAGATATAGTATTATCAAGTAAAATAGCCATTAGGACAGGGATGAATAAGATTAAGAAATAGGCTAGTTAAAATCACTTCAAAGGAGATGTTGCAGTTATTGGTAGAACTTCAGGGAGAAATAGATAAATTCATTATTGTTGTAAGGAATCTCAACATACCCTCTTCATTATTGATGAGTCAGTAGGCCAAATCCAGGCAGGATATCAGATATCTGTATAAGACAGTTTGTAAGTTTGATCTGATGGATCATGTATGAGCTGTGAATCTAACCAGTTTTTCATATGTATAGTAAACATTACAAAAATGAAAATATACTAGATCATTTAAGTGAAAACTTCAATGCATTTCAAGGACTTGGTATCCTATATACTATGATCTTTGAGTATAGCACAGTGTAGATAGATGTTAATAATAAAAAGTTAAATAAGTTTCCACATGTGGAAATTAATATATCCTAAAAAGGAAAGAAATCATAAAATTAAAAAATACAACCAAATTATAATGAAAATGCTATTTGTAAAAACTTATAGGCTGTAGCAAAAGAGGTGCTTTGAGGGAAAATTTATGTCTTTAAGTGATTATTGGAAAAGAAGAAAGCCTGAAAATTAATGAGCTGATTATTCCTCTTAAGAAGCTAGAAAACAATGGAATAAATCAAAGAAAGTAGAAGGAGATAAAAAATGAGTGGAACTCATTGGAGCAAACTTTACATAGAGACAATACACAAACCTAAAAGTTGGTTCTTAGAAAAAATCAACAAAATGTATAGTTCAGGTAAGAATGATCAAGGGAAGTAGAAGTATATGAATGAAAAGGAGGAGATACTACAAATTAAGTGGAGATTATCTGGATAGTAGAATGTTACAAACAACTATATGCCAGCAGTTTTGAAAATTTAGATTAAATAGACAAATTCCTAGAAAAATATAACTACTTGCATATTGTAACTAATAAGGACATTGAGGAACCATTGGTAAGTCTTCCCACAACAAAAACATCAGGCTCAGATGGTTTTATAGGAGTTATACTTTCCAGGAATATATTCTCCTAATTTTAGTCATCTCCTTCCAGAAAAAGAGTACTTGGAAATTTATTTTATGAAGTTATTGTTACACTGTAACAAAATGACTAACATATTAAAAGAAAATTATAGTCATGAATATAGAAAATCCTAAACATAGAAATCCTAAACAAAATATTAGAGAATTCAGAAATACAATTTCACCACATTAACAGATTGAAGCAAAAAACCAATGATTGTCTGAATAGACGCAAAAAAAAAAAAACCCATTTGATAAAATTCAACATATTCATGATTAAAAATTCTTAGTGAATTAGCAATAGAAGGCAGTTCTACAATCTAATGAATAATATCTGTAAAAAACCTAGAGAAAACATTATCCAAAATGACTTTTAATGAAGTGTTCCCTTTAAAATCCAGAGTAAGACAAAGGTGCTCAGTATCACCACTTCTGTAAAGTTTGAATTGGGGGTTCTGATCAATCCAGTAAAGAAATTAGAAAATGAAATTAGAGGCATAAGGATTTGAAATGAAGAAAGGCCATTATTTGTGGTATATTAAGGTCATTTACATAGAAAAACCTTGAAGAATCTACATGTTATAAGAAGTAGGAGCTTAACATGACTAGATGTAAGATGTATTTATAATGCAAGAAGGGATGACAAGAGTGTAATAAAAAAGTAAAAAAAAAAAAGATGTATTTATAAAAATCAGTTGCATTTCTGTACACAAGCAGCCAACAATTAAAGAGAAAATTCCAATTATAGTAGATTGAGAAAATACCGTGTTTCCCCAAAAATAAGACAGGGTCTTATATTTATTTTTCCTCAAGAAGACACCCTAGGGCTTATTTTCAGGGGATGTGTTATTTTTTTTAAGTATGGCACAACAATCTACATTTATTCAAATATAGTTAAGTCGTCGTCTTCTGGAACATCATCATAACTCTCCAAACTCCGAATTCCATACTGATTTTCTTGTGACTCTATTTCCTTTAGAACCATTGGACCCCATCTCTCATGTCGAGCAGTAGAGCTCTCATGGGGCAGATGAGAAGGGCTGCTTCTTTACCGCTCCGTGACGAAATGCATGGGTTGTGCAGACACTCTGCGCAGCCATGCCCATCACTAGGTCTTATTTTTGGGGTAGGGCTTATATTGCGCAAATGCTTAGAAATCCTGCTAGGGCTTATTTTATGGGTAGGTCTTATTTTCGGGGAAACACGGTAGGTTAAATTGTCAAAACTCCTGGCAGAAAATGTAGGTATCATTTGGATCTTACGGCAAGGAAAGATTTCATAGAAAAGAAGAAAAACATTGATTATCAAAGGAAAGTTGATAAACTTGACTGTATTAAAATTAAGAACTTCAGTTTATCAAAAGATGCCATAAAAAAAGTGAAAGGGCAAGTTAAAAATTGGGAGAAGATAATTACAATACTAACTACAAAAGAAAAATGGAAAAAAGACCTACAATGGCATGTCCCAGAAGTGGATATACCTATGGATAATAAATAACATGAAGGAATGTTTTGTATTTAATGATCAGGGAAATGATAAGATGACAGTGATAACACCATTTTTAACCCTGTGATTGAGAATACTAGTATTGGAGAGGTCATGGATCTGCAAGATCTCTTGTTGCTGATAAAGGTCTTGCATTTAGTTGTCATTTCACTTTAGTCCCCTTTAATCTATAACATTTCTTTGTCTTTTATGACAACTATATTTCTGAAGAATATAGTCATTCCTGCCTTTGCCTCTTTTTAAACAATGGAATGATCCTCATTTGGGGATTGTCTGATGTTTCGTCATGGGAAGGTTCAGGTTATGCATTCCCACCTAGCTGGAGTACTGTGTAAGTGATGTTATGTCCTTCTCAGCTTGTCCTATGTAGAGAGACACACCATGTCCTTTGCCCCTCATGGTCATGCTAATTTTGTTTTGGTTGGTTGAGCTGTTGTCCAATTTCTCCACTAAGTGATTTCTATTCAGATATTTCAAGACTGTGTAAATACCCTGCTCCTCACCAAAATTTCCCCTAAATTTAGCATTCATTGATGCTTCTTGCCTGAGCCAGTTTTTCTATGATTACAAAATGGTAATTTTCCAACTCTAGCATTCTCCCACGTTTACCAGTCGGTAATTGACATTGATCGTACTGTAGTCAAGAGCCTTTTTTCCTCCCCGTTCATTTATTTATTATCAGTATGGACTCATGGATTCCTGTGTATTTTTTCCAGTAGTTTATAATCACTACTTACGTTGGCATAGAACTCATGCTTTTATCCATTAGATCTATGTTTCTCAAACTTTATTGACTACAATCTACAGTCAATCCAGTAAAGAAATTAGAAAATGAAATTAGAAGCATGAGGATTTGAAATGAAGAAAGGCCATTATTTGCAGTATTAAGGTCATTTACATAAAAAACCTTGAAGAATCTACAAGTTATGAGAAGTAGGAGCTTAACATGACTAGATGTAAGATGTATTTATAAAAATCAGTTGCATTTTTGTACACAAGCAGCCAACTATTAACCTATAGTAAAAAATGTTTTCATTAAGTACACATATAAATATGCATTTATAACATAAAGCGTTTCATAAAACAATACTTAATTTTTACTATGAAAGATATACTCTGATATTTTTCTGATCTATTTTATTTAGTTTTATTAAGGCTGGTTGTGATCACTAAACTTAATTTATAGCCCCAAAGAAATTCAAAATCACTACCCTGTGCTATTCTGCCATTTAGAATGACCTTTCATTTCTTTTCTGATTCTTCTTTCATGTTTTCATTCCTTTTTTAAGCATTCTGTTATGGAAAATTATAAACATATCACAGTAGATAGAATGGTATAATGAACCCCCTATATATCCATCAGTTAGCTTTATCAACTATTACATAGTCCACCTTGTACTCCCCTTTGGATTAGTTTAAAGCAAATCTCAGACATCCATGTATTTCATCTTTAAAATATTTTAGTTCTTATCTAAAAGATAAGGACTTTTAAAAAAATTCCATTATTCCACCTAAAATAATAATTCCTTAACAACATGTTTCTGGTCAGTGTTTGGAAATAATTGTCTCATAAATCGTTTATTGGGTTAGTTTGTTCAAATCAGGATCCAGTGAGGTCCATACATTGCTTAATTAGTATCTTTTTCATGTATTCTTTACATGTTTTTTCATATCTATACAGAATCCTATTCTCTTATTCATGTTTTTATGTAGACCATTATTTATTTAATGAAGTAATCATGTGTTGCACCTTTAGGTTCGACGCTGGGCTATCCTGACTGCAAGAAACTTGGGAAAAGTCGACAGAGATGATTATTATGACTTACAAGATGTTTTAACTTGCCTTTTTAAAGTCATTGAGTTGGGACTTTTAGAAAGTCCAGACATTTATACTTCTTCTGTCCTTGAGAAGGGTAAACTGATTCTTCTGCCCTCACACATGTATGATACTGCGAACTACAAAAACTATTGGTTAGGTGAGTATTGTTCCTATAGGAGATACATTTTCGAACTCCTGACTCTTTTTTTTTTTTTTTTTTTTTTGAGACAGAGTCTCACTCTGTTGCCTTGGCTAGAGTGCCGTGGCATCAGCCTAGCTCACATCAACCTCAAACTCCTGGGCTCAAGCAACCCTTCTGCCTCAGCCTCTCGAGTAGCTGGGACTACAGGCATGTGCCACCATGCCTGGCTAATTTTTTTTTTCTATATATTTTTAGTTGGCCAATTAATTTCTTTCTATTTTTAGTAGAAACGGAGTCTCGCTCTTGCTCAGGCTGGTTTCGAACTCCCACCTCAGCCTCCCAGAGTGCTAGGATTATAGGCATGAGCCACTGGGCCTAGCCAGGAGATACATTTTCAAGCACTAGCAAATGAGTCTTTTGTTTAAAGCAACATGAGATTAACAGATATTAGTGTAGTAGTTGACTTAATAGGGGTCTGATTGTTAATACCTCTTTTCCAATGTGTAAGATATTTCCTGGTAGAAAGAGTTGCTAGCATTGTTTTGCCCCCCCAACACACACACAAACAGCTTTTATCACAGAAAAGAAAGAAACTATACAAAGTGAAAATACATTCCAAAGAGAGAGGAACGGGTCAGTCTCCATGAGTGGAGAAAGACCTACTAACATTGTTTATAAGTTCTGTGCTGCCTCAAAATAGTTATACCCCATTTCATTGATTCCAAGTCTTAAGGTCATGTGTCATAATTGGCAGCGGGTTTTTTTCCTATTTTAGCGGTATATGATATACGATATACCTTAAAATTGAAGGTATCTTAGATTAGTGAAATACAAGTTATGTGGTAGTTATCTTAATAATTGTTTTCTAACCAAGCTAGTACCATTTTCCCCTTTTCCGCTTGAGTCAGTCTAAAATTCTGTTACATGGGAGCAGTTGTATATGAATATCTCAGACTTAAATGTTTGAGGAACCAGATACTGTTTTGCTTCATCTTCCTGCCTTGTATTTCTTTTGCCAGCTGAACCAGACAAGCCATTATAATGGTGTTATTTCATTAATTCAAGAAAATTTTAAATAATCTTACAGGTATTTGCATGTTGTTGACCATTCTTGAGGAGCAAGCCATGGATTCTCTGTTGTTGGGCTCAGACAAACAAAATGATTTTATGCAGTCAATACTTCACACCATGGAGAGGCAATCAGACGGTAATAAACTTTACTCACTAAATGTTTTTGAGTACTGGGTTCATGATGCTCTTTTAAAATGATAGTGTCACTGCAAGAATTGGTGTATGGTATGAAGTAAAGAAGAGTTAACTTTTATGGTTTAGATAACAGGTTCAGACTTTCAGATCAGAAAGAACCTTTAGAGTTTAATTCAGCACCTTCCATTCAGAGGAAGGGACTGAATGAACCCCAAGGAAGATAACCTACTTTTTCATGATGAAAAAAATTAGTGGTAGAATGAAAACTGGAACCTGTGGGAGACCCATTGGTAATGACATGGTGGTTAACATTGTGGGGAAAGCCTCCCCTGTCCCATGGTCTCCCTTTGTCTGCTTCTTCATTTCTCTGTGGTTCTCGTTGTCTAGTAAGGTAACTGCCAGCCATATGTGATTATTTAAATTTAAATTAACTAAAATTTAAAAATCACTTTTTAGTCCCACTAGCCATATTTCAAGGCCCAATAGCCACATGTGCCTGGTGGCTACTATATAAACAGTGCAGATAACAGAATACTTTCATTATCATAGAAAATTCTCTTGGACAGTTCTGTTCTAGATAATCTAGAAAGTGAGGCCTAAACCTTGTAGTTATGTTTATTATTAGATCCTGACTTCCTTTTCCTTATGGTTGTATCAGGCTAATCATGATCTTTACTAAATAAATATTTATAGTCTTCTTTATGAAGGAATGAGTTAATAAAGACCAAAAATGTCAGATCCTGTGAAAACATAATATTTTTCCTCCATTCATTTTTTTGTTCAAGCAACTTGACTGTGGATATAAACTCATTTGTGGGAAATTCAAAAAAATGTATATTAATGTTACTCTTTTTTTGATGGCATATATTTCCTTGCTAGATGATTCCTAAGATTATTACTCATTTATTTGCTAGTATTGAATGCATAAATTTTTCATTTCTTTCCTTATGACTAACTGCACGTATCATGTATAATTCTGTCCTTTCTCTTCTTCAAAATGTGAGTCACCTCTTAAGAAACCTTTCATAGTCGTCCTCACCTGACTATTTTCTTCCTTGAGAGCATGCTAGACATAAGGCACTGTATCAGCTATAGTGGAGGATACAAAAATATATGAGAAAGTCTGGACAGATGACTGATTAGAGGGCAGAGTCTGAGAGGTCTGAGGGAAGTAAAGTCACAGGTTCTAGGGTGACTAAACAAAATTATCATTAACTGGAAGAGTTAGAGAACTTGCCTCAGAAGAGTACTGTAGGTGATTAAATGGGGAACGTTTAACGTAGGAGGAGGCATTTAAACTTTTAAGGATGGATGGGATTTTGGCAAGTGGTGCACATAGCGAAGGCATCCTGTTGCTTATTTGGGAAAAAGCTGGTGATGTGTTTTTGCTGTGGATAGTCTGTGGTTTGGGGAGTGTGAAAAATAAAGCCAGAAAGAAATAATACAGGAAGATTTAAGTTTTGTTTTGTTTTCCCTTTTTTGAGGCATAGTCTCACTCTTTTGTTCTGGCTAGAGTAAAGTGGCGTCATGATAGCTCACTGCACCCTCAAACTCCTGTGCTTGAGCAATCCTGCCTCGGATTCTGGAGAAACTAGCACTACAGCCTGCACCACCACGCCTGGCTAACTTTCTGTTTTTAGTAGAGATGGGGTCTTGTTCAGGCTGGTCTTGAACTTCTGGCCTCAAGTGATACTCCCAGCTTAGCCTCCCAGAGTGCTAGGATCAGCCACCACACCCAGCCTTTGTTAAGTTTTTGACTGAGGCTTTAGATTTTTCTTGGAAGACATAAGGCTCTATTGAAGGTTAAATTGGATGAAAGTTGATAATAACAAAGCCATGTTGTGATAGATTGAACGAAGGGTGTGTATTTTGGCTTATGCATTAGTTAAGGGATTCAGTTCTTTTTTTTTTTTTTTTTTTGAGACAGAGTCTCACTTTGTTGTCCAGGCTAGAGTGAGTGCCGTGGCGTCAGCCTAGCTCACAGCAACCTCAAACTCCTGGCCTCAAGCAATCCTTCTGCCTCAGCCTCCCGAGTAGCTGGGACTACAGGCATGCGCCACTATGCCCGGCTAATTTTTTTTATATATATATCAGTTGGCCAATTAATTTCTTTCTGTTTATAGTAGAGACGGGGTCTCGCTCTTGCTCAGGCTGGTTTTGAACTCCTGACCTTGAGCAATCCGCCCGCCTCGGCCTCCCAAGAGCTAGGATTACAGGCGTGAGCCACCGCGCCCGGCCAGGGATTCAGTTCTTTACACGAGATGTATGACACACAAAATTCAGGATTGTGCTGAAGAAGAATTTGTTGTTATGGGTCTCCTTTAAATGTGTAAATAACAAGTGTCTCTTTCCTTTTCCCCTCTACTTCTTTTCTGTTATTTATTGGAGGATGGGAATATGAAGTTCCGGGCGGGGGTGAGGAGCTGAGTAGAAAAGATTGTTTCAGGTATGGCAAGCAGTGCAAAAAGGTTCTGTTTACCAGACTATTTTGTTGCCCATTTAACAATTTTTCCCCATTAAAAAGGCTTTTTACAAGGGTATCACAGTATTGTTTGAAAAATATTTTCAGAGGCTGGACGCTGTGGCTCATGTCTGTAATCCTGTTACTCTGAATGGCCGAGGTGGGAGGATCACTTGAGATCAGGAGTTGGAGACCAGTCTGAGCAAGAGCAAGACCCTGTGTCTACTAAAAATAGAAAAAATTAGCCAGGTGTGATGATGTGCCCCTGGAGTTCCAGTTACTTAGGAGGCTGAGGCAGGAGGAGTTTGAGGTTCCTGTGAGCTAGGCTGAAGCCATGGCACTGTAGCCCGGGCAACAGAGCTAGAATGATCTGTCTCAGAAAAATATTTTGAGAATTTGCCAGCTTTTAAAAACCTTTGTCTCTAAGGATTGGCAGTGCTTTACTTTAAATGACTTGCTGCTTTGCTTTTAATTTTGTTGCCAAACAGATAAAGAATGCTTAATTCTCAATATATTTTAGTACATTTTTCTAATTGTTTTGTAATTCCGTAATTACTCTATTATATTTCAGATGATAGTGTGGATCCTTTCTGGCCAGCATTACATTGTTTCATGGTGATTCTGGATCGCTTGGGATCCAAGGTCTGGGGTCAGCTTATTGACCCCATTGAGGCATTGCAAACCATTATCAACAACGTGAGCTACAATCGAGAGATCCAACACATACGGAACAGTTCTGTGAGGTCAGTTTAATTCATGTCAGCATATAAAAATAATCTCTGTAAGGATGTGTGTTGTAACTGACTTAACAAGAGGGTTTTTTGCCTTTCTTTTCCTTCATTTCAGTAACTTTTATTTATTCTTACTATTTAAGGACCAAGTTAGAACCAGAATCATATTTGGATGATATGGTGACTTGCAGCCAGATTGTATACAATTTTAATCCTGAAAAGACCAAAAAGGTATACAACACTTTAAAAATTCAGGTGATATTTTATTGCCTTTATATTGAATAGACAGTGTTTTATATAATTAGTTGAATTGCTGATTTTATTAATATAATATGTAGTTATCTTGAATCACCTTCTACATAAAAGCCTTCTGATTTAACAGATGTATTGTGCATGAGGCAGAAATGGACTCTACAGTGTGTACACTTTGGTAAATTAATTTTTAAGTGCACTTAGGGAAGATGAAAAGTTAATGGGCACATAAGTGACATGACTAGAAATCAAACCCAGCCAGGAGAAGGCCAGGTTACATGAAGGTGTTGTAAATTTGCTTTTTCATGAAACTTTAACCTCAGAATTCAACTTATGTTTTCAATTTCTTGGGTGGTATGTATATTAAAAATAATACATAATAAACCAAAATAGGTGTGTTGGGATGATAAATTTTCTTTTTTATAGCTTAAGAATTAAAGCTATCATGAATGGTGCTTATTTATCTGAATGTCAGTATTTCTTTCATTTTAGGATTCTGGATGGAGATCAGCCATTTGCCCAGATTATTGTCCTAACATGTATGAAGAAATGGAAACTTTAGCCAGTGTACTTCAGTCAGATATTGGTCAAGACATGCGTGTTCATAACAGCACATTTTTGTGGTTCATACCTTTTGTTCAGTCCCTCATGGATCTTAAGGATTTGGGTGTGGCTTACATAGCAGAGGTTATTCATCATCTGCACTCTGAAGTCAAAGATGTCCTCAACCAAACAGATGCTGTGTGTGACAAAGTCACTGAATTTTTTCTTCTAATTTTGGTATCAGTGATTGAACTGCATAGAAATAAAAAATGTTTGCACTTGCTATGGATTAGTTCCCAGCAATGGGTGGAAGTCGTCGTAAAATGTGCCAAGCTTCCTACCACATCATTTGCACGGAGTTCTGAGAAGTCATCTGGAAATTGCTCCAAAGGAACGGCAATGATATCATCACTGTCGTTGCATTCAATGCCATCTAACTCTGTACAGCTTGCTTGTGTGCAGCTGATTAGAAGTCTCCTTAAAGAAGGTTATCAGCTTGGACAGCAAACTATTTGTAAGCGATTTTGGGATAAGCTTAACTTATTCCTTCGGGGAAATTTATCTCTAGGTTGGCAGTTGACTAGTCAGGAAACCCATGAGTTACAAACTTGTTTAAAGCAAATTATTAGAAACATAAAATCAAAAGTACCTCCATGTAGCACTTTAGTGGATCTGACTCCTGCATGTAAAACCCCTCCTGCATCTTATAATAAAGAAGAAAGTGAACAAATAGGGAAGAAGTCTGTAAAAGACATACATTGTCTAGAAAACTCCAGCCCAACATTTTCTAAAGATCTGATGAAAGCTGACATATATCAAGTACCAGAAAGTATATCGATCAAAACAAGTAACACTGTAGAAGAAGAGGATAATGAGCAAAATTATATGAAGGATTTGAAATTAGAAGACCATTGGTCAGCTGAGTCATGCTTAAAGCAGGATAGTAAAAGCCTTTTTATTGAGAAAGCCCAGGATCAAATTAAAATAAGTACAAGGAAGCAGAAGTCTGTAAAAGAAAACTCCTCATATACCCCAAAGAATTGTACTTCAAGAAATGGTCCACAAAGGGGAAGTGACAGAGAAATAATATCACCACATTTGTTGACTGATTGTAGCACTGAGTCTCTGGAAAAAGTGTCCGCATCAAATGCAGATTTCTCTTCCAAGGATGATGTTCTTGGTAAAATCTCAAAACCAAAAACTAAGACACAGAAGAAAGATGAAATCTGTGCAAAGTTATCACACGTAATAAAGAAGCAACATGGGAAAAGAACTTTGGTCCATAATGCTATTAATTTAGAGGAAAACCTAACTGCATCTAACACTGAGAGTTTCTATTCAGGGAAAGATACAGAAGTTCAGAAAGGGGATGGCTTTATACACAATCTGTCTTCAGACCCTAATGGCATTCTAGATGATAATAAAAATGGAGAACAAAAATCTCAAAATAGCTTATTACTGAAAAAGAAGCAAATAAAGAATGAAGAGTTAGATATTTTCTCTTCCCTTGAAAACAATTATAAAATACAGGAACGTCCTCTTGATCAAGATGTGGTCTCATTTAGAGAAATGACCGATACTTTAGTGAAGAAAATGTCTCTTTTTAAAGCTCCTGTGACTGTAGTTGAATCGAGAGAGAAGGAAATGAGTAAGAGTACTCTGGTTTCTTCTAACTTGACAATAGAACAGGCTCCTGGCATCAGTCCTAAGTCTGAAACCTTAACAGATTCTCAGATAGACAGAGACCTCCACAAGTTATCTTTAATGGCTCAAGCCAGTGTTACTAAGTTTCCATCAGATTCAACTCAAAAAAGCTCATCCCAGCTCCAAAGAAAAGTAAAAGAAGAAAAAAGATGTTTCACAGCTAACCAAAATAATGTTGGAGACACTGGCTGTGGACAGGTTATTATTATTTCAGATTCTGATGATGAAGATGAAGGAATTCTGGGTGATCAGAAACACATGAAACAGGACAAAACATGCATGAAGAAAGAATGTCCAGAGCAGCATGTTTCAGTAGTTACTAGTAATGTAGAAAAGAAGCCAATAAAGAAAGAACAAACACAGTCTCTTCCGCAGTTTGAGGATTCAGATTCTCAGTTTTTTGAGTTTGAAAGTCCATCTGAAGTGTTTTCAGTTTGGCAGGATCATAAACTAGACAGTTCACTTCAAGAGGATGAAAAAAATTCATGTTTGACTCACATGACTGCTACCACAAATATTTGGGATGATGATGACACAGATTATGCATCTGAAGAGGTTACTAAAAAAGCAGAAGGCATTGAAGGCCACACAGAAGCACATAGTAGTAGTATTTCTGTTGAGGAATTTCGTGAAACTGAAGGGAAAAAACCTAAGAGAAAACGATTTACAAAAAAATCAATGGCTGAAGATCCTCTAAGCCCTTCATCTTCTGTCAGAAGTGAGGACCAGTCTCTCATTAATAAGAGAGAGATTCCTGAAAATGATTTTAAAAAAAGTATAGACTTAAAGACTACAACACCCAATTCAAGTATTCAGAGAGCCACAACGGTTTCCCCAAGGAAGTCTCCAAAGCATCGTACTTGTCCAGAACCCATTAGGAAAGTCCCACTTTCTAAAACCCCTAAGAAAGCACATTCAGATACCAGAAAAGGACAGAGTAAAAATTCAAATTACATACGTTGTAGGACATCTCCTGCGATAGTGCCACCAAAGAAATTTCGCCAGTGTCCTGAGCCAACCTCAACAGCTGAGAAACTTGGTCTGAAAAAGGCTCCTCGTAAGGCATTTGACTTGTCCCAGCGATCTTTAGAATCTTTAGTTCAATTACGTGATCATGGCAAAACTGTTGGAGTAGTTGATACCGGAAAAAAAACTAAATTAATTCCTGCTCAGACTCTTTCTGTCAAAAATAATAAGAAACTCCTAACCAGTCAAGATCTTCAGTTGCAAAGGCAGAAAAGACACAAATCACAACAAAATAGACAAGGGCTCTTTGATTATGGAAGTACAGGTGCTACAAGAGCAGGGCCACATACAGCACAGAATTCTGACACATTTGTACCAGAATCTGATAGACCAAATTATAATTATACAGGAGGAACTAAGGTACTTGCCAACAGTAATGGAAAACAGTTAATAAAATGCATGTCTTCTGAACCAGAAACCACAAAAGCAAAATATGTTTCTCAGGCAACTGATGATGCTTGTCTTTTGAACCAGCGTGATTCTGTGGTGTTAAATGGAATACCAACAAATGAAATAATAGTCTCTACTTTAGAGGACCCTTTAGCAGGAGGTGATCCAATAGTACATCCTGTAGAGGTGGCAACTTTGAAAGAGGGAGATTCTGAATCCAGCAGTGATATAGAGGAAGATAATATATTTTTAACACAAAATGACCCTGAAGATATGGATTTGTGTTCACAAATGGAGAATGATAATGTTAAACTCATTGAAGTAGTTCATGGAAAAGATACAGTTCAGGTAGAAGTTTCTGTAAGTTGGCCTCAGTTGGAATCGTTGAGTGGCACAAAGTGTAAGTACAAAAATTGTGTTGAAACCATGAAAAACCAGAGTGAATACTGCTCAAAGCACTCTGAAGCTAAAGCAGCAGATGAAGATGTATTTCGTAAACCTGCCCTTCCTCTTTCTGCCTCTAAACCTTCAAGACCTTCCACTGCTAAGATTTTTAGCTCAAGAAGTACTTCACGAATTGCTAATCTTTCCAGATCTTTGGAAAATACTACAGCACTTCCACCAGCTCTAAAAACTAAGCCAAATGGGGTACAATCTATTTTGAAAGTACCGCAGGCAGCTCCCATAGTGTCTCAGAAGCCAATGGGGGAAATGAAGAGTTTGTGCAATGTTCTTCATCCTCAGACTCCAAATAATTCTAACAGGCAAGGTTACAAACTTCTGTTTGGTGAGAACAAATCTTTTTCAACTTCCTCTCCAGTAAACATTCTGTTATCATCACAGTCTATCTCTGACACCTTTGTTAAAGAGGTCTTAAAATGGAAGTATGAAATGTTTTTGAACTTTGATCAGTGTGGGCCCCCTGCAAGTCTTTGTCAGTCCATCTCAAGACCTGTGCCTGTCAGATTTCAAGATTGTGGAGATTATTTTAATGTCTTTTTCCCTTTGATGATATTGAATACTTTTGAAACAGTAAGTATATGTTTCATTTGTATGCCTTTCCACATTGTTCATGTTGGTTTTCTTTACCATGCTGAGTAATAGAGTACAGTTAAAGTAATTGACCTTTTTGATTTAGATACTGCTTTTAGATTTCACGTTGAACAGACATTTGTACCAGCCACTGTTCTAGATGCTGGCGATACAGAGGAAACACTTTGAACTTCTGCCCCCTGAAGCTTTATAGATACAACTCAGGGTGCTAATGTACCAAGTCCAGAGGTAGCACAGGAAGAATTGTTTATCAATGCACAGGTAAGGGAAGACTTCTCAGAGGAGATAGTCTCCCATCTACATTTGTTTTGTTTTTTAAGTAACGTAGACCTTTAGTGTAGTTTTCTTGAGGAGGTGACAAAGGTAAGTTGCATTGAACACAAATTAATCCTAAGTTTCTCTTTACACATCTGGCTTCTCAGTTTCCTACTCATCAGAGCAGCTGCTGTCCTGCTGTAACTGCCTCCCCAACCTCAACACATCCTAGTTTGGTTTTTCTTTCCTCCTTGTACCCTTTGACTAGGGTTGACAAGTAATACAGGATTCATGGTTGAATTTGAATGTCAGAAAATAGGGCTGGGCACAATGGCTCATGCATATGTAATCCTTGCACTCTGGGAGGCTGAGGTGGGAGGATTGCTTGAACTCAGGAGTTGGAGACCAGCCTGAGCAAGAGTGAGAACCCATCTCTACTAAAAATATTCATAGGCTGGGCGTGGTGTCTCATGCCTGTAATCCTAGCACTCTGGGAGGCCGAAGCGGGCGGATTGCTCTAGGTCAGGGATTCGAAACCAGCCTAAGCAAGAGCGAGACCCCATCTCTACTATAAATAGAAAGAAATTAATTGGCCAACTAATATATAGAAAAAATTAGCTGGGCATGGTGGCGCATTCCGGTAGTCCCAGCTAGTCAGGAGGCTGAGGCAGGAGGATTGCTCGAGCCCAGGGGTTTGAAGTTGCTGTGAGCTAGGCTGACGCCATGGCACTCACTCTAGCCTGGGCAACAAAGTGAGACTGTCTCAAAAAATAAATAAAAATATTCATAGAAAAATTAGCCGAATGTGGTGGTGTGTACCTCTAGTCCCAGCTACTCAGAAGGCCGAGGCAGGAGGATCACTTGAGCCTAGGAGTTTGAGGTTGCAGTGAGCTATGATGATGCCACTGCACTCTACCCAGGCTGACAGAGTATGACTCTGTCTCAAAAAGAAAAAAAAAAAAAAAGACAGCAAATAATTCTTTAGTATAAGTATTTAGTGCATTTTGAAAGGTGTTTTCAAGGCAGGTAAGGGATTAGGAACAAATTTTTACTTTTTCAAATTCTTTAAAAAATCCCCACATGCAGTAAGACTCTTAAATAAAACCAATGGTGTTGAGGTAAATATTCATAAATTCATTCACTTAATAGATATTAGGGCACTCAGTGCTCTTACAGGCCTGGGAGATAAAGTGGTAAACAAGACAGATAAGGAGTCTGCCCTCTGGAAGTGACCATTTCAGATTGGTATAAAAGGTCCAAGTGTGACCTAGAACAAAGGGAACAGGGCCCTTTTAAATGGAAAGATCAGATAGCCTCCCTGAGAGTAGATGGTGTCCACGCTGACACCCACGGGAAGAGCAGGAGTCAGCTTTGGGAAGTAGTTCCAGGCAGAGTGGAGTGCGTAGACACTGTGGTGACAACATAGCTTGGTGTGTTGAAGAAAGGAAGTGTGTTGCACAAAGGGACAAGTCTGCTGGAAAAGAAGATAAGCAGGTGAATTATTAATACTGTACTTGGTGAGATAAATGGCTTCTCTAAAGCCTGAGCCAGTGCATCTTTAATATGTACTTCATGTTGAATCTTTTGTATCAACTTACGCTCCCAATTTTAGCAATTGTTTTAGAGTTGCTTCATTCTTGCCTGGAAAGCACTTAAATCCCTTAGAAGTTGTTCAGAGCCATTTTAAGGGCAGACACATTTCTGATTTTATTTTTCTTTGAATTAAAAGGTATTAATATTTATATATTCCTTTTTCACATTTTTTCCTTTGTGGACATTTTTGTAGCCCCAGCCTTTTTTTTTTTTTTTAAAGAATGCGCACAAGTTCTGTATGTATATATACTAAGTTTAAAAATAGTAAAATACTTCTATAAGACCCATTATAAAAATATCAGGCATCCTTCACTTCCCAGGTAACCATTAATTCAGTTCTTGATTGCTTTGAAAAATCCTTCCATATTTCCAAATAACATGCCTGTATTATGACTTCTTGATTTTCCATTGTTAGGCATTTTCTGTTAGCTTTCTGCTTAAGGAGGTACTTGCTCTTTCCAGCCCAGCCTTCATGCACACCATTCCTGTTCCCCCATCATCACTGTGGGATTTTTTATTGTTTTGATTGTGTGAAAGGTATCTGCAGCTATGTCCTGTGGTGTGCTATAACTACTTTTTGTTTTGTTCCCAACTCTTTTTTCCCTGGATTTGTTATTTTGTGTATTAACTTAACACTTGTCTATACACTTGTCTATACACTATACACTTGTCACTAAATTCAGACTCTCTTTTGAATGTTTAAAAGCCTTATGATCAGGCACATCATTTAATCTATAAATTTCTTCTTTGTGTGGCATGTGACAATTTTCTGAAAATAGCTGCCATCCTTATTCTCAGGCTTGCATTTTCTTCTTCCTTGGGTTGGGTCTCTGTCTCCTACACTCCATGTCATCTTTCTTGATCACTCTCTCACTTTGGTGAGGTACATCCTTCAAGCTTTCAGAGAAAAAGGGTATGTGCGAATTAAATTTTTGAAACCTTATCTGTCTTAAAAATTTCTTCAGTTTTCTCATTTTTTTTCTATCTTTCATTTTCTTTTTGCTCTAGTCTTTTTTTTTTTTTTTTTTGAGACAGGATCTTGCTCTGTCACCCCAGCTAGAGTGCAGTGATCATAGGTGATCATAGCTCACCTCAACCTTGAACTCCTGGGCTCAAGCGATCTTGCCTCATTGTTGATTTAAATACTTAATGAGTACATGGTTACATTTAGATAAAACCCATCTTAGGGCCCAAAAGGTAATTTGTTAGTTTTTTAAAAAATTGAAACCTAATATGACTTATTTACACTAGTAGTCTCCTTTCTAAATTTGGGGGTGGGGGTAGTCCTCAGAAAATCCTCCCAGGTACTTCTGAGTTTGAGGCTTTGGCACATTGGGAGGTGGGTACGGAGTTTTCTAAAAACTGGCAGGATGACATGTTGGCGAAAAACTGCAAAGTTTGCAACAGATCTAAGTCCTTTTGGACTTTTGAGATGGTCTGGTTGGGAAGTAACATTTCAGCAGTACTTTATACACTGCTGGACATGCTCTACATCTGCAGCAAGGAGTGTAATCACCACAGGTGCCTATTGAGCACTGGAAGGGTGGCCAGTGTGAGAAATTTTTAATTTTTAAGATTTTAGTTAAATTTAAATAACCAAATGTAGCTACTGAATTGGCAGGAGAGTTCTAGCCAGTTTCATTAAACTGCCACAAATCAAATTTTAGTTTCTGTCACCTCAGATTCTAAGTTATCTGATTTTACGGTTGCTTGCTTTGGAAAATTTTGGTGTTTATTGTGGCTTTCCAGAATGTTTTTGCTTTCTTAATTTGTGTTTTTGCTTTGTATAGGTGGCTCAGGAATGGCTCAGCTCTCCAAATAAAGAGAATTTTTATCAGTTGCACTTACGAAAATTTCCTGCTGATTATAAAAAATGCTGGGAGTTTGTGGGTAAGATGTTTCTTATGCAACTTGGAATATATAATACAATAATTGGAGATTTCTAGTTAAGAGATCATTATTTGAATCTGGGGGGACATAAGTTTTCTAAGCTGGATTTGTAACCTCTTGCAAGAATATGTTTATAATCTTAATGAGGATGATTACTGGGACAATTATGAAAATAAAATTCTTGTTTTTTTCCCCCCACTCTAATTAGAATCCCACAAGCTGAAGTGTCAGTGGAAGCTAGGAATGAGAGAGAGGGTGGGTGGAGGGGCTTGTCGGGAGTATTACAGTAATAGTCTTTGCATATGTCTTCTTGTTTCATGATTAGTCTGAGCCATGTATCACTATTATGTATTAGTTAAATACACGAGACATTCAGAACTCTTAAAAATGAAATGCATAAGTCCTCTTTTTTTACCTCCACCGCATTCATCCTACTCTGTATATCCACTTAAGAAAAAAATGAATGTGTGTGTATGTTTTTGGGAAATGTACTACGTGTTCATTGTAGGACATCTAGATAATAACAGAAATAAAATAAACATCACCCATAGTTCCCATTATCTAGAGAAAATTCCATTAACATATTAGTGTGTATCTTACTGCCAGACTTTCTGTTCACCTGTATGAAGTACGTGTGTGTGTGAGAGAGAGATGGGATCATTTTACTTATTTTGTGACATTTTTCATTCAGTCATCGAGTAAATATTTATTTTACACTTGATAGTATGTGATTCCCAATGCAGTGTATAGCTGTGAAGAAAACACAAAGTTCCTGCCTTCATGAAGCATACATTTGACTTATGTTCATTTAATGTATTATAAATGTCTTCAGTGTTATTAAATAATAGCAGTATATCATATTTAATAGTTGTAATTATTCCATTGTAGCATATTCCATAGTTCATTTAACCAATATTTCTAGTTAGGCATGTACTTTGTTTATAGATTTTATTATAAACACTCTGAATAGGTCCCTTTATTCTCTGTCAAACTCCGTGTACATTTTAAGACTTCTGATTCATATTGTCTGTGACTACCAAAAGGAATACTTTTTTCACTTCTTTTTTCTTTTAATAGAATAATAGAATTTATTAAGTTGAACGATATGAAATTGGCAATAGTTAATCATTTTTTTAGCTTTTTTTTTTTTTTAGCATATTATGGGGGTACAAGTGTTGATGTTACGTATATTGCCCATCCCCCCGCCCCCCTTGAGTCAGAGCTTCAAGCATGTCCATCCCCCAAATGTTGCACCTCTTACTCGTTGTGTTTGTATATACCCATCCCCTCCTCCCCCCTCCCACCTGCCCGACACCCGATAAATGTTATTACTATATGTCCACTTAGGTGTTGATCTGTTAATACCAATTTGCTGGTGAGTACATGTGGTGCTTGTTTTTCCCCTTTTTTACTTCTAACATCATTAAGGATGTAAGGATGTGCATTTCCTTCATTTGCTAATTGTGACCTTCTTTAACCAATTTTATCTATGAAAAATGTATCTCATTTAAAGTTGTAGTTTTTGTCCCCAAATGTTTACTGGTTTTTTGTATTCTTGGGGATGTGGGGTTAATTGCCTCTTAATGTTATTTCTTCTTTTTTTTTCTATTAGGAATATTGTTTTCTTAATTTGTATGCATTATTACTAGTTTGAAGTTTTTTTTCAGTTTCATTATTTGCTGTTCCTTTTTTTTTCCTTGTCAGAGACAGTTTCTCGCCATGTTGCCCAGGCTGGCCTTAAAACTTCTGGGCTCAAGCAAGCCTCCTGCCTCAGCCTCCTGAGTAGCTGGGACTGCAGGCACTCACCACCATGCCTGGCTGCTGTTTAATTTTTAACATGAAGTTTTTGAGGCATAGGTAATTTTTATCTTCATGTATTCAAAACTACCTTATTTAATTTCTCACAATTTTATTGTACACTTGACCCTTGAACAACATGAGGGTTGAGGTACTGATCCCCCTGCGCAGTTTAAATTTTTCTTACAAATTTTGCATCCTCAGAAATTTCACTAATCTACTGTTGACCAGAGGCCCTACTGATAACAGAGTCAGTTAACACATATTTTGTTTATGTTCTGTGTATTATATACTGTATTCTTACAATAAAATAAGCTAGAGAAAAGAAAATGCTATCAAGAAAATCATAAGAAAAAATATGTTTACTCTTCATTAAGTAGAAGTGGATCATTGTAAAGGTCTTCATTCTCATCATCTCTATGTTGAGTAGGCTAAGGAGGAAGAGGAGGGATTCATCTTGCTGTTTCAGGGGTGGCAAAGGTGGAAGCACATCCACATACAGGTGGACCCTTGCAGTTCAAATCTGTGTTCAGCAGTCAACTGTGCATCTAGATGCAATAGCTGCAAAGCATAATAAAGCCATTTAAAAACAAGTCTGTCCAACTCCGCCCCACACACATACCTGTTTTAAGTCTCTCTGCAAATTTATTCAGCCCCTTAGTAGTAAATTGAGCTTTTGTAGGGTTAATGTTACAGCTGCTAGGGGAGATCCTGGCTGGAATGGAGCGGGCGGGGGTATGGTGGCTACTGTAGGAACTACTGACTAGGATATTTTTTTCCCTTTCTTTGGGTCTCTGGTTTATGTAAAGCTTTGCTTCAGTCTTGGGAACTGATTAATTTTTTCCCCCACTTGGAAGAGAGAACTGAGTAAAGTTTTAACATTTTGCCATACCCAAAGCCCACCTTTGAGAGATTCTGGGCCATTTCTCCACCTACCTGAAGGAGAAAACAAAAGCCAAAGGCATTACCTGGGCTGTACGTTTTCCCCCTCACATTAGCCAGCGCAGCCAAAAGCAGCCAGGGATCCAGCTAGTTGGCTCTCCAGGAGTTGGATCTATCATTTTCAAATTCCATGGTAACTTTTACTGCTCATAACAGCAACTCAGCTGCTATTCCATACCATGGATGACTTTGTAGGCTACCCATGCACCAAACAAAGGTTTGTCACACCCCATCCTTTCTTCCTTCTCCCAAACAGGGCTTTGGGTGAGTCAGAGTTGTTCTAGCAAATCCTCCTGACCCAAACTCTGGTGGGGAGGGTCCCCAACATCATCTCCTATGCTTGATGATTGACTAGGATTTACAGGACTGGCCATACAGCCATACTCACAGCTATAATTTATTACAGTGAAAGGAAACAAAGCAAAATCAGCAAAGGGAAAAGGCGCATGGGACAAAGTCTAGAAGAAACCAGGTACAAGCTTTCAAGAGTCCTCTTACAGTAGAGTCACACAGGATGTGCTTAATTTTCCCAGTCATGTGTTGTGACAAATGTGTGAAATGTTGTCTACTAGAGAAGCTCATTAGAGACTCACCATCCAAGATACCCTCTCATTTCTTAAATGAGTAAGAAATCTCTCTGCTATAGGTTATAAATATATTCTCTTACCTTCTAGAACAGAGGTCAGCAAAACACAGCTTGTAGATCTATTAATACCTAACCTGTGTCTTGTTTTTAGACTGCCCTAGATAAAGATTTTTACATTTTTAAAGAGCTATAAAAAGCATATACAACAGGCAGTATATGTGACCCCCAAAGCCTAAAACATTTACTATCTGGCTCTTTACAGAGGAAGTTTGGGAACCTCTTTTCTAGAAGCTTCATTGTTTTCTCAACCTGGAATTGATGTTTGTGTGTGACTGGGGTGTAGGGGTCATGTTTCATTTTTTTCTCCCAAGTGGAGATCTGATTATCCCATTACTATTTACTGAAAGACCATCCTTGCTCCACCACAGTCGTATGTGTCATAAATCTAGCATCCATTATAAGTTTTAATATCCCATAGAGCAAGCCTTCCTACCTTGTTCTATTTTGCATGCCTTGGCCCTTTGCCTTTCCATATACATTTTAGAGGAAAAAGTGGAAATTTGGGGAGAATTGACATCTTTATAATACTGATTTTCTAATTCATGAATAAGGTATATGTGTTATTTAGGTTTAATTTTTCTCAATGTTTTATATTATTTTGTGGAGAAGTTTTATATATTATCTTTTAGTTAGTTTTTTTCAGTTAGTTTTTTTGTCATTTGTAACTGTGTTAGTGAATGTCTCCAAAAAATAAGGGCTTGGGAAAAAATTCATGATCATACCTAAAAGGTTAACAGTAACTCCTTTCAGTGTTCACATTTCCAATTTTCTTATAAACAACACATTTTTTCTGTTTGTTTGCATCAAGATCCAAATTAGGTTCACCTGGGCTGGGCATAGTGGCTCACGCCTGTAATCCTAACAATTTAGGGAGGTTGAGGCAGGAGGATCGCTTGAGGCCAGGAATTCAAGACCAGCCTGAGCAAGAGGCAGACCCCATCTCTGCAAAAAATAGAAAAGTTAACTGGGTGTGGTGGTTGCCTGCCTGTAGTCCTAGCTACTCTGTAGTCCCAGCTACTGGGAGGCTGACAGGAAGACCCTGCCTCAGGGAGGGAGGGAGCCCAGGAGTTTGAGGTTGCAGTGAGCTATGATGATGCCACTGCACTCTAGACGACACAGCAACACCCTGTCTAAAAAAACAAAGAACAGATTAGGTTCACCCAATGACATTGATTAATAGGTCTTTTTAAACTACAATTCTCTCATTTTTCACCCTTTGTAATTTATTTGTTGAAAAAAATTGGATTGTGTGTCTTATAGAGAGTTAATCATGGTCTGGACTTTGCTGATTGCATCTCTTTCTTTGTATTTAGACTGTTTCTCTGTCCCCTGTATTTCTTGTGAATTGGTAGTTGAATCTGGGGTTAATTAGATTCAGGTTAAATTTTTATTATTTTTTTTTTTGCAAAACGATTTCATAGATGATGTGTTCCTTCATCAGCAGGTAAATGATCTAGTTTCTTTTTGTGATATTCACAGCTGTTGGTGCTTAATGCCTGGATTCATTAATTCATTAAAGGAAGCAAAATGATTATGCTTTAATTTGATCATTTTTTTATTAGCTGGAATGCTTCTATAGAGAGAAATGTCTCTACATCTACTGTTTGGCTACTCAGTAGTAGAGTTTTATAAAGGAAATATAGAATAAATACTTGACCTTTGACCAGTTTTCAAAATGACCAGTGAGCTTTACAAAAAAAAAAAAAAAAGACTATGAATGCATGGATTTAAATATACTTGTGTTTCAATCCATGGCAATCAGCTCCTTCTTGTTGACTCTCCTGGGATATTTGAACAGGGCCTTACTAGTCTTTGAGAGTTTTCTTGCTGTTATCACAGGAGGTTCCAGGTTTATTTCATATATTTTCCTATTCCATGTCTGAACTTGTAGTTTTCTTGAGGTGCCTTGGTATCTTTAAGTTGAAAATAAAAATTGAAGACTGATCTGGGCATGCTATACGCTGTTAGCAAAAAATATACCCAAACATAAAGATACGGAAGTAAAAGATTGGAGAAAGATAACCATGTAAAACCCAACTACGAAAAAGCTTGTTTAGCTTTGTTAATATCAGACTAAATAGACATTAAGGTAGAAAGCATTATTTGAGATAAAAAGGGAATATTTTATAATGATAAATTCACTTCAGCAGAAGATACGACAATTCTGCATGCATATATACCTAATATATATATATATCTAATAAAATATACGAATAGCCAGGCATGTGCCACTACACCTGGCTAATTTTTTCATTTGTATATTTTTAGTTGCCCAGCCAAATTTCTTTCTATTTTTTAGTAGAGATGGGGTCTCACTCTTGCTCAGGCTGGTCTCGAACTCCTGAGCTCAATCAGTCCTCCCGTCTTGGCCTCCCAGAGTGCTAGGATTACGGGTGTGAGACACCACGCCCGACCTTAATGACCATTTTTTAGTTTATTTTTGTGTATGATTTAATGTAAGAATTAAGGGGCTTTTTGCTTTTTTAAAAAAATAGATATCCAGTTTTAGTGATATTTGTTGAAAAAACTTTCCTTTCCCCATTGAATAACCTTGGCACCTTTGTCAGAATATCAGTTGACCTATATTTGGACACTTCGTTCTGTTCTCTTTATCTGTGTATCTATTTTACACCAATACCACACTCTCTTGATTATTGTAACCTTATAAGAAGCATTGAAATCATCCTATAGTTTTAAGCTTTCTTGTTCTGTTTTTTTTTTTAAAAGTTTCTTTGTAGTGTCATATAAATTTTAGAATCAACTTGTCAGTTTTTATAAAAATGCCTACTGGTATTTTAACTAGCATTGCTTTGAATTTAAAGATTAATTTGAGGAGAGCTAACATTTTAACAGTATTGAATCTTAGTCTTTGAACTTGGTATATTTCTCCATTTATTTAGGCTGTCTTTAATTTCTCTGAGCAGTGTTTTGTATTTTTCAGGGTATAGTGCTGGATTTGGTGATTGGTACTGAACTTTGTTTTATGCCATTGCTTGCTCTATTTTCTCAGTCCCATTTAGTTTATGATTATCTTTTTTGAAATGCCATCAAAGTTTCAAAATTCTTATATGTACAGTCATGCATTACTTACATTCTGAGAAATATGTTGTTAGACGATTTTGTCATTGTGGGAATATCAGAGTTTATGTATGCAAACCTAGATGGTATAGCCTACTATAACCCTAAGCTATGCAGTACAGGCTGTGTTGTTCCCAGGCTACAAACCTGCGCAGCATGTGTACTGAATACTATAAGCAACTGTAACACAATGGGAACTATTTTGATATCTAAACATAGAAAAGTACAATAAAAACACCTACACTATTATAGTCTTACAGGACTAATGTCTAGGAAAGAAAGTGTATTAGCTACTTTTCAATATTAAGATTTTCTCTATTTTGCCTTTGTAGCAGTTTTTTTGTTTGTTTGTTTTTTAGTTTTTAAGAAAAGTGTTATAAATTTGTAATTGATATTTTAAATTTTTGATTGGATTATATTGCCATTTTAAAGTACATACAAAGTCCATTAGTGCTATATACTTTTGAACTTAAGTGCAAGGGTTTAATTTCTTTTGAGTTAATCTTATTTAAAATAATTCTGTTAGAGTTGTATAAATTTTGACTTTTTGTTTCATAGTTTATCTGGAGGAATGTGAACTGGCTAAACAGCTACATCCAAAGGAAAATGATTTGGTGTTTTTGGTTCCTGAGAGACAGAATGGAGAGAAGAAAGATACAGAGAGAGATTGCATGCGGGATCTCCATGAATATCATTGTGGTTATGTTCACAAGTTTCGACGCACTTCAGTCAGTAAGTAAATAATGAGACATTGGCCGGGCGCTGTGGCTCACGCCTGTAATCCTAGCTCTTGGGAGGCCGAGGCGGGCGGATTGCTCAAGGTCAGGAGTTCAAAACCAGCCTGAGCAAGAGTGAGACCCCGTCTCTACTATAAATACAAAGAAATTAATTGGCCAACTGATATATATATAAAAAATTAGCCGGGCATGGTGGCGCATGCCTGTAGTCCCAGCTACCCGGGAGGCTGAGGCAGAAGGATCACTCGAGCCCAGGAGTTTGAGGTTGCTGTGAGCTAGGCTGACGCCACGGCACTCACTCTAGCCTGGGCAACAAAGTGAGACTCTGTCTCAAAAAAAAAACAAAAAAAAAAAAAAAAAAAAATAATGAGACATTAACAAGAAATCTATCAGATACAAGCTCATCTTCTAATTTCCCTCAAAATTGTGGTTTACCAGCCATGTATTTAATAAACATTTATGAAACATGTTTTTGCTGTGTGTCAACAACTTGCCATTCAGAGTCCCTTTCCTAGTTTTTGTAGATGCATCTGGAAAAGACCCCATATTTATTGCTATAGCCTTATGATTTAAAAGCTTTCTTTTGTAATGTCCTCCTCTCCTGGTACATTTCTCCGTCTGTCATTTTGTTTGCTATAACCATCTGTTAACCAATTGTAAGCCTTCTGTTTGTTATATCTTAAATCAAATCCCAACCTTGGTTTTGTGGCTAATTACTAATTAGAACATAAAACATAAAACTCATTGTAAGGTAGCTTGAGGAATCTTCTATTTATTTTTATTATTTTTTTTTAACTTGGACAACTCTGGAAGTAATCTGTTTATATTACTCCCATTAACTAAATTGTAGGGACTTTTCTCCCTAAGGTAATGTAATAACAAAAATGTTACAGGTGCAGTGGCTCAGGCCTGTAATCCCAGCACTTTTTAGAGGCCATGGTGGGAGGATCACTTGAGGCCACGAGTTAGAGACCAGCCTGAGCAACATAGTGAGACCTTATCTCTACAAAAATATAGAAAAATTAGTGTGCCTGTAGTCCCAGCTCTTTGGGTGGCTGAGGCAGGAGGATTGCTGAGCCCAGGAGTTTTGAGGTTGCAATGAGCTGTGATGACACCACTGCACTCTAGCCCCAGCAACAGAGTGAGACCTTCAAAAAAAAAAAAGAATAGCAGTAAAGCTCCTTAGGGCAACACATTATGCCGCATTATAACAGGTGTGCTGTGTTTATTAGCATAAATAGAGTTTACTTAATTCTTTGTGTAGAATGCATTTAAAAGAGTTCCAACAGGGATATATGGCTATTCTGGGCTTTTGGCTCTTGTAAATAATAACATTTGCCAAATTTATAGTTCTGAGGCAGTCTCCTTCCCAGAACTACTTACTCATGAATCAAAACTATCTATCCTATATCTTCATTTGGAGACCTGTTGGGTATTTCAAACCTACTAGTCCAAAAGTAAACTTGATTTTCTGCCTGACATATTCTCTTCCTTTAGTTTTTCCCATCTTGTTAAGTGGGGCCTCCATTTTTTCAGTTGCTCAGGCCAAAAACTTTGGGATCATCTGTGATCCTTACTTTCTCTCACACCCTACATCTAATTGATGAGCACATCCTCTTAACTCATGCTTTGCAGTAAATCCAAACTTCAGTCCCCACCTCTGCATCTTGGCCCAAACTACCATTCACTTTTACCTATATTACTGCAGTAGCCTTATAAGTGGTCTTTTTGCTTCTGTACTTTTCCCATTGCATTTTTTTCTTTGTTCTGCGGTAAGAATGATACTTTGAATATGTAAGGTGGAGCTTGTTACTTCCCTACACACAGCTGCCGCATGGCTTTCCGCCTCCCTCTGAAGAGTGTCCAGAATCATTACTGTGGTCTGCAGAGCCCTGTAAAGTATAGGCCCAATTTAACTCTGAGTTGTTTACCATTCTTCTCCCTATTTTCCTTCCAGCCATATTGACCTTCTCCCTATTCCTAAAGTACTTCTGACACATCTGTGCCCTGGGATCTTTGCTGTTGCTGATTCTCTGCCTGAGGCACTCTTTCCCCCTTGCTGACAACACAGCAAAGTCCCATACTTCAGTCTCTGTTCCAGAATCATATCGTCAGGCAGCCCTTCCCTGACCAGCCTGTCTCCCTCTAGCCTCCCTCACTTCCTTGTCCTCTTCCTCTGCTTCCTCATAACATTTATTGTCATCTGACATGTTTATTTTGCTATCTGTCTTCTTCTTTTAGAAAATAAGCCTCTGGAGGATAGAACATTCCCTGGTTCTTAGGAGGCATTCAGTAAATAGTTATTGAATGAATTTTTTAAATAATGTATAAAAAATGTTAAGTTATAAAATACCTAGGTCTGAATTATCTTTTCAATCTTGGACAGCATTATTCACTGGTAACTGAAATTGCTTTTTTCCTTCTTGATAATAGTGCGTAATGGGAAGTCTGAGTGTTCCCTTTCCATCCAGACTCAAGATAACTTGCCAGCCAATGTAAATGAGCTTGTGAAGTGCATTGTAATCAGTTCTCTGGTAACTACACAAAGGAAGTTGAAAGCCATGTCTCTCTTGAGTGGTCGGAACCAGCTGGCTAGAGCTGTTCTAAATCCAAACCCCATGGACTTCTGCACAAAAGATTTACTGACTACAACGTCTGAGAGAATTGTGAGTAATAAAAAGAAAATTTTATGCCAGGATGTCAAAGCATCATATTGTTAGCTACTGCATACAACAAAGACACATTCACTGTGAAAGCACAGTTTAGTGCTAAGTTTTCTTTAATATTGCAGAGTATGTAATTAGGTTGGTCAGCTTACCTCAGGAAAAGGTACAGTACAGTAGAGTTGAAGGTATGCTGGAAGAGCAATGTTAAAATGTTAGATCAGCTTCCTACTTAATGTTCATCAGGTGATAAAGTTCAGGAGTAGGAGTCTCAGGGTTAGTAATGTTAAATTTGCATTTGAATGATTGATGGAGAATTGACTGGTATTGTTGCAAAGGCAAAGATGAAGTTGTTATCTTAAGTGAACATGTGTTCACTTAAGCAGTATATAAATTCCAGGAAATTAACAGAGAGAAATGGAGAAGAAAACTGATACTTTTTGAACCCCTATGGTGTGCTAGGCTTTTGTGTGCTTTTATCTCAGTCAATTCTCACCTTTTTAAAGGAATCTTAGATTTAATGAATAGCAGCGACCAAGACTTAGAGAGATGTTGGGAGTTTATTAACCTAGTTTGTAATTTAACCTGAAGTTTAGGCTAGGCATGGGATTACACACTTTGGGAGACTGAGGCAAGAGGATCACTTGAGCCCAGTAGTTCAAGGTTACGATGAACTATGATTGGGCCACTGTTCTCCATCCAAGGGGACAGAGCCAGATCCTGTCTCTGAAACAAAACAAACACTGAAGTTTAGGCTTAGTCCTGACCTTGAAATCATGCTTTTTCCACTGTATCACATTGTGTTAGGAAAGAAATAGTCTTGGAATATTTTTACCGTCTAAGGAGAGAATTAACTGAAATGGAAAGAAACAAAGAGTAAATAGAAGAAAAGTATAGATTATTAAATGCAGTTTGTTGTGGTCTTCTTTGTAAGAATCACAAACAAAAATATAGATTTGGTACTTGTAAATATTTGAAGCCTACAGGCACGAATTAGTAATGAGTAATTAGCATTCCTTCTAACAGTGAAAGTGGTTTTTAGATCAAAAGTCACTTTGAGATCTTACCTGACCATAACCAAAGCTTTTGCCTGACACAGATTGGAAGAAATTTTAATGGATGTTTTTCATTATCTTCCTCTCATGTACCACTACAGAAAGAACAACTCATTCTCTTAAATGTCTTTTTATATAGATTGCCTACTTAAGAGATTTTAATGAAGACCAAAAGAAAGCGATAGAAACTGCATATGCCATGGTGAAACAATCACCATCAGTTGCCAAAATCTGCCTAATTCATGGACCACCTGGAACAGGAAAGTCAAAAACTATTGTTGGCCTCCTGTACCGCTTGCTGACAGAGGTAGGTGTGAGTGAAGGCACCAGTGCTGTGGGCTGGGGACGTCAGTGCACTTTACTTGAATTAACTGACATATAAATAGGTATTGGAGTACCTTTTCCCCTTTTGTGTATATTTTTGATGCCATGTAGAACAGTATGAGAAAGAAGAATAGCAGAGAGACAGAAGGTTCTAAGTACAAAGAGTGGAAAATACTATTTTGTGTGGAAAAATCCTAAGGACTAGAATGGTGGTCTTTAGGATTCATTATAGGTCACATCTAATGCCAGGAACTGTCTTGAATATATTGCTGGGCTATGTTTGTTTGGATTGAGTATTGATTAAAGTGAGTGGTTGGTAAAGTAAGACTAAAGCAGTTATGATAAAATTTTATGCCGGAGTAATTTTAATACCAATGTAAGATATAAATGCTTTTATTTATTCTTAACTTTATTATGGGAACTTTCAAGCATACGTGGTAGTGAAGAAAAACTGTAAAACTATGTAATAGAGTTCATTGGTATTTGTTTGTGTGTTTATTTGTTTGGTATGTGTTTGGCAAATTGTAGAACCAGAGGAAGGGGCATTCAGATGAAAACTTCAATGCCAAAATCAAACAGAACCGTGTCCTTGTGTGTGCACCTTCCAATGCAGCTGTGGATGAGCTTATGAAAAAAATTATCCTTGGATTCAAAGAAAAGTGTAAAGACAAGAAGAATCCTTTGGGTATGATACTTACATGGGTTTCTAATTTGTTTTTGTTTTCAGTGTTTACTGTGGGCAGCTTTAAATGACAAAGAGCAAACCAATCGTGGTAATAACTTCTCCTTGGGCCTGTGGCCCATATGTACTTGTTGATTCATTTAGCACATATTTTATTGAGCATATACCTGATGCCAGGCACTGTGCCAAGTACTGATTTTTTAACAGTGAAGCCTTCAAGGAGACATACAGTCTAATGAGGAAGAGGGTAAGTCAGTGGACAATTACAGCATACAGTGATAAGTTCCATAATAGGGTTAAGATGGGGAGTGTTTTCAGATACCTTAGAGGGATTCTTGATTCAGCCTTGTGAGAACTAGGGAAGGCTTACAGAGGAAATCACGTCAGAGAAGAAACCTGAAGAGCAAGTAGGAGTTAGCTACAGGAAGTAGGGGTGGGGAGGGTAAGGGAGGGAGGCTTGAGCAGGGATTACTATAAGTAAAAAGGACCAGGGCCAGAGATCCTTGAGTGGTTCAGTATAACTAGAATATAGTAAGCTTCACAAAGGCGGGGGTTTGGATTGTTTCACTGCAGTATCTCCAGTGCCTAGAACAGTGCCTGGCAGTTAATTGAGGCTCAGCAAAGCTTGGATGACTGAAAAGTCCTAGCACATTAGAGGGTGATGAACGTTGAGGCTTTCAGTGAGCACCGGCTTATATTGTTTGTAGTTACTGAGTGCTTCTTACCACGTGTCAGCAGCCCTTGAAGGAATCCTGTGAACTAGGTTATTGACCCTCCTATCTGTGTTTTATAGGTGGGGAAACTGAAGCTTAGAGATGTTAAATGCACTATAGGAATAACTTTTTCCAGTAGAACTAGTGAAGAGCATTACCACAGATGACTCAGGACACTTCAGGGAAGATGGAAAATCATTTCTATTTACTTAACCTTAACACTCTTCTTACAACTCATTTTGGGTTATGACTTTGTATTAGACTGCTTTCCTAAGCTCATGTCTTGTCTTCGCTGCCAAATTTTATTTTCTATAAGGATATCTGACAGTGCCTTTTATCAATTAGGGTTAGATTTGGTTGCAAGTAATAGATACTCCAAATACAGCAGCTTAAATGATAGAAGTTTCCCTCTTTTTTATTCAAAAGCACTGAGGTGGGCATTCTGGGACTAGGACCAGAGTTAACTGGTTTGGTAACTCTGCTTCAGAGTCTTTGGATACCCAGGCTCCTCTTATCTGTTACTCCACCATGTGTGGCCTCCATTTCTTAGTGTGCTTCCTGGTCAGGGATAGCTGCTCCAGCTTCAGCAAGGGGGAGAAAAAGATGAAGGAGGGGCAAAGGGAGCATACTAGCCATATTTTAAGGAAGATTCCTAGATGCTGCCAGTAGCACCTCTGCTTATGTCCTCTTGGCCACACTCAGCTACAAAAGAGGCTGGGACATGTCATCTTTATTCTCAGAGATCAACACGTTTTTACTTTTAACTACATATGTGTTACTACCTACGTGTAGAATCTGTTTGTTTTTTAACACCTCCAGTACATTGTCAATCTGCAGCTCTTACTTGCCATTCATTACATGTGTGAAATTGATGATTGCACGTATTATTAACTGCAGTATTTCATTGTATGAGTGCACAGTTTATTCATTATGCATTGATAATTTAGATTCTTTTCAATTTTTTATTATTTTCAATTTTATTATAGTGAAACTTCTTATAATTGTGCATATTTCTCCAATCAGGTATAAAAATGTTTACTACCATAGATAAATGAATTGTACTGTGTAATACTATATATAACCGTTAAAAGGAGTACCCTAAAGCACAAAAACGTTCTTAGTCATGTCTCTTGCATATACATGCAGCTTTCTAGGGCAGTGCTTTTCAAATTGTGGATTGTGACGTACTGATGTAGTGGTCCCCAACCTTTTTTGCACCAGGGACTGGTTTCATGGAAGACAATTTTTCTATGGATTGGGGGGGAATGGCAGTGCAGAGCTCAGGCCGTGATGCAAGCAATGAGGAGTGGCTGTAAATAACAGATGACGCTTCTCTGGCTTGCCTGCTGCTCATCTCCTGCTGTGCACGCCCCAAACACCCATTTCTTAAGTTTCATAAAGGACAGTTTTTTCAAGGGGGTGGTGAGGAATGGCTATAGTCTGCAGCCCAGTCTTTAACAGGACACAGACCAGACTGGTACTGGTCCATGGCCAGGGGGTTGGGGACCACAGTACCAATGGATTGGAAAATCAGTTTAGTGATACCAGGATTAGCATACTTTAAAAAGTTAAAATACAATAGAAGAAAATAGAAAAGAACAGAGTATAAGCAGTCTGGGTAAATACAGGTTGAGTATTCCTAATCTGAAATGTTAAAAATCCAGAATTTTTGAGTGCCAGTATGATGCTTAAAGGAAGTACTCATTGGTTTATTGGAACAGATCAGATTTCAGATATTTGGATTAGAGATGATCAACTGGCAAATATAATACAAATAATACAAAATCCAAAATATCCAAAATGTGGAACACTTTGGCCCCAAGGATTTCAGAGATTAGGGATACTCAACCTTTATTGTTTTGTGAAATTTGTTTCAGTTGTGTGTGTGTATGCGCACATACATGTGCTGGGTTTGAGTGTAAAGTGTACTTTATAATATAGGTCAAAGTTAGAAAGTGTTTGTAAAAACACGGGTTTCTAGCATATGTCCAGAGGTGAAAATGTGGGGTTGAAAGTTAGTTTTCTTTAGTTTTCTAGGTAGTGCCAAATTGTAATTGAAAGTGGTGGCACCATTTTATACTCCTAAGAGCAATCCTCGTGTGGTGTGCAGCAGGTGCAGTTTTGTTTTTTGTTTGGTTTTTGCTTCTTCCCTATTCCTTTCGTGTGTCTGTGCAGTTTTGCTTACCTGTCCCTGGCAGTTTAGGTGTGTTGACTCCACAGCAAGATCAGGACTAGGATGAGGCAAATGTATGTCTAGGTTGGATTTTTAAATTAGAGAGCAATGACACCTTCTGTGAGTAAAGAGAGCGCTTTCTTCTTTTTCACCACTTTCATTTTCACTTCTTTTTACTACGTCTGGGTGGTCCTGGGTGTCTTTTAAGGAAATGCCTGAGACATCTTCCTATTACATATGGTGTTTCTGAGTTTTGTATTTTTATATATATGTATACATATATATATCCTTTATCAGTTGAAGAGTTCCTTTCTCATTAAGAGTTCTTATCAGAAATGGGTATTGAATTTTATTGCTTGCTTTTTTTTCTTCCATTGAAATAGTAATGAAGTTTTTCTTTAATCTGTTACTATGGTAAATTACAGTGTTTCTCTGGTGTTAAAATAGCTTTAATTCCTAGAATAAGGTCAACTTGATCTTGTATTAATTTTAGCACACTGCTAAATTGCTAATGTTTTATTTAGGACTTTGAAATTAGTGTTCATAAATGAGCCCAGTCTGTAATTTTTCTTTGTCCTAATAGCTGTGTCTAGTTTTAGAATTGAAGTTACACAGACTTTAAAAAATGAGTTGAGAATTTTTTTATTTGTTGGAATGTTTTGTGTAAGACAGATTATCTGTTACTTGAGGGTTAATTTGTTACTAGTGTTGTTTTACTTTGTATTTTTTGTCTATTTTTTGACAGAATTGGTACATATTTATTTACTGTTTTAACATCATTAGTAGTTACGTCTGTCTATGCAAGTTTTCTAGTTTTGAATGAGTTTTGCTAATATTTTTTTAAGAAAAATTTCTACTTCAACTAAGGTTTTTGTATATAAGCATAAAATTGTTCATTGCATTCTTATTTTTAAAAATCTCAAATGTATTTGTGGTTGGATCCCCTTTGTCACTTTCTGTGTTATATATTTATTCCCTAAATCTACATGTGGCACAGGCTTGTGGTTGGAAAGTACGAGGGGAGAATTTATTTCTAACTCAGCTGAAACCAGGCCAAGGTAGATGTACTTGCTTCTCCTCTGCTTCTCCAGGTACCTTTACTTTCTGGTGGACATTAACATCCAAGCTCTCATTATAGAAATTTCTGTATTTTTATTGGAATGGTATTAATAGTTTTGTGAATGTAGACATGTGTCAGACTCAGAATTAAAGATTTGTAAATCTCTTCATCTTACTGGATGTAAATTATCCCTCAGTAATGCTGGTTTAAAGAGCAAAACATATACCTAGCATGTAGACACTGATCAGCCCTCACCTCACACCCCACGCCCTCAGGGCTGCCACAGCAGCTCAGTGGCCTTCAAGTGCAGTTTTTAGCTCGCGATTGCGTGCTCTCTCTCTCTCTCTCTCTCTGTCTCCCCCTCTCCCCCTACAATGTAAAAGGATGTTTTATAATTAATGGAACATTTCTTGATATTTATAATGAGTGAGTTTCTAAGTAATCTCCACTTCTGGTGGAAACACAGTTGAGTTAAACAGTTTTTTGTTTATTTTATTTTTTTAGAGACAGGGTCTCGCTCTGTCACTCAGGCTGGAGTGCAGTGGTGTGATCATAGCTCACTGCAGCCTGGAACTCCTGGGCTCAGTCAGTCCTGGGCTTAGTCAGTCCTCCCACCTCAGCCTCCTGAGTAGCTGAGACTACAGGAATACAGGTGTGTGCCATCATACCTGGCTAATTTTTTTTTTATATAGACAGGGTCTGGCTATATTGCCTAGGCTAGTCTTGAACTCTTGGCCTCAAGTGATCCTGCTACCTCAGTCTCCCAAGTTGCTGGGATTACAGGGGTGAGCCACCACATCTGTCCAAGGTAAGCGGTTTTCAAAACCCTCAAGTAAATTATGACCAGGGAGGTTGGCCTCAAATTTAGGAGAATGAGCTGAACTAGGATCAAACATATGTGGTAGATAACTGTAAAAATAAACCATTCATTCAACATATGTTTATTGTACTTACTATGTGCACTGGCATGTTCTAGGCAGGGACCAAAACAAAATTATTCTTTTGGGACTTAACAGTAGAAGGAGATTGTAAACAAATTACTGTATGATGTGTCAGATTGGGATAAATACTGATAAACTCTGTAGGATTGCTATAATTTAGCTCAGTGAGGCAGTGGGAAATTTTTAGATTAAATAATAACATGTGAGTGATCTCAAATAAAATGTGGTTAATAGGCAGGTTAAATGGTGTTTGTAGTTGCTGGAATTATTGTACTCAAGAATTTTTGTCACCTGTGTCCCTCAGATTCTGGAGTAGCAATGTGATGTGAAGCATAGTTTCAAAGATTTTATACTGAATATTCTGCAAAAAAGGATTTGATGGTCAAATAAGATTCTGTTTTGGAAATTAAAACACAATAATATATAAGTCCTTGAAATATTCTGAGAGAAAAGCAGTTAAGAAAAATAAAGCAGTTAAGAGAACTGCTTTATTTAAATGGTTAAATTCATCATTTCCCAAATCTGTTTTGCTATGGGATGTTCTATAGAACATACTTTAAAACATTTGTGTAATAGAATCTCAACTCTGCAATGCACTATTTATGTGACCCTGCTAGCTTTTATTAAGTAAAAGTGATAAGTACTTGCCTTACAGGATTATGAAGAATATCTGAAACAATGTATAAGGAGTCACCTGGGTAGTTCCTGGCATTTGGTTGATTGACAGTTCATGCTAACTTACCCTTTCTCTGATTGTTAATATATTTTCTTAGAAAGAAATAGATGTTATGTTTAGAGATAGGATATATTGGCAGTGTCCTTATTAATTTTTAAGTGTGATTTTTATCAACAGGAAACTGTGGAGATATAAATTTAGTACGACTGGGTCCAGAAAAGTCTATTAATAATGAGGTTCTAAAATTCAGTTTGGACAGCCAAGTTAACCACAGAATGAGTAAGTACACACTAGTGTTTTCTATATTTCTTTTTGTATGGTAGAAAATTACTTGGGTACTAAAGGTAATTTGGAGACCCCAGAAATAATCTAGCTTTGGAAACTAGTTTTCCTTCTCATTGTGTTTGTGTATGTGTGTGAGTTTGTTCGAATTAACATACAATTTTTTATTTTTTTATTAGAAAAAGACTTACCTTCTCATGTTCAGGATATGCATAGAAAAAAGGATTCTCTAGATCATCAGCTAGATGAGCTTTCCCGTCAGCGAGCTTTATGCCGAGGTGGACGGGAAATACAGGTATCTAAACAGTTCTTAATATTTGTTAGATGATAACTCATAGGTATAAACACTAGCTGATAAGTATTTGATGCCCTTCTTTTATTAGGGAATGGTATAATTCATGTGTAAAACTATGTACTACATTGGTATGTCTTTATATCAGGTGTTAGCAAACTTCTTTGTAAAGGACAAGTTAGTAAATATCTTAGGCCTTGTGGGCTGTGTGGTTGGTCTCTGTTGCGTCTACTCAGCTCTGCTTTTGTAGCATGAAAGAAGCCATAGATAACATATAAACAAATGGATGTGGCTGTGTTCCAAAAAACTTTATTTAAAAAAACAGATGGTGCATTGTGTTTGGCTTGTTAGCTGTACTGCTTTATATTAAAGCTATACTAAATTTATTAGGTATCTTTCAGGTATAAGTTAAAGAAACCCAGTTCAAATTAGGTTAGACAAAAAGAGAATTTACAGACTCATATACCTGGGAAATCCAAGTGTATATTAGCTTCAGCATGGGTGGATCCAGAGGTTCAAATGATATCATTTCTCCATTCCTTGATTGGTTTTTCCCTCTGTGTCAGCCATTTCTTCTCCAGGAGAAAATAAGTATCAACATCTCTGGGCTCTACTATCCCAGCTTAGAAACTCCAAAGGGAGAGAGGGTCTCTCTCCCAGCATCCATGCCTCAGTTCCAGGGAAGGACTTTGATTAGTCCTTGGGTGAACAAGCAGTTCTAATCCCTGTTTTTAAGGGAGTAGGTGCCATGATTTGCCAGACCTGTATTAATAGGTCTATCACTGTGGCAGAGGAATGGTCAGGGTGTGACTAACAACCTTATTTGAACCACCTAGAAGTTAGTGAAGGAATGATGTTCCAAGGGTTAGAATGCTAAGCAGATAGATAGCATACATGCAATACATATGACATAACTGAATCTTACACAGCAATATAGAAAGTGTGTCAGGACTTTACTGGTAAAGAGAAAACAAGCTGGATTAATAAGTGTTTCATTGGTAAAATATAGGCTCACTCTATTAAAATGTGAGGCAGTCCATTGGAAAGCATTTTAAAGGGCTTAGTTTTACATCTCTAGGTTTAACTTAAAAATAAATAAACAAAAGGCTTGATTTAGTTTTAATGATGGTATTCCAATTTTTTCTAGAGGCAAGAATTAGATGAAAAAATTGCAAAAGTTTCTAAAGAAAGGCAGGAACTTGCTTCTAAAATTAAGGAGGTAAGTAGTTCACCTGTAGCATTGTGTTGATGTTTCTTTTTTAATTTAATTATGAAATAGTTCAGACTACCTATGGGGTTTTCTCAATTACACTTTAAAATGTTTATTATGAAAAATTGCAGACATTTATGGAAGTGGAGAAAATGGTGGAATTACAGTTATTTATTTTACACTTGTTTCTGTAACCTAAGAATGAATTTTTATCACCATCTGAGATTTCAAACAAAGAAGTGATTATAAATTATCTTTTTTCTGTTTTAGGTCAGGATAAATATTTAAAATCCCTCTTATAAGGTGCTCTATTTCTGCTTTCCACCCATTGCAGAAACCAGTTATAATAATCAGATAAATAGTGAAAACGGGTTTTTGGTTTTTTTCCCTATTAAAAAGAAAAAAAATCACCTGTGTGAACTTTAGGACGAAGGGGGCTTAGCACTGTGGGTTTTCCAGTGCTCCAGCCTGGATAGAAGAGTGATGGTGGGTAGGATTTGGCATAAGAAAGTACAGCACTTTTTTTGTTTGTTTTTGCAATTCTTGGCTTAGAGCATTAACTCTGTATTTGTCTTTGATCATCAGAATCCTGTAACATGTGTAGCTTTCCCCAGTATTCTTTGGATGTAAAAATAGCAGATAAGATTTAGACTAAGTGAAGCTAGACTGAGCCAGATGTATGCCATGATCATCAGAATGCAGCCCTGATCAGACCAAGCAAGGTCGGGGAGGGGGGGTAATTGTGACCAGAGATGTTACAAGTATTTTTGAGCTGAGGTTTTTCTCTTAAATGTATTATTAGCCTTCTCTATGTGGCTAAATAAATACAATTGAATTTAATGCATATTTCCATTAGCAGTTTGTTTTTATTGAAACTAAAAATTATGTGAAAGCTCTTTATTAAAATTTTAAACTGAGTGCAAAATCTTCCCAAATTTAATGATGAAGTCCATGTTCACAGGTGTTGTGGTTTTTGCTGTTCATGACACGCATTCTGTGGACCATTGACTTAGTCATGCTTGGCATTTTTACTCACTAGATGGCTGAGAAAGCTGACAGTGCTTTGCCCTGTAAGTTGTGGAGGACCACAGTGCCACCCTCTTGAGCTCCATGGTCAAATATATAGCAAAGATGAATCACTGCTGCCTCTTAGTAGCAGAAGTAGGCAAACTGAATCTCTGATAAGAGTACCAGTGTATTTATGGGACCATGACATGGTGCACACCGTGAGGGGCCATTTACGTTGTCTAACAGAAAAATATATGTTCAACCTTAGTTCTAACTCTGGTTTTACTCAGATAATTGTTTCACAACTCAGTAGAATTCTTTAATCTGTACTTACTCTGAAACTTGATTATATGCATCTGGCTGCAAGAAGAATTGTAATCTACTTTGACCAAATCAAACCTTGAATACATTTTTTTAGAATGGTGCTTAAATGATTTTATACCCTTAGACTGCAAAGCATAATATTTTTTTTCTGGTTTGTTTCTGATTATCTTGAATATTTCTGTTATTTTCTAGAGTTCAGGTTTCCCCCTAACTTTTACTAAATATTTTTCTGTTGCATAATAAATGGTGGGTGTTATGTAGTAAAAATAGGCCTGTCATAGTCAAGGGTTTATGTGCAATATAGATTATGTATTTTTTTGTATATATTTATATATGTTTAAATATATTATTTATTTGTTCTCTTAGGTTCAAGGACGTCCACAAAAAACACAGAGTATCATCATCTTAGAGTCCCATGTTATCTGCTGCACATTGAGCACAAGTGGTGGTTTACTACTAGAGTCTGCTTTTCGTGGGCAAGGGGGTGTTCCCTTCAGTTGTGTCATTGTTGATGAGGTCAGTGAGCAGGGGGCCATACAACTTTGACTAGTACGATGAGGAGTAAGTCTTATGAATTATGGCTGCTGAGATGTTGATAAAATGGTTTTTTTGCATCTGATTTTTACCTCCCATTATATGTGTATTCCCTTAGGGTGTAATATGCTGCTATTTACCCACCATAGTTAAAACGGCTTTTCCAGTATTGGGATTATAGTCTCTAGGATAACTGTTTCTAACAAAATCTATGCTGGGTGCTAGCTCCTGCTTGGAACATCTCTTGAAGTAGGAATACCTTTTGAAGTAGTTTAATACAGCTTTGAGCCACAGTGTTTTCAACTTACATCCTTTATTGCTAGCTCATTCTTTGAGTAAACATTTATTGGGTACCTACCACATTTGCCAGATTGTAGAGTCAGAAGACAAAAGAGAAGGAGCATGAGATACAGAGAATTGATCCAGGAGACCCAAGATCCAATATTCACCAGAATGAAAGGAGAGAACAGAGTGGAAATGATTAGATAATTGAAGAAAATGTCATTGAATTGAAAAGAAACTTGAGTCTTGTGATTGAAGAGGCCTGCTGGGGAACAAGGAAGAAAGATTGGGGAAAACACACAGGCACACCTAATGAGATACTTGAACTTCATTCAGAAAGTTCTAAAAGAACATTAGAAGAGAAGAAAATTTTTTCAGGCTCATGCCGAACAGGAACAGAGAACACAAACCTAGAGCTTACATGGCCTTCTAACTTGTGGCTGGTTCCTAAGTGGTAGTGGCTTCCATGGTGGTCAACTTCAAAATACGTTTGATTTTTTTTTTTTTTTTTTAATGGTGTTTAAGGGGGTTTTTCCCCTAATGAAAGAAAATACTAATTTTTGATATTTGGTGCAGAAGGAGAATGTGGTACTTTTATGAATGCTTAGAACTTTAATTAAAGTATGTATGGATAAATTAATAGCAAAGGTAATTAAGACAATTTCTCCCTCTGTACTTTCTTACCAAGGCTGGGCAGTCTTGTGAAGTTGAGACTCTTACTCCACTCATCCATCGCTGCAATAAGCTTGTTCTGGTAGGAGATCCTAAACAGCTCCCTCCCACAGTCATTTCTATGGTAAGTTTTTTCATGTTCAGCTTGCTTTAAGGCGGAAGGGGCTTTTTGCTTGTTTGTTTCCAGGAGGGTGGTGTATTTATTGGATTGACATCTCTTATTTGGAGGGAAAGGTAGGGAATGTCAGAAAAGAAGACCCCAAGACCATTTTTAAGTCTTAATGTGTCTTAAAAAAAAATCTCTAAAAATATCCCTTTGCTCATAGTTGTGCTTCTGTGTCTGCATATGGCAGGAGTGTGCAAACGTCAGGACTGGAAGCCTGTGGATGGTCAGGCTCTTTCCCATCAGGAAAGGGGGTGCTGCAGATATTTTAAAGGCTGAATTGGATTTATTTGAATAACACAACAAACACCAAAACAATAATAAAAGAACTTTAAAAACAAGGAAAAGAATACCAACCTCCTGATTTTTGTTTAAATATGTGCAAATTTGAGGAAAACACCATAAAAAGAAATTATTTTTGGAGTACATTTCCAATTTTAGAATAGAGCATTCTGTAGTACAAGAAAGTGTCTGTGCCTTTTGCATCATCTGAAAGCAAAGATGTCAGGGAAAAAAAGGATTAATTGTGAACTCTGCCTGTGGGGAGGTAAGCACCTCTAGATTGTGGTTCACTCTACTTTGTTTTTTTTTTTTAATCTCACTAAAGATGTCTCTTAGAAATGCACATCAGAATCAGGACTTGATAGATGTTTGAGATAATCTGAGATTGCTACAGTGAGTAAGATCCAATCTCACAGAGCTGAGATTCCAGTGGAGGAGACCACTCCAGACTTAGAGCATGAGCATCCCTAATCTGAAAATCTGAAATGATCCCTAATCTGATAATCTGAATAGGTCCAGACCAGGGTTTTGAAATGTAGTAAAATTTGCATTTTTTCATAATCACATAGATTATTTATACAACTATAGAATAGTGGCCTCAATAGTGGTTCTCAATCCTAGAGAGCAGATCATTTTCAAAGTCTTTCTGTTGAAGTATGAAATGCATGCAGGTGGTTGTTGTTGTTAGTGGTTTTTAACTTGGGAATTATTCAAAATGATAGTGCAGTTCTTTGTATGACATCTGGGCACAGGTGCCTGATCATGCTAGGGTATCGCCCAGAAGCACACCTGTTGCTGAGTGAAAACCTGTGTCTGTAGGGAAGAAATGCTGCAGGTGACTTTTTGTTCTTGGAGAATGAAGAGCGAACTCTGTACCATATTTCTTCAAATAGTGCACTGTTTCAAAAATCTATTGATTTTAACTTCCTGAAGGGCCTCAGCATGTAATGAAAAGGGATTGTTTTTTGTTTTTTTGGGGTTTTTTGTGACAGAGTCTCACTTTGTTGACCAGGCTAGAGTGAGTGCTGTGGTGTCAGCCTAGCTCACAGCAACCTCAAACTCCTGGGCTCAAGCGATCCTCCTGCCTCAGCCTCCTGAGTGGCTAGGACTACAGGCATGCGCCACCATGCCCGGCTAATTTTTTTTTCTATATATAAGTTGGCCAATTAATTTCTTTTTATTTATAGTAGAGATGGGGTCTCACTCTTGCTCAGGCTGGTTTCGAACTCCTGACCTCGAGCAATCCGCCCACTTCGGCCTCCCAGAGTGCTAGGATTATAGGTGTGAGCCACCATGCCCGGCCGAAAAGGGATTCTTAATGGGCCTCAACTTTACTGACAGATAAAAATAGCAAATGAGAAAAATCTATCTATTTTTGCTTTTTTATTATTATATAAATAAAACGGTCTTATTGAGGAAAATTTAGAAAATAATTACAAAGGTCATTTCCACAACATGCCTTTCTAACCACCTATTTTTAAGGATAATTACTGTGAACAGTTTGATAGGTATTTTAACAGATTTTACTGGGCATTTGTGTATACATTTATTCATGTTTTTCAGTATATATTTATTGAATGCCAACATACTTCAGGCTCTATTTTAGGTTTTGGTGTTAGGACGGTGAAGAAAATAGACAAAATCACTACCCTAGTGGAGTTTGCATTCTATTGGATAGCTCACGGTAAATAAGTTAGTGAAATATGGTATATAGTGATTATAAGGTTTGTATACATGTATATGTATGCGAGTTTGGTTTTATTTAAAGGTGACAGGATCATTCTGTGCAGAGTTGGCTTTTTTTCAGATCAGGGACATCCTTCCATGTCAGAATGTATAAATCTACATCATTTTGTAGGATGGACTAAGTTTTTGTCTGAAAGTAGATGTGTTATTTTGTATAAGTCCTTTTTCTATTTCCTGAAAGAGAAGATCCAAGATTAGGTTTTGGGCTAACTCTAATAGATAAACTTTTAGGGAAGTGAATGAAATTATCAAATATTAGTAATTATTTTATTTAGTTACACAAACCTATTTAAAATCACACTTATAAATAATATATTAATTAAGAATATTGCCCTTTTTCCCCACTCTCATAGTCTGTGAAACAGGTATGTTCAAACTTTGCATATACATCTTCAATGCTAGTGTCTTCAGCATCACTCATGAAGATTCCATCATCTTAACACACTTTTCAGAGCACATTCTTCTAGATTAAGACATAATCCTTTCTGAATCTTTGTATGATGCTATCATTTAAAAGTATATTCCAAGGCACAACTGTGATAACATTAAAACAGTTTTCATTTGTCATTAAGGTCACTATTTTTCAGATTGCAGGTTTATAACCTATTACTTGGTTTGTGAACTGAATTTAGTATGAGTTTGAGCATCCCTAAGCTGAAAATTTGAAATACTCCAAAATCCAAACGTCTTGAGTTGACAACATGATGTTCAAAGGAAACGCGCACTGGAGCATTGCAGAGTTCAGACTTTCAGATTAGGGATGCTCATGCTGTACGTCTGGAGCGTGTCTCATTCACTGGAATCTGAATTCTGTGAGATTTGATCTTACTGTAGTAATCTTAGCATTCCACGTTGTAGGTACTCAGTACTTAGGAGATGGAAGGATGAAGAAGTTGGTTTTCGGGGCGATCCAAGCGGCACCCCCCCCCCCCCCGTGCCCCTAGCTGCCCGCGTGTGTGAGCAGCGGCCCTGCCGTGCTGAGAGTGCAGCGCCCCGGCCCAGGGCCGCCGGCCGTGTTCAGTGAGGGCGTGGGCCAGCCCGCGGCGACAGCGGCATGAAAGTGACCATGTGCTTCGGGAGGACCCGGGTGGTCGTGCCGTGAGGAGATGGCCACATGAAAGTTTTCAGCCTCATCCAGCAGGCGGTGACCCGCTACTGGAAGGCCATAGCCAAGGATCCAAACTACTGGATACAGGTGCATCGCTTGGAACATGGCGATGGAGGAATCCTGGACCTAGATGACATTCTCTGTGATGTAGCAGATGATAAAGACAGACTGGTAGCAGTGTTCGATGAGCAAGATCCACATCATGGGGGTGATGGCACCAGTGCCAGCTCCACAGGTACCCAGAGCCCAGAGATACTCGGTAGTGAGCTTGGCACCACCAATGTTTCCGCCTTTCAGCCTTATCAAGCAACGAGTGCAATTGAGGTCACACCTTCAGTCCTTCGTGCAAATATGCCTCTTCACGTCCGACGAAGCAGTGACCCAGCTTTAATCAGCCTCTCCACTTCTGTCAGCAATAATAACTTTTCCTCTGAAGAGCCTTCAAGGAAAAACCCCACTCGCTGGTCAACAACTGCCGGCTTCCTTAAGCAGAATCCCGCTGGGAGCCCAAAACCCTGCGACAGAAAGAAAGATGAAAACTACAGAAGCCTCCCATGGGATACTAGTAACTGGTCTAACCAATTTCAGAGAGACAATGCTCGCTTGTCTCTGAGTGCCAGTCACCCAATGGTGGACAAGTGGCTCGAGAAACAAGAACAGGATGAGGACGGAACAGAAGAAGATGACAGCCGTGTCGAACCAGTCGGACATGCTGACACGGGTTTGGAGAACATACCCAACTTTTCTCTGGATGATATGGTAAAGCTCGTACAAGTCCCCAACGATGGCGGGCCTCTGGGAATCCATGTAGTGCCTTTCAGTGCTTGAGGCGGCAGAACTCTGGGGTTATTAGTAAAACGATTGGAGAAAGGTGGTAAAGCTGAACAAGAAAACCTTTTTCATGAGAGTGATTGCATTGTCAGGATTAATGATGGCGACCTTCGGAATAGAAGATTTGAACAAGCACAACATATGTTTCGCCAAGCCATGCGTACACCCATCATTTGGTTCCATGTGGTTCCTGCAGCAAAGAAAGAGCAGTATGAACAACTCTCCCAAAGTGAGAAGAACAGTTTACTATTCAGGTTGCTTCAGCCCTGACAGCCAGTATATGGACAACAGGAGCATGAATAGCGTAGGGCTTCACACGGTGCAGAGAGCACCCAGACTGAACCACCCGCCCGAGCAGCTAGACTCTCACCCACGACTACCTCACAGTTTGCACCCCTCTGGAAAGCCGCCGTCAGCGCCAGCCCTAGCACCCCACAATGTATTTAGCACGAATGTAAGCAGCAGTAAAAAAGTAAGCAACACCAAAAAAGTAGGCAAGAGGCTTAATATCCAGCTTAAGAAAGGTACAGAAGGTTTGGGATTTAGCATCACTTCCCAAGATGTGACAATAGGTGGCTCAGCTCCAATTTATGTGAAAAACATCCTCCCACGGGGGGCTGCAATTCAAGATGGTAGACTCAAGGCAGGAGACAGACTTATAGAGGTAAATGGAGTAGATTTAGCAGGCAAATCCCAAGAGGAAGTTGTTTCGCTGTTGAGAAGCACCAAGATGGAAGGAACTGTGAGCCTTCTGGTCTTTTGTCAGGAAGACGCCTTCCACCCAAGGGAACTGAATGCAGAGCCAAGCCAGATGCAGATTCCAAAAGAAACGAAAGCAGAAGATGAAGATATTGTTCTCACACCCAGTGGCATTAGGGAATTTCTGACGTTCGAAGTTCCACTTAATGATTCAGGATCTGCCGGTCTTGATGTCAGTGTCAGGTCCAAAGAGAACCATGCAGATTTGGGAATCTTTGTCAAGTCCATTATCAATGGAGGAGCAGCATCCAAGGATGGAAGGCTTCGTGTGAATGATCAGCTGATAGCAGTAAATGGAGAATCCCTGTTGGGCAAGACTAACCAGGACACCATGGAAACCCTGAGATGGTCCATGTCCACCTAGGGCAACAAACGAGGAATGATCCAGCTCATTGTTGCAAGAAGAATAAGCAAATGCCATGAGCTAAATTCACCTGGGAGCCCCCCTGGACCTGAGCTGCCCATCGAAACAGTGTTGGATGACAGAGAACGGAGAATCTCCCATTCCCTCTACAGTGGGATTGAGGGGCTTGATGAGTCGCCCACGAGAAATGCTGCCCTCAGTAGGATAATGGGTAAATACCAGCTGTCCCCCACAGTGAACGTGCCCCAGGACGATACTGTTATCATAGAAGATGACAGGTTGCCAGTGCTTCCTCCACACCTCTCTGACCAGTCCTCTTCAGCTCCCACGACAATGTGGGGTTCGTGACGACAGACGCTGCTGGCATGTGGGCCAAGGCTGCAATCACTGACTCAGCTGACTGCTCTTTGAGTCCAGACGTTGATCCAGTTCTTGCTTTTCAAGGAGAAGGATTTGGACGCCAGAGTATGTCAGAAAAACGCACAAAGCAATTTTCAGATGCCAGTCAATTGGATTTCGTTAAAACACGAAAATCAAAAAGCATGGATTTAGGTATAGCTAACGAGACTAAACTCAATACAGTGGATGACCAGAAAGCAGGTTCCCCCAGTAGAGATGTGGAACCTTCCCTGGGTCTGAAGAAGTCAAGTTCATTAGAGAATCTGCAGACAGCCGTTGCCGAGGTGACTCTGAATGGGGATATTCCTTTCCATCGCCCACGGCCACGGATCATCAGAGGAAGGGGATGCAATGAGAGCTTCAGAGCTGCCATTGACAAGTCTTATGACAAACCTGCAGTAGATGATGACGATGAAGGCATGGAGACCTTGGAAGAAGATACTGAAGAAAGTTCAAGATCAGGGAGAGAGTCAGTGTCCACAGCCAGCGATCAGCCCTCCCAGTCTCTGGAGAGACACATGAACGGAAACCAAGAGAAAGGTGACAGGACTGATAGGAAAAAGGGCAAAACTGGAAAAGAGAGGAAGAAAGAGAGAGATAAGGAGAAGGATAAAATGAAAGCCAAGAAAGGAATGCTCAAGGGCTTGGGCGACATGTTCAGCCTTGCCAAACTGAAGCCCGAGAAGAGATGAACAACAAACCCGATTCAAAAATGTCTTGAACAGCACATATTGCACAGTTTTTTTTTTTAAACAAACAATAAATTTACTTTTAATGAAAAAAAAAAAAAAAGAACTTGGTCTTCAAAAGGCTTGTTTATAATGGCAGTCAATATTTGTTTCTGTGAGGGCATACCCCAGAAATAATTGTTTAATTCGTGTTACATTTCTTTGCTTCCTGTATTAGTGATTCTTTTTGTTGGCATCTGTTAGCATCAGAATAGCATTGGTTGTAGCCATTCATAAGATTACATCTCTTTCATAAGCAGTGTGTGAGTATTCTAAATAAAGAGAAAATACCTCAACTTACTATATTCAGTATTCATGGCTTTTTGAGAATCAGGGCCAGAAACCTTTCCTTTCTCTGAATCTATGGTTGTTGGTAGTCTTATGCCACCTGAACCTTGGCCATATGCATGTTAAGCTCGGTGATTATATTTCTAACAATGGGAAAAGTATAAATGAATTCTTGGAAATTACTGCCTTATTTTTCCCTTCTCAGAAAGCACAGGAGTATGGCTACGACCAATCAATGATGGCTCGCTTCTACAAACTACTGGAAGAGAACGTAGAACACAACATGATCGGCAGACTGCCTATTCTACAGCTTACTATTCAGTATAGGATGCATCCAGACATATGTCTCTTCCCTTCTAATTATATTTATAACAGAAGCTTGAAAACAAATAGGTGGGTTCCTTTCATTGCTTGTGAGCTTATTTTATTTATAGCTATTTAAGAAGAATAGATTCTTTACTGTAGTTTTCTTTTGTTTTATAAAAGCCATCATGCATTACCACAAATACAGAAAAAGGGGGAAAAATCACCCATATTTATACTACCCCAAAATAATCACTGGTAACTTTTGGTATATCTATTTCCAGTTCTTTTATTACGCATATCCTTTTCTTAATTATTATTCTTTTTTTTTTTACTTTTCTTCTTTGTAAAATGTTTGGAAAAAGGTTGGATCATATTCTACAATAATGTTTTATGGTATGCTGTTTTTCACTTATTATGAGTAACTTTCCAATCATCATTGTTTATTTTTTGAGACAGAGTCTCACTCTGTTGCTAGGGCTAGAGTGCTGTGGTGTCAGCCTAACTCAGCAACCTCAAACTCATGGGCTCAAGAGATCCTATTGCCTCAGCCTCCGGAGTAGCTGGGACTACAGGCATGTGCCACCATGCCCGGCTAATTTTTTATATATATATTTTTTAGTTGTCCAGCTAATTTCTTTCTATTTTTTTAGTAGAGATGGGATCTCACTCTTGCTTAGACTGGTCTCGAACTCCTGAGCTCAAACGATCTGCCTGTCTCAGCCTCTCAGAGTATTAGGATTACAGGCGTGAGCCAGTTTTTTGTTTGTTTTTTGAGACTGCGTCTTAGTCTTGTTGACTTGGCTAGAGTGCAGTGGTGTCAGCATAGCTCACAGCAGCCTCCAACTCCTGGGCTCACACGATCCTGCCTCAGCCTCTGAAGTTAGCTGGGACTACAGGCACATGCCACCATGTCTGGCTAAGTTTTTTCTGGATTTTTTTTTTTTTTTTGCAACGCAGGATTTTGCTCTTCCACAGCTTGGTCTCAGACTCCTGAGCTCAAGCAATCCTCCAGCTTTGGCCTCTAAGAGTACTAGGATTACAGGCGTGAGCCACTGCACCCAGCCATAATTGTTATATTTTAATGACATATTTCTCCCTAGCAGTAGAATAGAAATAAAACCCATTTTGTACCTTTCACAGATACACATCTATAAAAGAAGTTCCCTCCCCTACACAGAAAAAATGGTAGTAGTAATAATAATAATAAAAGATTTTCTTATAACTCAACTTATATTTTGAATGGGGGCTGCTTTTTTTATAGACTGACAGAAACCTATCGATGTTCATCAGACTGGCCATTTCAACCTTACCTTGTGTTTGATGTCGGAGATGGTTCAGAAAGACGGGATAATGAGTATGTTCTCTTCTTGCTTTGGTCCCCATTGATGATCCCCAAATTGTTGCAATATTTCTGTTCAGATTTATGTTAAAACATTTTCCACACACATCTCTCTGCCCAGTGCCAGGGTTCAATCATTTTCACTCAGCTATGTTGATAGCTTCTCCTTTTTTCTGTTTATTGGGGATAGTGTTACCTAACATGAGGTAAATAAGCACTTGAGTAGGCTCAGGTTGAGATCACAGGATTAAGTGAAACGACAGATGTTACCCCATTGCAAGATTATTGTGGTCTAATGGGGAGGCAGGCAGACCTTAACTAGGTAATCGTGTAGGTAAGCAGTTGTACCAGTTGGGTTAAGTACTGTGAAAGATAAGTTTGAATTCAGATGAATTAAGATGTGAACAGGGCAAGGAAATAGAGACAGAGGTTGGACAGTATTGGGTTGTGAGTAAGGGAGTGTGTTCAGCGGTCTATAAACGACAGCAAGAAGGAGTTGTTGTGTTGCTGGATAGCAGCAATGTCGGAAGAAGCAGGGATTCCTGTGAGAGAGTAGAGGAGTGGTAGTCTGGAGGCAGCATTTGTTAGCACCACTGCAAACCCTGCCTCTCTACGTAAAGTATGAGGACATACAAGTTCCACGTCCATGTCGTGAGAGGGTTGCAGAGCAGGTGGTGTCCTCAGGTGAGAGTCACATATTAGTTGATATACAGGTTGGGAGAAGTAACATTCATTGCAGATGTTAAAAATGCAGAGGAGGAGTTGGCCATGGGATTGCAGTGCTCAAAGGATCGCAGTGTGAAGGTTTTATTGGGACCTATTGGAGGAGAGCAAAGGACTGAGAGTTCAGCCCCGGAGCATTACGAGGATGGAAAGTCATGAGAGAAATGCTGACCAGAGAGGCAAATGCTGACCTGAGCAGCAACCAAGGAAAACGAAGAGATAGCTAGCTGTCTATGTACTAAATCTCCAAGTTAGGATACTGGATATTTAAGGCTCTTAAAGTGAGACAGGTAAGGCAGCCTCAGGAAGAAAGGATAGGTGCAGTATGTCCCCTGGCGTTGGCACATGTTGGATCTGGTTTAGAAATGAAGGAATACGTGGTTCAGGGAGTAGGTTGGAAGTGTAGGATACGAGGCCAGTGAGGACAACAACGAGCACATGAACCTGCTGCAGGGCCTCATGTTGTTCACTTCTGGGGGCCACATCATTCACACTTAGTCTGTGTGGGTATGACATCTCCGTCGTGTGGTGTGTGGTCTGCATGGCCAGTGGTGGGTAATTAAGGAAGAAATGTATCTAAAGCATTTTCTCAGTTAGTTTAAGTAAGTAGTTTTTAAGATAGTAAATCTTTAATTCATGTTATCTGTTTATTGTTCAAATCTTCATTCTTAAAGTATTCCTTACTATTGGCTATCCCTGTTTTAACAGATGAAGAAATTGGTTCTTAAACTTCAGTTGACTCAAAATTCTTCTTTCTCTACAACTTCATGTTTCACTGGGCAGTTACTTTTATATTTATTCATATGTACAATATTAATGCTCGTAACAGCTTCTTTTGAGTCACTGCTGGCTGCATAAAAGGTGAACCCTCTCTGCCTGCCCTTCACTGTAATGGGGAACAAATGAAGTAGAACTCAAGGCGGCACGTGGACTGCTGTTAGTTTTGATGTGTTATGTTTTCTTTTTCCATCTTATTTAGCTCATATGTAAATGTTCAAGAAATAAAACTGGTGATGGAAATAATTAAGCTTATTAAAGACAAAAGAAGGGATGTTACTTTTCGGAACATTGGCATAATAACCCATTACAAGGCCCAGAAGACAATGATTCAGAAGGATTTGGACAAAGAGTTTGATAGAAAAGGGTAAGGTATTTTTATAAATATTTCTAGTTTTCCTATTGAATTAGAAGAGAGTGGATAAAAGGAAACTCCAGGGAGTGGTCTCACACCATGTAAAGTAGTGATGCACACCACAAGGAGACGGGGATGCTGGCTTTCATAGCCTCGTGCTGTGTAGGTACACTTGCCGTCCCTGTCGACGGGATGCCTACTGGCAGTTGGAATGTCAACATTGTACTCGACAGTGGAATTGACTGAGAAACTTTCCAGTTCTTTTCCCTGTAGTTCCATGACTTGTCATTCTAAATTCTTTTTTTTTCCTATCTTTTTTTTGTGTGTGTGACAGTCTCGCTCTGTCACCTGGGCTAGAATGCAGTAGCCTCAGCTAGCTCACAGCAGCCCCAAACTCCCAGGCTCAATGATTCTCCTGCTTCAGCCTCCTGGGATTACAGACGCACGCCACGGTGCCCAGCTAATTTTTCTATTTTTAGTAGAGACAGGGTCTCACTCTTACTCAAGCTGGTCTCGAACTCCTGAGCTCAAGGGATCCTCCTCCCTTGGCCTCCCAGAGTGCTAGGATTACAGGCGTGAGCCACTGTGCCTAGTCTTCTAAATTCTAACTTTAGCCAGACTAGAAGTCACATTTCACTTTGAATAAATTATTTAACCCTTTTATTGCCTTTATATATAGAGTGAAGATCATGTTTTTGTCTCCTTCTTAACTCAACAATAAAATTATTAAAGACTAAATATTGGAAATCCATTACTTCAAAATTTTCTTAATTTGGAAACACACAGACTACCAAAATTGACTCTAGAAAAAAAAAAAATTGAAAATCAGACCTATATTACAAGTAAAGAGATATTAGTGATGAAACATGTCCCAAGAATGAAAAGCCTAGGACTAGACTTCACTGGTGAACTTACGAGAATTAACACCAGTCCTTCTCTCACTCTTCCAAAAATAGAAGTACACTTTCAAACTGATTTTAAAACTAGGAAAAGACATCACAAGAAAACTACACTAATTTCAGGAAAGATGTTTGAAATTCTTGCTACTTTTATTCAGCATGATATGAGAGGTTCTAGCCAGAGCAATTAAGCAAAGAAAGAAATAAAAGGCATCCTCATTGTAAAAGAAAGAAGTAAAACTATCTGTTTTCTTAGATGACATGATCTTATAGAAGCCCTAACAAATTTATACAAAGAAACTCTTAGAGCTAATAAGCAGGTATAAGAAAATTGCAGGATACAAGATCAGTGTATAAAGATATATTACAGTTTTATACATTAGCAATGAATAATCTGAAGAGGAAGTTAAAATAATTCCTTTACCAATAGCAACAAAAGGAATAAAATACTTGGAGATAAATATAACCAAAGCAGTTTAAGACTTGTACAGTGAAAACTGTAAAACATTGTTGAAAGAAATTAACACGTAAATAAATGGAAAGAAATCCTGTGTTCGTGGATTAGAAGACTCATTATTGTTAAGGTGGCAGTACTTCTAATTGATCTACAGATTCAGTGCAGTCTCTATCAGAATTCCAACTACCTTCTTTACAGAAATAGTCAAGCTGATAAAACTGTAAAACTTACAAGGAAACATAGATATAAATCTGCCTGGACTCAGATTAGGCAGCAGTTTCATAGACAATACCAAAATGCAGGTAACCAAAGGGAAAAATAGATAAATTGGACTTTGTAAAAATGAAAAGCTTTTGTTTGCCAAAAGAGTGAAAAGACCACCCACAGAATGGGAGAAAATACCTGCAAATCATATATTAATATCTGAGTCTCCTATCCAGAAAATATAAAGAACTCTTACAACTCAACAATAAAAAGATAAATAACTTTGTAAATGAGCAAAGGATCTTAATAAACACTCCTCATACAGATGTTCTAATAAGCATATGAAAAAAATATTCATCGTTATTTGTCATTAGGAAAATGGAAATAAAAACCATGGGACACCACTTCACACCCACAAAGATGGCTATACAGTGTGAGTGCAGGGTGAGGTGGAGAAAAAAGAAATGGCTATATAGGTTGAGTACCCCTTATCTGAAATGCTTGGAACCAGAAGTGTTGGGATTTTGGATTATTTTCAGATTTTGCAATATTTACATTATATACTTAACTAGTTGAGCATCCTGTTTCTTCTGTGCATCATGTTGGCACTCAGAAAGTTTTGGATTTTGGAGCATTTTGGATTTCAATTTTCACATTTGGGAAGCTCAACTTTTATTAAGAAAAACAGACAATAACAAATGTTGGGAAAAACGTGGAAAAATTGAAACTCAGTTTCCATTTTCTCATGATGCTGGTAAAAATGTAAAATGGTGAATCATTGTAGAAGATAGTTTGATGATTCCTCAAAAAGTTAAATACAGAATTACCCTGTGACCCAGCGGTGCCACTGCTAGATACGTACCCAAAAGAATGTCCACATAAAAACTTAAACACGTGGTCATAGCCATATTTTAGTTAGTCATAATAGCCATAAAGTGGAAGCGATCCAAATGAATATTCATCAGTTATGAATGGATAAAGTATGTCTGTACATTGAAATACTAGTCACAATAGGAATGAAATGCTGTTAGATGCTACAGCATAGATGAATCTTCGAAATGTTATGCTAAGGGAAAGGAGCCAGTCACAAAGAGCTGTATTTAATGATTCCATTTATATGAAATTTCTAGTATAGGAAAGTCTGTAGAGACAAGAAGTAGATTAGTGGTTGCCAGGGCATGGGGAGAGGGAAAAATTGACACTAATGGCTAAGATACCATTTAAAAAATCTCTTTAAGATACTAATAAATATATACATTTAACAGTCACTTTTTTCCAGTAAACATGTTTCTCTTTTTTAAATAGACCAGCGGAAGTAGATACTGTGGATGCTTTCCAGGGTCGTCAGAAGGATTGTGTTATTGTTACATGTGTTAGAGCAAATGCCATGCAAGGCTCAATTGGGTGAGTAACTGCAATTGTTTCTTTTCAAGTTGTGAAATAGATCCGCTGTTAGGTCTGCTTTTCTTGGTGTCTTGTATATTAACCCATTTCATAGTGTAAAACTGTTCTTTTATTTAATAAGAGTGAAATAAATGGATTAAGTGTACTTTTCAGGGACCATGTTACACTCACATGGTATGTGTCATGAAGTGTGGTTTTTCCTCTTCTGTTTTGCTGCTCTAAGTTTGTTAATCTTAACTACTGTATGTTTACCTAAGATACCAATGATACTTTGTATACGTGACAGAATACTTCTCTGAGTCTCTGGGCCCTAGACTCTAATATGATTATTTGTTCCTGCTCATGAAATTTTATAAGGGTAAATTTGTTTAATTGTTCTTAAAGAAAATAGTAATTTAAGTGATCTCTACCCCTCCCTAGGATGGGCTACATATACAAATAGAAAGCAGTTATCTCAGGACTATTTTATACATAGTTCATTCTTCCCCAACAAATTTCATATTTCACCTTTATCATATACCACTTCTATTTCTGAGCTCTTTTCTGATCTGTTGAAGTATTTGACTGATGTTTGTGTATTTCTGCACTAGTTCAACAATATTTTAACAATCTAAATAATTCAATTTAAGAATCAGTAATTGAGCTAGTTTATTTTTAGGAAATTTTTAAGGCTTAAAGATCAATATCTTATCTGAGTCAAAATAGGAAATTGGTAGACTTTGAAGGAAAGCAATGGGGGATCTGGCTTGTTTACTGTTTTTTTTTTGTTTGTTTTTTTTTTCTTTTTTAGATGGGTGAAATCACACCTATTGTTTACTGTTTTTAATGGGAATTGCATCTGTAGCAGGTATTGTGTGTTGGGACACAGTGTGAAAGCACTGTAACTTTTCACACGCCTTCTAGTGGAAGGAGCACTAGAAAAGATGCTTGATATACTTACTGCCTGTGTCTCACATGGATATGTTAAGTCATTCTATAGAAAGAAGTAACCCTTTTTTTATTACTTAGATTCCTGGCAAGTTTGCAGAGGTTGAATGTCACCATTACACGAGCCAAGTACAGCCTCTTCATCCTTGGACATTTAAGGACCCTGATGGTAGGTACCTGAGAGCTCCTGTAGGGACCAGAGAGCTCAAAAGTTTGCCCATTGTTACCATTATTGGATTGAGTTTTTGTTCTTATTTTCTGTCAAAGTAGAAATTATTTCTGGGTTACAAAGTAATGGTTATTATGTCTTCCAGCAACTTTCTTCCTTGGTGCTTTTGTGTACCCACAAATCACTCACCCTTTTTCAGCCCAGCTATCTATATACAAGGCTCTCAAGGTGACCTTTTTTAAAAAAATTACATCATAGGATTGTTGAGAATTCACATTAAACCCACAAATGTAAAGTGCTAGAACGGTGCCTGGCACTTAGCAAACACTCAGTATATATGGCTGTTGCTGGCCCGGCTTAATGCCAGAGAGAGTCTGCAGGAGCGTGCTCTGCTGGCACCAAGAGCAGTGCTGCCTGCTCCGTTTCACTCCGATGGTTAGCGCCTCCTGAGCGCCTCTGCCCGGACGGGCGCCCCTCTAGAAGAGGCGTGCGAGTTCACATGTGGAGTAGATAAATGGTGCCACTTCATTTAGTGATATCACAGCTATATAGAGTGCAGATTTGCTGTTTTTCTCAGGGGTAATAACTTTAGTTTTTCTCATTTCTCGAGGCACCAACTTGGTAAAAATTTTTCCCCCTCATTTTGGTTAGTACCACCAGAGGGCATTCAGGTACACATTCATTCTCATTTAACTCTTCTCTTACCTAGATCTGTGGTCTTGAACTTTTATTGTTTGTCTACCCCCTTGAAGGAATTTTTAAAAGCTAGGTATCCCTTATTTTTATGTACCCCCTATTTTTAAGTCAATATCAAAAAATTTTTATCCTAAGTATAAATACTGCTAAAGATTATGTTTTTAATGTATTATAAATATTGACATTTTAAAATAAAGTGATTAAAAATAGAACCATTCCATCACTCTTAAATGTATCCAGTGGTTTAGAAAGATAGCAATATTATTACTTCTCTCTTTGAGATTATATTTCCAGTCCTACTTGTTTAGGATAAAATTCAGTGGGGTAATCTATTTTTATGATTAAAAGCCTTTCTATTAATCTCTCTATCATACTTCTCTGCCACAAAAAAACTTATATATAAAGTTTAAAAAGTTGTTTTTCATAACTCTTTGAAGGGTGCATGCAGCCTCTCAGTACTTTTTTTGGAACTTTCAGTGAATCTGTAGTTATCTCAAAATAAAAGGTTTGTTTAAAAATTACTTTTCCTGTAACCATACAGATCTGAGTGTTAAGAAATGAATCCTTAGCCGGGCATAGTGGCTCATGCCTGTAATCTAGCACGTTGGGAGTCCAAGGCAGGAGGATCACTTGAAGCCAGGAGTTCCAAGACCACCCTGGGCAACATAGTGGGACCCTATCTCTATAAAAATATAAAAATAAAAATATTAGCTGAGCGTGGTGGCATGTGTCTTTAGTCCCAGCTACTTCAGAAGCTGAGGCAAGAGGATGGCTTGAGTCCAAGAGTTTGAGGTTGCAGTGAGCTATGATGATACCACTGCACTCCAACCTGGGCAACAGACCAAGACCCTGTTTCAAAAGAAATAAAATGATTTCTTGTCCATTGCATAACCTGTTACAATTATTTGTACAGGTGAGCAAAACAAGCATATTACAAATTTTGGTAGTGTTTAAACCTTAAAAGTAAAATGTTATTAGAGATACCACTAATCAAGTGATGGATCAAGTCTTTGGATCATGGTCACACTTGTACAACTTTGCAGACCACTGACCACTAGCTGAAAGCACAGACGTTGTCTTCACTCTAGAAAGGCCGTGCTACAAAAGAGACAGACTAGAATATAAAAATTCCTAATTTGTCTTTTCCCAAGTCACATTTTTTGCCCTTGGGCTTTTCTTTTTTTCCTTGTAATTCTTTAATCTACTTTCCCTTATGAAAATGGAATCAATCATTAAAGCACCTGGTTTCAAAACTAATAGTTGCTTCTCGGCTGTTTTTGTGATCTTAGGATTGGATTAAATTCTAAGTTTAGATATAATAGCTTAGCAAAAATAGCAGGGCCATCTGCTTCACATGTATGTTTCAGCCACAGGCTAAACAATCTTTATAGGTCTCCTGAGTGAGAAAGAGAACTGAACCAGAGAGCCTGATCCTGCCTTCATGGGCCTGTCTGGAATTTGCCGGTTACTGTGCCTATTTTTTTCTTTTCTCTTTTCTTCTTTCTTTCTTCCTCTAAACTTCCCAGAAACCCTGCAAAGTCAGCATTATTACCATAGTTTATCAAACTCAAGGAGCCATTAATTACTATGTGCGTCACTGTTTTTTGTATTACTATTAAACTATGCCATAGTGCTTTATTTTCACTTAGAATTTTATTTTATATTTATTGAAAGGACTATTTTAGGACTTTTAGATAGATTTTTCTCATATCATTCTTTTGCATACATAAGAGAAAATACAAATAAAATGAATAGGTTAAGATATTCCATAAAGTATTTCACTTTCAGAATCTAGCACTAATTAATCATTTCCCAATTCACATTCATCAGGGTCCTCATTCATCCCCATACAATCAAAAAGTTGGTGATTCAGCATTTCTTAAGAGTGCACCACCATTGTCTCTAGGATTTTCTCAGAACCCCTGATCTCCATAAGTTTTAATGCTGATACTTTCTTGTCTTATATCAGAACATATCGGTGGAAGGTTTTCAGGCACAATCTTTAAATGGTTTATTGATTCAGAGTCAGTGGTTATGGTTGCCTAGTCATGAATTCCCCCAGAATAAGTACATGGAAACTGTTACCTGGCCAAGAGGCACCCGAAAGCCAGAATTGGTAAAATGTGAAAACAATATGCATTTTAGTATCAAGTAAATAAAATATATTCCTATTACACACATGAGACAGGCTCAGAGAGGTCAAGTAATTTGACCAAAGTCATGCAACAAGTAAATACTATGCAGCCTCACTGCTCCCCTAACCCACCTCTGTGAATAGTACAGTAGCCTTCATGATAGTAACTATCCTTTTTCTTCTTTTTCCTTCAATCTTTTTTTTTCTTTTTTGCTCATTCTTCTTTCTAAAAGACCCACGTTTTCATGGTTGTAAAGCTGCAAATTACTGCTAAAGAAACTCTGAAGGGAAGAGAGGAAAGATGCATGCAGTTGAGTATTTTTTTCCTCCTGTAGATGCCCTTTTTGTATCTAAACTCCTCTAGAAAAGAGGCCAGAAGTGGAATGATATGTTTGGAATCACAGTGGATTAAGACATTTTAGCCCTTTGGGGTTTGGGAGGCCTTTGGGAATACAGTGCAAGCCTTAGGCCTTGTTCTAGAACAGTCACATGCACTCAAAAGTTTGCTTTCTGAAACCAGGCCTTTCTGTGTCAGAATGTTAGCCCTGCCAAGAGGCAAGCAGTACTCTAGATCAGAAATGTCCAAAGGAACTTTCTGTGATGATGGAAATGTTTTGTCTGCACTGTTCAATACAATAACCATGTGTGGCCGTTGTACACTTGAAACATAGCTGATGCAATGGAGGAACTGAATTTTTAATTTAATTAATTTTGATGAATTTAAGTAGCTACATGAAGCTTCTGGTGACTAGTACATATCTGTATGACAGCTTAATAGCATGTAGCATGAGTAACAGTGATAAAAATGTTTGAAGTTCTTTCTTATAGGTGATGTCCGGTGCTATTTTTTATTAATGTGGCTCTGTCATTCTGTATTCGAACTTATTTTTTCCTTTCAGCCTTGCCTGATGAGTAATGGATTCTATCCATGCACGTATACATGTTATTTATTCAGAAATGAAAGTTGGAACCCTGTGCTTCCCAGGCATTATTCTGTGGGATATAACTCTATCTTCCTTATTGTTTCAAGGAAAATCAACATTGGAATCACCTGATTCAGGATGCTCAGAAGCGTGGCGCCATTATTAAGACCTGTGACAAAAACTATAAACATGATGCGATGAAGATTCTGAAACTCAAGCCTGTACTTCAGAGAAGTCTGACTCATCCCCCTACCATAGCCCCAGAGGGGTCCAGACCACAGAGTGGCTTGCCCAGCAACAGTCTAGACAGTGGGTTTGTCTCTCCTCTACACCACACACCCCCTGACTGCGGTGAAGCTGCTATTACTTCAAAGGATCCTGAAAGGCCGCCCATTCAGGACTTACTTCGGGACCCACGACTGCTCAGGAGGCTGGGTGCTGATGCCAATGGAAAATTCCTAAGGGATCCACAGTCCTCAAGCCCTCAGCATCCTGGAACAACACCTCCTGCGGGAGAGCCGAGCTTTCCCGTCCCTCAGCAGGACCTGGGTAGTGTTGTGCCGCAGTCCACGGTGACTGCTCCGAGCAGCCACAAGCCTCACGTGCAATGTGAACCTCCAGCTGCCAGTGCTGATGCTTCCAGTAGTAAGAGAAAGTGTAGTGACCCGGAAGGGGGGCTCAGTCACAGGAGAGAGACCAGGACTCTCAGTGACGGGGAGCAGGAGAAGCATGGCTCTATGACCCATCACACCAACAGGAACTCTGGCTGGGACAAGAATAGACTAGAGAAGGAGGAGGACAGCAATTGCAAGAAAAGAAAACTTTCATAGTAAAGCCAAATCGTGTAAACTTACGATGACCAGCTAATAGGACCATCCAGATAAGATTATTTTTTCCATTAAGGAGTTTGTGTGCTGTTGGAAAACATGGAAAATGCATCCTAACACCTGAGCCTCTGGCCATCTTCAGTACTTTTTTTCAGATGCAAAAGCTTTCAAAGGACATCTGAGTATCAGTAATAATGTCCTTGAAGTTAGAGACTCAAAATGTTGATTTCTTGTTCTTCTGTAGAAAAGGAGGTCAGACTGAAGTGAATGTTGTAAAAGTTGAAATGTATATTTGTATAGCAAATAACAAAATCCTTTTAAAATTTAATCTAGTAGGCCACTTTTCTTTCCCATGCTTAAAATGTTAATCATTTTCAACAGAAAAAAAAATTATATTTTAAAAAGGCAGGAGGAGGGCAGGTTCTTTCAACCATTGTATGATAAGACAGATTTCTTTTACAGCCTAGCTGAGTTAGTGCTAGTGGGTCAGATGTCTCTAACTTAAGAAAGAAAAAAACTGGAGTTGCCAGTACCCAGGGGAAACTTTAAGAACAGTTACGTTAGGTAAAGTTCTGCTGATGGACATTTTTAGGTGCAGCACCTTGGCACAGGATATTATATTTTTGTGATGAGTTAATTTACCTATTTTAGTGTACACATGGTTCCCTAGCTAAAATTCTTACTCTTCTTGAAATAGAAGAATATGAAATGAAAGAATAATGCTTGAACGACCATTCAGATGTCTCCAGCATATTGCAACCTTCGTGAGACCAGTGAGTGACAGGTAGTTGCCAAGTGCTAGATGAGCGCTAGGCTGGCTTCGGAAGACTCACCTCAGTTTACAGATTGCCAGACAAACTAGTTTTCAGGAGAGCTTGGGAAGTTGTATGTTAAACACTTACTTCCTAAGGGATTCTGATCACCAGACAGCTTGGGAACCACTGGGGCAAGCCAAATAGAGTGTGTCAAGCAGGAAAACACCCTATTCAAAATGGTGGGTAGCAAAGAGGAGTTTGGAACTAGGAAGAGAGTACAGTGGTGGACAGATTTCCTCTGATCTTCAGAAATCATCTGACTGATGCAAATATACTGCTGTTGTAGAATATCAGTGGGTGTTTTCAGCTGCTATTAGAGGTGATTATACTTTTGTGCAAGAAAAAATGGCCACAAGACAAGGAAGGGGCTGCCTGATTTTGTCCAGTTTTCCAAACATCCACACGGATGAATTTGGAGTATCTTAAACATGTGAATGTACAGTTGACAGCTATAATAACTAGTGGTTTGTAGTAAATGCTGCGCAGCCCATTAGCTAATCGGGGCAGAAAAATCCCCGAAGATTAATATGCACTATTTGGTATGTTCTCTGTCTTCTGCTTTTTAAGCAAAAAGTTTTGTGTTAGAAATTCTACTGAAGCAGGTTATAAAGAGCTTTAACAAAACAACTTTTGGTTGCCAGAAGTTTAAACATTCTATTCATTTCCTACCTGTGCCTCTCCCACTGGTGTCCAGATACCTGACTGATGTCAACTGAACACTCCTGAAACTCAGGGAGCAGGTGCCTTCTTAGAGTGCTTTGTCCCCAGAGTCAGACAGACCCTGCTTCCTACTGTGGGTGGAGAGAGTTTGTCTTTGGCCATGCAGTGTAAGAAAGTGCAGGGTGGGGGTCAGGGGTGAGCCCCCACTCTGTCTGGGTCAAGGGCTCTATAAGCCTCTTCCATGTGCCTTTGGCAAGAAATCTCATTGTTACTTTAAGTTTACTTCCCTGTTATCTTGGTAAAGTGCTCAGTTTAGCATAGACTTGTAGTGGTGACCACTTAAGGAATCTAAAACTCTAAGCTTTTAAAGAAGGCATGACAAAAACAGTTGGGGTCAGGACTTCTCCCACTTTGCTCATATTAATATTAACATAAATTAAGAAATAAGTTTTTCCAAAAATGCATATTTTGCTGCTACACACTGAACAATATTATTTCCAGTTAAATTTGGTGCCTGTTCACACATTGTGTCCAGCTGTTGGCTCATCACTCACTCAGTCTGGATGTACAGGAATAGGAGAACCACACCGTCCTTTCCAACAGACCAGCCTGTGTCCTATGACCACCTCTCCCAGCAGAATGTAAACTTTGAAACTTTGTTATTCCAGTTGGTAAAAGTATTTGCAAGAAGCATTTCATGTGTATCCTGTGGCCTTTCTTGATGTGGCTGTCATAGCCATGTTGAATGGCGGTTAATCTTTCTGCAAGGCAAAAAGTATGGCTCTTTGCTTTGTCCTTGCCATGGCATTAAAAGAAAGTGCCCTGTCTTCTTTCACTATTAGTTATTTCAACATGAATATATGCTACTTAAAGACTTGTTTTGCTTTTTTGTGTATAATCTGCCTTGAATTTATTGTACAGTTTGTTTAGTAGTTATATGTTTTTGTGAGTTATCAGGAGCAAATTTGGTAAGTACATATGAATAACCTCCTGTAAATGAATTTTATAACAAAAATGTACTAAACTGTTTTCTAAAATTGTACAGATTAACAATTTATTGCTGTAGCTTTGACTCTATACTGTGAATTCATAGCTGGGATTTGGCAAAAATATAGCCCTGTTTTTGTAAAAACCTAAATTTTAAGAGTAAATGGCAGAATTAAAAGCAGAAACAAGAAAACTGACATGGGTTAGAAGTTACATATTATTGTATTAAGGTACAAGGTACTAACAAGTAATCCATTTAGTCTGCCATTGATTTGCATTATGCTGAAATTATTTGGTAGGGATTTGTGTAATTCAGATGTAAAAAGTGTATAGTCCCAGCTACCCAGGAGGCTGAGATGGGAGGATCACTTGAGCCCAGGAGTTTGAGGTTGAGTGAGCTGTGACCGTGCTGCTGCACTCCAGCCTGGGTGACAGCGGGACCCCATCTCTAAAAGAAGAAAAGTTGATTATCCAGCCCTCACCCGAGCCCGGCTCTCCTTGCTTCCCAGCTGCTTTTAGAAGCTTCTGTGTGAAGTGACAAGGTGCATGGCGGCCATCTGTGGTTCGGTTCTGTGTGGAGTGTGGCCAGCGGGAAGACGCGCTCACTGTCAGGCCGGGCATGAGGAGTGGGTGAGATGGGAGGAGCTGTGACAGGAGCGCCCAGAGGCGCTGGTGGGGGGCAGAGCATAACTGTTCAAGGCGGGTAATTGCTGATGGTTACAGAAGTGGAACACGTTTTATAAAAGCAATAACTTCAGGAGATGTAGTCAGACTTCCCACACTTGTGCCTGTTAAAAGGCACTTGACCTCAGCCTCGGTGTCTAATTCTGTCCCCAGCGTGTGTGTGCACAGCCCTTGTGGACTGCGTTGCGCATTTGGTATGCATCCACAAATTATCAGGAAGGGTAAAATGGCATGTTTGGGAGTCATGGGGAATAATAAATTTGCCAGATGACCTGATGAGAGGTGAGTGCTGTGATGGTCATTTGTGGAATTTGTCTCTGCAGCAGCTGTAGCAATGATTTTTAAAGTCACCAGACATCTCTCTCCTGACTGATGTACCCCCACGATCACCCCCACCTCCTGGGTTTTGCTATTCATTGTTTGAGGAATAAATAATTCAGGGAGGAAACTAAAATTTAGCTTCAGATTAAATAGAATTTATAGTGTTGTACAGCACCACAAAGGCAGTTTGTGTACACAAGGGATCCCTCCATAACTCTTAAAAGACCTGAGTTATTGTCGCCCCACCCTACCGTACAGAAGGCATTTGCCTGGTCAGATGGCATAAATGATACCCATAGACGGGATGTCTGAAACCACAGGCGGAGACGCTCTGTCATGCTGCTGCTGTTCCTCACGGCTCAGGCTGTGCTGTGTGGGTAAAACAGTCGCCTGGGGTTCAGGTAGCATTGCTGCAAGTGGAGTTGTTGGAGTTTTCAATCTTAGGGATGGACTTTGGAATAATCACCTAGGGAGCTTTTAAAAAATTCTGGTCAAGTGCAGTGGCTCACGCCTGTAATCCTAGCACTCTGGGAGGCTGAGGCGGGTGGATCGCCCGAGGTCAGGAGTTCGAAACCAGCCTGAGCAAGAGTGAGACCCCGTCTCTACTATAAATAGAAAGAAATTAATTGGCCAACTAATATATATAGAAAAAAATTAGCTGGGCATGGTGGCGCATGCCTGTAGTCCCAGCTACTCGGGAGGCTGAGGCAGGAGGATTGCTTGAGCCCAGGAGTTTGAGGTTGCTGTGAGCTAGGCTGACGCCACAGCACACTCACTGTAGCCTGGGCAACAAAGAGAGACTCTATCTCAAAAATAAATAAATAAATAAAAAATTCTGCTGCGTGGGTTCCACCCCGTAATTTCTGATTTAATTGTTTTGGAGTGCAACGTTTGCCCTTTTAAAAACTTTTAAGTTTAAAAACAAAACTCCCAGGTGGTTCTATTGAGCAGGCAGCATGGGGGCCTGGCTCCTGTGCAGTCAGGAGGAGCCCTGGGAGCCCACGGTCCGTGTGTACCTTCCTCAGTACCCATCTGGTGCCGTGGGCGAGGCCTTCAGCACAGTGGGGCAGGAGAAGGAAAACGAAACAGCTTAGTGGACTCCTGACACCATCAGAAGGGAGGAGATAGAAGGCTCCCCAAGTCTAGGAACATCTGGCATGAATCAGTGTGACCAACAAGGCCAAAAAGGCAACAGGTCTGAGGGCGTGCTCTGGCCCCAGCACAGGGAATACGGCGCCAGGGCTCCAAGTTTTTCTAAGGAATACAAGGTGCACGTGCTGAGTGCTTGGAGGTCCACTGGACATCTGTACTCCCTGTACGTTATCTCTGAGTTCTCCCCCAGCCCATGGTGTACAGACTCATTGTTCCCATTGCACAGATTTTAAAACGGTCAAGTGGGTAAAATGGCTTTCCTGGGTGATAGAGCTGAGAAGTAGCAAGTCTACAGTTCCAACTCAGTTCCTGTGACCCAAAACCCTTGCTTATAACCACTACAGCAGGTACCTGAGCAGGACTGAATGCCACCTTGCCTAACCACTGCAGAAACAGGCCTGGGGAAGGAGTTGCGTCACCTGGAAAGGACCCAGAGGTTGGATTTGCAGGCTTCATGGGTTTCACTTTCTTTGAAGACAATAGCTGGGATTTGAGTTCTCTTCTGATGCTTTTTACTGGTAAGTTCTAAAATTCCAGGCCCGGATCTCTGAGTTCTGGAGAGGAAGCAGCGAGACAACTGGCGAGTTTGCAATTTGTCGACCAGGGCAGGCTGAATCGCCAGGATCCCTTGTATGTGTCCCTTTAGGGTGGGCTGTGGGGGACATTGTGAGATTTGGAAGCCAGAGAGGAAGCAGCAGCCCTATCGTTCTTAGGCTCAGTAGGTTGCCACAGGGGTGGTAGGTGCTGTTGTAACTCATGCCCTTTGACACTTAACTGCTAGCCCGTTGTGAGGGGCTGCAGCCGGGTCTCCTTCCCTTCCCCTTCCGCTTCTCCAGTTCCTGCCAGGTGGGTATTTGCTGCCCAGCTCTGTGCCCCCAGCACCAAGCCTGGCCAGATCACAGCGGGCCTGGGGGCCTTTGCTGGGAACGGGACACCTCTGTAGTCATCTGTGCCTGTGAGAAGGGCACTGGGACCTCCATTTCCCGGTCCCCAGTTGTCTTGGTCACACCCCACCCCTCCAGTCCTGTGAATCTCCCTCTGCCCTGGTCCCCTCTTCCCTAACTCTAAACCCCCTATGGGCAGGAGGGAAAAAGGACGTAGCCAGGTCGCCAGAGGAGCAGGCAGAGAGGGTTTCCATGGCCTGATGGGTCAGGGGACTGGGGTTTGGCCAGGTGAGGTGGGCGGGTGGGCAGGGTCCTGGCAAAGTCCTTCTGGTCCTTCTTGTTGGCATGAGTGTGGGCAGCTCCTCTGCAGGTTTGAATCCTGCCTGGGGTGTAAGGCAGGTGGGGTGGGGAGCTGGGTCGCTCCAGCCCTCCTGGAGCTCGGGGAGGGCAGGGGCTGTGTCCGTCCTCCCGTGTTCCTGGTGCCCAGGCCTGGCACATGGAGGTGCTCCCATGTGTGATGAACAGGGGTGGGGAGGAGGAGGAGGGAGGAGAGTGTGGGTGGTATAGCACCCACGTGGCAGGTTCGGGATGGGGGAGATGGAGGAAATGGAACAATAACAGCCAGCACTTACCAATCGCTCACTTTGTGCCAGGCCCTGTTCTAAGCACGACAGTCTTAGAACAGTCAATCCACTGTAGCCCTATGATGCCGGGACTATTTTTAACACCCCCATTTCACAGAAAAGGAGACTGAGACACAGAAAGACTGAGTAACCTGCCCAAGGGCATATAGCTGGCAGGGGGTGGAGGATGGCTTCAAACCAGGTGGTCAGATTCCAGAGCCTGTGTCCTTAAACCGCCGTCCTGCCTTTGGAACTGCCGTCCCCTTTGGGGGCAGATATGCAGGCACCGGGTCAGCTATAAAAGGCACAAGCTGCCGGGACTCCAGGCCCTATTCCAGCTGCTCACGGCTGGGTCCCGAAGGCCACCTGCTCAATCGGGCAAGGAGCCGTCCTCTGGCCAGAAGCCAGCTGGAGCAGTCCCGCCGCAGGTGCCCCCACCTGGCTGTCTGCAGGCTTCCGGCCGCGGGCCCAACCTCGCAGTACAGCAAGGTCTCCTGTGCCACCAGGAACACAGCCACTGGGGACTGGGGGCCCAGCCAGACCCTGTTGTGTCAGGGGGCTCAGTGGAGTTGGAGTCCTGCTGCCAGCAGGCCCTGGGCTGGGCGGGGAAGAGTGCAAGAGGCTGGGCAAAACGTGCAACGATGGAGGTTTGCATTTCTCTTTTATTTTAAAGGCCTCCTTTGAGGCCGGGGACAGTGGCTGACACCTGTAATCCTAGCACTCTGGGAGGCCGAGGCAGGCGGATTGCTCCAGGTCAGGAGTTCCAAACCAGCCTGAGCAAGAGCAAGACCCCATCTCTACTATAAATAGAAAGAAATTAATTGGCCAACTAAGATATAGAAAAAATTAGCCGGGCATGGTGGCACATGCTTGTAGTCCCAACTAATCGGGAGGCTGAGGCAAGAAGATTGCTTGAGCCCAGGAGATTGAGGTTGCTGTGAGCTAGGCTGACGCCACGGCACTCACTCTAGCCTGGGCAACAAAGTGAGACTCTGTCTAAAAAAAATAAATAAAATGAAGGCCTCCTTTGATATTCTGGATACGGTGCTGCCTTTCCCGTAGCAGGCTAAAGAAGGGTGTGTATAAGATGAGGCTGTTGTTAAAAAAAATAAAGGGAAAAGAGAAAGAGAAAAGGCAGACGGCTGTGCAGCTCAGTACGATCAGCGTGGGCTCTGTGCCGAGAGGGTTTTGTGCCCTGGACTCTGCCTCTTCCTGGCTGTGTGACCCTGGGCAACTTGTGCACCTTCTCTGTGGGGGACATTCTTCTTTGACCCCTTCCTCTGGTTGGGGTAAGAGAGCGCACCCTCCTCGATGGAGCAGGACTGCTGGAAGTGAGGGTGTGGGCACGTGGTGGGGGCCCAGGGGCCAGCAGGAGGTAGGCCTGGGGGTGAGGGCAGTGCCCCCTTGGGTGGGATGCTGGGCAGTGTTCCTGGCTTGGTGGCCCCTGCCTCACACCTGGCTGTCCTGACATGTGTCCATGGATCCTGTGACCCTTTGAATAATCTTTGCTGCTTCAGTCACATGGATTTTTGCTTTTCGGTGCTTGTAGCTAAGGCCCCTGGCCAGGCCCCTCCTGGGGCCTCAGTGTGCTCAGCTGTAAAATGGCTACATAACTCTCAGCGTGCGGGGACCATCCTTGGGGTAAGAAATGTCACGCCTCAGCACACTGGCTTAGCAAATGGCCGGCTGGGGGGTGATATCTGCCTGCGGGTTTTATTTCATGCAAAAACGTTAGAAATATCTATCAGAAAATATTAACAGTTATTAGCTCTAGATGGAGAGTTGTGGGTGATTTTAATTGAAAAATTATTATGATTTTGCTTTTCTGTATTTTTTTTTCACTATTTCCCTACAAGTCATGATTTGTGTTTTAAAAAGAAAAATACTAAGTGTGGGTTGTTTTTATTTTCTCCCTGGGGCCTTCTCCCTTAACTCTTCTGGCTCGAGGAGAGCTGGGACGGGCTGGGGAGAGGGGGAGGCTGGCCAGGCTTGGGTGCTGTCCCAGGCCTGCAGGGAGCCGCTGTGCCGCGCCCCAGGCGCCTGTAAATGCCCCAGAGCTGTAGGGCGCAGCAAGGCAGGAACTGCTGACGCAGCAGTCCTGCTCATTCAGGGGACAGCTGGGGCAGGCGCGAGGGAGGCTGATGCACGCAGGGCCGTCTGACAGCAGAGCCATTCAGATGAAGCCAGGCTCCCTGGGGCTCCTTGCTCAGACTGCTGGGGCTAGGGGAGGCGGGCAGGCTGGGCGTGGGGGCGGCAGGGTCGGATTTGCAGTTGCACGTCCACCTAGGTGGCTGCCTGCCTGCCTGGGGGTGAGATTCTGGGCCCTGGAGTCAGGCAGGCCTGGGTTCAACTCCTGCCCCTGCTTCTTAGCAGCTGTGACTTCAGGCAAGTGACTTTCCTTCTCCCAGACTCCACCCACCTGTCTGTAAAAGGAGCAGGACAACCCTTCCTTCTAAGGCACTGATTCTCAGCCTGGGGCGATTGTGTCCCCAATTGGGCAAAGCCTGGAGGAAGAGGGTGCCACTGGCTCCAGTGGCCACATTGAGGCAGGAGATGCTCTAATACCCTGGGGCACAGGACAGCCCCTAGGCCCCCTGCCAGGAAGAATTATCCCACCCCAGTGTGACTGCAGCCCAGGCTGGAAGGCGTGTCCCAGTGTGAAGGTGGAGGCAGCACCGTGGCACAGCGCCTGAGGACACGGCCAGTACGATCCGATCAGAGCTGTGACGTGGAGCCCTCTCTCTGTCTCTCTGCGTGTGGGACCCAGATGTCAAGAGCACCAGCCCTGGGCCCAGGAGCACCACGGGTCTCTGACTTTTGGCTCTGCTGCCCTTGCTGTCTCCTCCTGCTGCCTGGAAGACGTCGGAGTTTTCCAAATGGCCACTGGCACCTCTCCCTCCACCCTGCAGTGAGGTCAGGGCCTGAGCCACGTCCTCAGGAGTCCTCGGGGACTGGGGCTGCCACTCGGATTTACAGTGAGCTCCTCTCCCCAGCCTGCGGGGACAGACTGTCCCAGGGAAGCTGACACAGCTCTGGCCCAGCCAGCGGAGGTCAGGGAGGACAGAGCAGGCGCCCACCCAGATCCCTCCTCCCAGACCCCTCAGGGGTGTTCCAGGGCCACACCCAGGGTGACATAAACCGGGGGGTGGTGGTGGGGGTAGGAGCGGTTGGTGCCCAGCCCGAGGCTCCTTCCCAGGAGGGTCTAGCACGCCCCTGCCACTGAGTCAGCCCGCTGCCAGCTCCCAACTGCCCACTTCCTACACGGGGGTCAGGGTGGGGCTTCCACCACAGCCCCCCCACGCCAGCCTGGCGCCCAGGACTGGCTGACTGTAGGCGGCCGCCGCGCCCCAGACCCAGCAAGGCTGTGAGCTCATTTATACTCCAGAGCCCCTCAGTCCTGTGGGTAAAGCCAGTGCTGGCCATCGTGCAGGGACCTCCCCGTCCCCATCTCGAGTTCTGCTTCTAGGCAGAGACATACCTACGACTGTGTGGCTCTAACTGATATTTGAATGTCTTGATGACAAGAAGGAAGCATCTGTCGTGTCCAAACGGCAGGCAGCACCGGTGTTTCTCTGGAGCTGGGTTTGGCCGGCCTGGCCCCTACGCATCTGAAGGTAGAGGCGGGTCCTGTTCTGGAAAGAGGTGCCTGCCTTGGCCCAACACTGTATGATCTGTTGTCTTCATCGTGGCAGGGGCCACAGCAGGGCTGCGGCCGGGGAGGGCGGGAGTTAGCCCCTCTCTGGCCACAGCAGACTCAGGACGCCTGGATGCCAGATGGGAGGACCAAGAATGTAGGAATTGTAAGTCCACATGAAACAGAAAACCCAGATTCCAGTGTTCTGATCACATCAAGGTTTATTTTTTTTCACACATTAAGAAGCGCAGAGGCCGGCACCAGGGCTGGCGTCCCAGGCTCTGCTGGGTCCTCAGAAAGGCACCTCGTTCCCCCCCCCCCCCCAGGGGGCTGCCGCTCTCCTGCTGGGGGCCCCCCGGTGGCTCCTCCCCCACCCTACTGACTCAAGACCAGGGGGAAGGGCACCAGAGAAAGGCCAGGGCCCCAAACTTGGCCAGCGGAGGCTTTGTGGAGAGTGGGGTAGATGGGTGGTTTTTAAGGAACTTTCTGGAAGCCCGGCCATCACTCCTGCTACATCACACGGCCGCTCCCACCCACAACAGCCCGAGATGTGTTTCATTTTGTGTTTCATTTGGGTTCCTCTAAGTGGGCTATTAACAAGGAGGAAGATGAGGATGGAGCAGGGGAAGCCGAGGATAACAAGGCACTTCCTTCGGGGCTGGGAGCTGCCCCTGCAACCTGGTGCTGGGACAGCAGTTCCAAGAGGAGGGGGGTGGGGCGTGGCATTTGGCCTTGGGGTGCTGTAAGTCCCACTGAGTATCCCGTTGCGACCCCCCCCCTCCTTTTCTGCGCTGTAATCTCTTGTTCTCCCCATGGCTAACTTCTGTTCAACTTGGTTTTAGCTTTGCTCTGGGGACCTGCAGGAAGGACTCAGGTCTAAACCCCCAGCTTGGAAGGAGCAGCTGCAGCTGGCTGAGCCAGTGCCACAGGGTAACCGTGGGTGGGGGCGGTGGGAGCAGTTAGGAGCCAGGACAGACTCTGGGAGGCTGCTCAGAGGTCCGTTGTTGTGGTCGCTGCACAGAGGGAAGCTGGACCATCTCAGGAGGACGCGGGACCCCAGGGCTGGAGACACGGAGCAGGGCTGGAGAGGCGAGCCCAGTCCTCGAGTATCAAGCGCCTAATCTGATGCGTCCTGGGTTCTTAGAGGCTTCCTCTCATGACTCCCAGGCTGCCCCTGTCCCCTCCGCCACCCCTCCCTGGCCTTCAGAAGGCAGAGACAGGGTGGCCTGCCTCGCACCTCTGCACTGCCCACCTCCGCCTGCCTGGGCCACCGGGGGCTCTCTGGCCAGCACGGGCCTCTGGAAGGAGGCAGTGGCTGCCACTGCAGCTGTGGGTCACGGTGACCTGACACTGGACTTGAGGCTCTGGGTCCCACAGGCCGGAGAGGACACATCAGTCCTGGCGGCCCGGGAGTGACAGAGCAGAGCGCTGAATTCCATCTCTGCTGGGATCCTCCCCAGTCACTTCCCTCCGACTTCGACTTCGCAGAGAAGTGCCAATCAGCTCTGGGGTTTTTGTTGTTGTTAGGGAAAGGAAGGAGATAACTTCTCAGACTGGGCAAGGGTGGGGGAGCTCTGCCAGCCAAACCTGCAAGCTGAGGGCCACCTGCTCTCGTTCAGAAAGGCCTGGGGAAGTGGCGGCCCTGATAGCGCGACCTTCAAGGCTATTCTGTGGGCGCCGCTTTAACCCCAAACCTGCCCAGGGTCCACCAAGACAGAAAGAAAACAGGCCCTGGAGGCAGCAGTGAGCGACTCTTTACTCTGTCGGATTATACACCATCGCCCCCCTGGTGACCAGCATTCCCGCCCGTGTCCCGCCTTACAGGGGACAGTTAATACAAACAAAAATAGTTCTCTACAAAACGAAGTTTCCAGCCCTCCCAACCCTTCCTACTGCCCCTTCCCCAGACGGTGAGGTCCTCGGTCACCAGGCCTCGGTGGGGCCTGGGTTTTGGTGGGTTGCAAGGAAAATAATATAAAAGAGAATCAAGTCAGCGACTAGAGTTGTAGGCAACTGGGGTTCCGGGTCACCCCGCGGCCGGCGGCGAGCCCGGGACAGGCGCAGGGGTGTCTGCAACAGTCCTGTGCGCAAGTGTGGGGAGGCAGGACTTGGGGTGCTGGGCGAGCAGCGTTGCTCCCGACCCCATCACACCGCCAGCAAAAAAAAAAAAAAAAAGAAAAGAAAAGGAAGGGCGGCAGGTAATACAAAAGAAAAACTAAACCCGAGATCGGCGCCGCGGCGGGGCGGGAGGACTGCCGAGTAGCACCTGGGAGCAGCCGGGCCGCACCCTTCTCGCCGCCGGCCGGGACGCCGGCCGGTCCCGGCCCCCGCCCCGCGGGCTCAGCGGCCCAGGCGCGCGGCCAGCCCCAGCAGCAGCAGGCAGCCGAGCAGGGTGGCGGGGCGCGCGGCGGCCCCGGGCGCGCGGTCGCAGTCGGGGCCGCCGCCGCCGCCGTCGTCGCGGTCGCAGCGGGGCTGCTCGCAGCGCACGCCCGTGTAGCCGCGCGGGCAGGCGCAGCGCTGGTTCTGCAGGCAGGTGCCGCCGTTCTGGCACAGCAGCTGGTCGTCGTCGCACACGTTGGCTGCGGGCAGAGCGGACAGTGAACGCGGGCCCCGGCCCGGCCCCCACCCGGAGCTCCCGCGACAGGACGTGCGAATACCCGGGGGCGCGGCCTGGCCCGGTAGGAGGCTCGGGCGCACCCGGTGCGCAGCGTCCCGCGGGGACCGTTCCAGCTGCGCGAGCCCCGCCCCGCCCCGCCCGCCCCGCGGCCGCCGCGCGCTTCTCCGCTCTCAAGCGCCGTCTCCGGGGCTTTGCACATGCTGTTCCGTGCCCCTGGGGCGCCCTTCCACGCTCTGCCGCGGCCAGCGCCCGCCCGGACAAAGCTCCCCGCAAACCCCAGCCGGCCACAGCTCGGCCCCTCCCGCAGGTCCCGCCGCGCCCCGCCCCGCCCGCGCCGGCCCCGCCCCAGTACCGCCCACCCGCCAAGGTCCCGCCCACCTGTGCCGCCCCGTCGGGCCCCGCCCCCAGTACAGCCTCGTCCCCGCCAGGCCCCGCCCCCAGTGCCGCCTCCCGCGCCAGGCCCCGCCCCCCGCGCCAGGCCCCGCCCCTCCCACGCCAGGCCCCGCCCCCGGTGCCGCCCGGCCGCGCCCACTCACGGTAGCAGCCCTGGCGCCAGTAGTGCGTGGGGAGGCAGTCGTCGCACTTGGGCCCCGCCGCGCCCTCGCGGCACTCGCAGAAGCCGGTCTCGTTGCAGCGGTCGTGCACGGAGCCGATCTGGTTGCAGTTGCACTCTGCGGGACACAGGCGCGGGCGCTCAGGCGACCTGTGGCCGCCGTCCCCGCACCGCGCCTGGCCCGGCGTCCCTCGCAGCGCAGCTGCAGCCGGGTCTCCCTGGCACCCTCCCGGAGATGCCTCCGCTGGATGGCGGGCGGGGCCTGCCGTGGGGTCCAACCCTCCAGGAGTCCCGCCTTCCTTCCCTGGCATCCAACGACCCTCTCCCTCGCCTGCGCCTGCCCTGGCGCGGTATGGCCTGGGCCAGCCCCTTCCCCTCCGGGCAGCTGCAGGGGAACGGGCTGATCTTTCCCGGACCCAAGGAGCTATGACCCTGCCAGGTGGCAGGCGCGTCAGCAGAGGTCACGGGGCACCCATGCGGCCATGGGGCTGTGGAGGGGGGATGGCCCCCATCTGTGGCTCCTTTCCAGGGGGCTGGAGGAGCAGCCCAGAGGCCTTCCCCTCCTCCCACCCGGCCCAGCTGGTGTCCTTGGGCCTCTGCTCCGTGGGAGGGGCGGATGTCCTCCACTCTGGGAGTCCTTGAAGCCCAGTGCTGGGCCTGGGGGTGGAGGTGGAGAGAAGGCGGGAGCCTGGGAGGGGGCTCCTCTGATTGGATCCAGAGCCCCTGCCCTGTCCCTGCAGCTGGCCCTGCATAACGTCACAGCACAATTTCATCTTGGTCACTTTAGAGTTGATGGAATTATCTGGAGGCCACAGCCGTAATTCAGGCTGACAGCTCCAACCTTGCAGGAGCCTCTCCTCTTTCGCCAGAGCTGGCCTGGTGGCGGTGGGGCCACAGGGTCCCAGGGGGCCGGCTGGGCGGGGGCGGGGACAGCTCCAAGGGCACTGTACTGGAGACAGGGCAGGGAGTGGCGGGCAGCCCCTCCGGGCTGTGTGGTGGGGGGTCATGGGTTTGGCCTTTGGGACGGCCTGTCCCCTGCACAGGGCCTGATGGATCCCTTCTTCAGCTCAAAGCCAGTTCTGGGGCAGAGCTGGGCGGTGCCTGCCAGGGCCAAGCGTGGCCGGACCTTTGCTTGGGAAGCCTTTGGGGAAAAGCTTTGGCAGCAAAAGGGTGGAAACCCTTTGATCTGATCCACCTGCCGGCTTTATGAGTGGAAGAGCCCAGGCCCAGAGAGGGGAAGGGACTTGCCCAAAGGCACGCAGCAGGGCCGTCTCTAGAACCCAGCCTTTGGCTCCGACCCGTGGCTCTGCAACCCCAGCACCTGGGGGAAACTGCAACCCCAGCGCCTGGGGGAGAACCGCACGGGGAGGCCGGCAGCAGAGCAGATTTGGGGGCTTCTGTCCTGGAGACGCCCAGCCGGCGTGGGCCCTGGAACTGGGATTCCCGCAGCCTGCCCAGCTGGTTCGGACACAGGGGTCTCCAGACCTAACAGCCCCGAGCCCGCGGGCTTCCCCCGAGAGTTCCCCGGCCGCGCGCGCCCTCTCACCGATGCAGACGTTCTCGTCGTCCAGCTCGGCCGAGCCGTTCCGGTAGTAGCCCAGGCGGCAGTGCTGGCAGTGCTGGCCCCTCGTGTTGTGCTTGCAGCTGACGCAGGTCACCACGTTCAGGAAGTCGATGTAGCTGCAGCGGTTGGAGTGGCCGTAGCACTCACAGTCTAGGCCGGCCGAGCGGGAGAAACACTGTGAGCATTCAGGGAAACTGAGGCACGGGCAGATTTAAGGACCCCACCCCCCAGGACATGCAGGGCAGGAGGGAGGCGTTTTGGAGAAGGAACTAGAAGATGCCCTGGGCCTGTGGTCCCCTCGTGGCGTTTGGGAAGACACAGGCCTGCCCGTTTCCATCCTGAAGGAGAAGGCCCAGGAATTCCCGCCTGGCCCGTGGGCAGGCGACGGGGGCCAGTGGGCACCTTGCCGACGCCTGGCCGGCGCCAGGGCCCAGCGCCCTCTGAAGGATGCCCCCACGACAGAGGGATTAGAAAGCGGTTCATGCAAGGACGGGGCCCTGCCGCCAGACTGCGTGCTGGGGCAGGCGGCGCCCGGGTTCACAGCGCCACCACCGTGTCCCCAGCCACTCCGCGTCCGCGGACGAACGAGGGCGAGCGTGAAGGCTGCACAAGAGGCAGTGGGCCAGGAGCTTCCTCCCATGCTGCTTTGGAAGACGGTGGGGAGGAAAATGCCCGCCCGCCCTTTCTCATTAGCCTGAGCCGCCCACAGTTTGTCTGTTTTGCAGGACCCCGGGCGTCTGCTTGCCCCCCCCCACCAGCTTCTGACTTGCTGCTCCTGGAGGCAGCGGCTCCACACCCAGGACCAGTCTCCATCTCCGCACCGTCCCGCTGCCCCTCCCGCGCCCCACGTGGTCCTCAGGCCGAGCCCTGCACAACTGGCTCTGCTGCACGGACCAGGCCAGCGCCGTGGCCGCCTGGGCAAGGCTCTAAGGGCCTGGAGGCGGGTCCCCCAACATCATGGAGGGTTGGGGGGTTGTTGAGGAGGGTTACCTTCCCGGCCGCAGAAGGGAGGCCACCCTTTGGCATCCCTCCTAAGGGACTCAACACCTCCTGACCCCAAGCAAGAGAGCTGATGTGGCTGTCCCCATGCAAGGAAGGGCACCGCCACCCTCCTGAAACACCATCTGTGTATCGCCAGAGCACCCAGCCTCCCCTGTGATGGGGGCGCTGACCCAGGCCCTGGTGGCCAGGGGCATTTCACACCCTGGAGAACGGCCTGTGAGGTGTGCCCGGAGAGGAGGTGGCGAATACTCCCACCCCTGGGCCCCGGCCCGCCCCCTTTGCCTTGCCCCTCCAGAGTCAATGAGGCCAGGCATCCTCCAAGGGTCCCAGAGAGCAGTGCTGGTGACCCGTGTGTCCCAGATTCTGCTTCAGCCAAGACGAGCCCTTGGGCCACACCTCCCAGGGGAGCCAGGACAGGTTATTTCTGGCAGCTGCTCTGCCTGCTGTGTGCCTGCCCCCCGTGCCCGAGCTGGCTTCTGACTCATACCTGCGCCCAGCTCCCTTGGCGAGGCAGGAGAGACTCCATCTGACCTTGACCCAGCTACTCCGGGAGGGCGTTCTCAGCCGAGCACCAGCCCCCCGGCCGCAGTGGAGGTGGAGGGAGTGGAGGCAGGGAGGACTGATCTGGCCCAGGGCCCTCTTACCTTGGAATTCTTCAATGGGCATCACTTGAGGAGATTTGGGCTTGAGCTGGAAAAGTTCGGAGCCCTTAGCAGGGGCAGGGGCAGGGGCAGCAGCGGACGTGCCCACGGCTTGGAGAGATGAGAAACAGGCTCTTTCATCTGCCATGGTCCAGCTGCCTGGAAAAGGCTTCCAAGGCACACCGGGACAGCTCTGGTGCAGCCTCATCCACTGCCCGGATTTGAAGCAGGGAGAGGCCACTCTGGCCACCAAGCACAGAGCCCTCGGGTCGGGAGCCAGGCCCCTCTTACAGCCCAGAGAGGTGGGTTTCACACTTGCTGGAAAGTGACACAGCACACCCACGAGCCTGCACCTCCCCTGCCCCGGGTCCCCTCCCTAGGACCACCTCCGCATCTGGCTGTAGTAACCCCGAAAATGACTCCTGTGTCCTCCAGCACCCCACACTGTGCTGGGACCTGCCTGGGTGCCGAGCAGTTTTTGACAGGCTGACAGCATTGCGCTGCAGGCCCTTCCCTTGCTGGCCCCTTCTCCCCTCCAAACTCCCCGGAGCATCAAATGCGGAGTCTAAACCTGGCGTTTACGACTGTGGCATCTCCCTTCCTTTCTGGAGCAAACTCCCTACTCCAGCCACAGTGAGTCCTTCTCCCACTGGCAAGTGCTGCCAACCCATGCACACGGATGGCGCCAGTCTTCCCCTGCCCAGGGTCCCCCCGGGCCCCCAGCCCGTATCGTGGGCAAGCAGGCCACTGTCGCAGAGTATCACTGCCTTGGCTTCCCTTTGGGAGTCTGTGGTGCCTCAGTTGGCCCAGGGCAGGGAAGTGATGGCTCCAGCCGGCTCTACCTGTCCCCATCACCAGAGGACGCCCGACTCCGGTCCTCCGGGTTGCTAGGCACCGAACCTCGGACCCTCACAGACTGTGGTCCCAGCTGCAGAGCCGCCTGCCAGCAGAGGGTGCCCAAAGCCCTGCTCACTGCTCACAGCCGGGCAGGAGGGGAACTAGAGGTGCTGGAGGCGCAGAATTAGGGCCTGATGTCCGGGGGGCAGGGGAGCCGGGCTGGGACAGCTGCCCCGCTTGGAGAGTCAGGCAGGCCCCAGTGTGCGTCTCCTCCCAAGCAGTGGGACAGCGCAGCACCTGGCTTGGCGGTCACTGCTGCCCGCCGTCCCTCCCTGCCCTCATCCACCCGGTGGCTTCCCCACCGGCCCCACTGCTGCCCCTGGCCCTGCCTCCCTCTGCCTGCCACGTTCCCCTCCCATCGCCCCCCTGCCCCGGCTCCAGCAGGACGTCCGGTCTGACTCTGTCTGGGCTCCATCGGCCGCCCGGGCGTCCTGTGAGCAAGAGTGGCCGGAGAGGGAGGGTCCCGCAGTGAGGGGCAGGGTCTCCGCTCAACTCTGAAGCCCTTGGAGGGGTGCGGTGAGAAGAGCTCGGGTTTGGGGGTGTCACACTGGCCCTCTCTAAGCAGGTGAGAGCTGGCGGTGTGCAGAGGCCCCCTGCAACGCCATGCCCAGAGCTCCCCAGGCATCGTCTCCTCGCAGTTCCTGCCGTCCCCTCCCCTCCCGCCCTGGGTCCCCACCACGCACACCTGCTACTTCCACTACATGTGGGGGGGGGTGGCTAAGGGTCTAAGAAGGGGATCCCTGGGGTCAGGCCTGGCCCCCCATACCTTCTGCACTGGAGGACACCTGGGGCCAGGGTGTGCTCTCCCAGAGGGGGGCAGCCGTGGGTGGCCTGGTCCACTCTTGGGGGGGGGGAGAAGAGAAGAAACCAAGTTATGTGCGGAGGGGGGGGCCTGGGGACACACTGAGGCATCATACCTCCCCCCAGGCCCTTTTTAGGAAGCAGTTCTAGAAGGAGAGGCTGTGTCTACACTGGCTAAAAGAACTAGGTCTAAATCTACAATACAGGCAGCGTCTACACTACAGCAGCCTGTGGAGGGCGCAGGCAGACTTCAAGGGGGAGGGGGTGCACCATGCCTGAGAATCTGCACACTTTAGCCTGTCTTTTCTTCAGTGGGATGCCTGGTTTGGGGGACCCTTCTACTCTGCCTGTGTGGTCCCTGTTCCAACAGAGGGGCAGAATTAGGCCAGGTCCTGTCTCTGCGGTCTCTGGCTAACGGCTGCAGGCCAGAGTGTGTGTCGTGGCCAAGATCTCAGCCGTGTGCAGAGGTCCTGCAAGGCCTCCCGTCCGCCCCAGGCCAGGGACGGCGCCTTCTCCATTATCTGACTCACCTGCCTGGCCACCACCCTTCTGCCTCCCGAGCCCTGGGTTGGGCCCATTTTGACCAGGAATTGCAACGTGAGTGAACCCCCAGATGCCACCGTGCTCAGCCCCTAGACAAACTGCACACACACACAGCCAGGCTGGGAGGCTGGGAGCTGCCGGCACAGCATTTCAAAGGACCAACCCAGAGGGACAGGGGAGAGGTCTGACGCTTCCTACTTCTTAACCCTCTTAATGCGGCGGGCCGAAATATCGGCTTTTGTGTCTAGGGCGAAAAGTGTGGCTGGCCGATATATCGGCTCCTACGTGGGCCATTGTTAACTACGTAGGAGCCGATACATCGGCCCACCACACTTTTCGCCCTAGACACAAAAGCTGATATTTCGGCCCACTGCACTAAGAGGGTTAAAGGGATTGCACACGGTGATGTTGGTGGTGGAAGAAAAAGGAAATCTACCAGTTAAGGAGTACAGGGAACTTTCCAGCCGGGAGCTGGGAGCCTTTGGACATCAAATTGACACTAATGTGGTGTTCAATGAGGACCGAGGCCGCCAGACCCAAATTGGCCAGGGCTTAATTAGAGCCGTGCAGAACCCGCCCTGAGGCATCCAGCTTTGGAGTCCATCTCCCGTCCTCACGGGCAGGGGGCCCGGGTGGGATTAGCGCAGCCGCTGTCTCCCGACAGCTTGACACTGGCGGGGGAGAAACAGCTGGGCCAGGGGCTCCGGCCTGGGCCTGCGGGCTGTTGGGAAGGGCTGGGAGAGACGCAGGGCCTTTGGGGGCCGTGCGACTGGGGGCTGCGGAGGGAAGGGCTCCCCACCAGGCCCCCAGGGACATGCTCGGGTGTTCGGGAAGCAAGCTCTGGCAGTGGCCTGAGTCCTGTGCCAAGACCAGATGGCAGCCCCGTCTGCTCCTTCTGAATTTGGGAGCCGCGCAAGCCAGGCCTTAAAGGTGGCACCACCTCATAGCCCCAGGCCTGGGGGCAGGGGCACTGGGCGGCGGGTGTCGGGGCTGGGGCAGCGTCTGGGGCAGGGCGCTGAGTTCGAGTCCTGCCCATGCACCTTTGCAGTCCTGCACCTTGGGCAGCTGCTGCTTTTCTTTCTCTTTTCTTCCTTTAGAACAGCTTTATTGAGGTATGGTTCACATACCATAAAATCCAGCTGCTGCTTCCTAAGCCTCAGTTTCCTCCCTTTGGGACCAGGACAATAGCAGCCTCCACCTCCCCGAGCCAAGAGGTCATTCGAGCTCAAGCTCGGCTCTGAGCAACCAGAATGATCATCGCTACTAATGGGGGCTCTGGGCGGTGGCTGCTCTGGCCACGGACTGTCACATTGGAGCCACCTCCTTCCCTAGTGCCCCTCTGCTGGAACAGGTGGAGCTGACCGCATCCTGGGGACCCTCACAATTTAAACCACACCTCTTCCAGAGTCACCACTCCGGCCTCTGACTTTTCCTCTGTCACTCCCAACTTTGCTCAGTCTGCCCTGCAGCCGCCCTGGCACCAAACCAGAGGCAACCCTGAAAATGGATTCGAGCTTCCTTAACCGCGTGTGTGTGCGTGTTCCCACGTGTACATGTTCGCACATGTGCTCACACACGTGTGATGGTACCTGGCCTCCACCCAGACACACCCATGTGGAGGCAGACACAGGACCTGCCGTGGCTACTTTTGCTCCCTCTGCTCACCGCAGGCTCACACGGCTCGGCCACCCTATGTCCGAAGCCCAGAACTTTCAGAGTGACCCTTGTCCTCCACCCCAAGGAGGATTTCTGGGCCAGGAGGCTCCCCAGAATCCTCCAACCTCCTGGCCAGGTCCTGCTCCCTGCAGACGCCTCCCGTGGAGAAGGAGGGCTGGGGAAAGGGGTGTGGCCGGCGAGATGGCCAGGGAGGAGGGCACTCTCTCTGGGCATCCACTCAGCCCCAGCAGGCCGAGGGAAGAGAGGCTGAGCGTGGCTGGGTCCCACAGCTGATGGAGGGGTCTCTGCCCTTGAGAAATGCCACCCCTCCACGGGGACCGACTGTCGAGGCAGGTCTCCTCGAATCAGAGAGGAAGGACACTGCCCCAGGAGTTAAGAAGCCCCCGCCGGGTCCACCCTGCAGGGTGGGGGCATGCCATCGGGGCGCCCCTCCCTCCCTGGCTGGGACCAGGAAGAAGTCCCTACAGCCACCATCTTCCTAGCACCTTGGGAAGGACGAGTCAGTTCCAACTCCGGGCACCTGCTGTGAGCAGAGTCTGGGTGCGCCCGGGGCCCACCCCAAGCCGCGAATGCAGAGTCCCGCCTGCAGGAGGGCTGAGAGCAACCTGCTTCCACGGAAGCCTGTCTGCAGCTGCAGCCCCCGCCCGGCCCTGCGCACAGCCCCGAGAGGCCCAGCAGCCCAGGTGCCAAGCAGGCCCCAGAGGCTCTTTCCGCCTTGCTGAGTGGAGACGTTTGCCTCCTGGGCTAACCCTGCGCCGTCCAGCCCCATGGTCGGCTGGGCTGCGGAGGGGCTGGGGGCAGGGCCGGGTCCAGCTCCAGGGAACACAAACGCAGAAGCCTCATCCAGAGACAAGATCCCACCTTTGGCTGAATGTCGGGGGGGGGGCCTCCCTGCCAAGTCCCCTGTCTGTTTGACCGCACAGGTGTGGGCCCTTCTGAGCAAGGCGGGAGGAGGGAGGAAGAAGGTTTCTGGAGCTTGAACTGTCCCTGGATCCCCGGGCTGGGGCTTGGTGACAGGTTGGCCCAGACGGCCGGGAGGCCCCTTTGGTCCCTGCCCTTGCGGCTCCAGGGTTTTAGCATCTATACCTAAGACCTAAGCCCCTGCGCTCCCTGGCAATAACACCCCCCCCTTGCAGAGAGGCAGGGACTCAGGCTAGAAGCAGGACCAGGCGGACGGCAGGGGCCACTGGCTGTGTTCTGGCACCCACCTGTGGGCTGTGGGGTGCTGGGGGCCATGGGGGCCCTGGCAGTGGATGTGGAGGGGGCAGACGTGGTGGGTCCCCCCCTCATGGCCACAGTGGCCACGGTGGCCACAGGGCCTTTGGGGACAGGGTCTTTCTGGGACCTGCCGGTGCCTGGCGAGAGATGGGAAAAATGAGAGGGTGCGGAAGTCAGCAGGGGTGGGGGCACCCCAGAGACGCAACTTTCGACGCCGCGCAGATCCTCCACCCCTCCGGGGCCAGCTTCCTTCTGTGCCCCAGCGGGGAGGCCAGCCTGGGTCGGGAGGGACCACTCGTGTGACGCGGAGCCCCACAGAGGGCAGAGGGTGACGGCACACCCAGAAGCATTTCTGAGATGTGGGGTCAGCCAGTGGTTTCCTGCTGACTCAGCGTGGAGGCAGGGCGGGGCCTGCAGGGATCAGCTGAGAGCTGAGCCTGGGCTGGGTGAGTGCTCCCCGTGAGTGCTCCCCGGGCCGTGTGGATGTCGCCGCTGACTGCCCGTGGGCACCCACGCCTGCCCTCCCCCTCCTCGAGAGCTTTCGGGCCCTCCTGCCGATGCCCCCTCCTCGGTCTGCAATGCCCTGGGCCCTGAGCTGGCCCGGAAGACCAGGGCAGGGGTAGCAGCCTCCCCAGCCAAGCCACGGGCCAAGAGGGAGGCTGCCCCCCATGTTCAGGCTGGGGGTGGATCCTGCCCTGGTCGGTGAGGAGGGTCACCCCACTCTTGCCTCTCGGGACACCCTCTTCCCAGCTCTGGGTGAGAGAGGAGGAGGTGTCCAGCCAGGGGTCAAGGGAACCTGCAAAATGTCCCACCCCACTTTCCAAAGCAGCACCGAGGAAGCTCCCAGGGGAAGGGAGGTGTGGGCCACAGGCCACAGCACAGTGACAGCGTGATGGGACTCAGGGAGAGCGAGACCTGGAGAAGCAGATGGGCGGAAGTAGAGGAGAGGCCCGAGGGACACCAAAGCCCCTTCTTTTCTCTCAGGCTCTTTCCAGGACATGCAAAGAAGTTCATGCAGTGGGGGCCAGTCACCCCCCTCAGGGACCCAGGTGCGTACTTACTGCCAAAGGAGCCTGCAGCAGCACCTGCAGGGAGAGAGAGGGTCACAGAGCTGGCTGCCAGGAGGAAGGGGCCTGGCTGCGTCCTCCCTGGGGACGGGGGTGGCAGGGGGCGCGTCAAGGTGTCCCTCCCTCCGCCAGAGGGAAGGAAACCTGGGCTTGGGTGGTCACCCCATTTCATGCCCACCACAGCCCTGAGAGGGAGGAGCCGCTATTAGCCAACTTTGCAGATGGATAAACTGAGTCTCAGAGCCCTGACTTACCCTTGGGGACATTCTGACAAGTGCCAAGCACCCCACGGGGAGCTTCACACACACCCCCTTTTAAGATTTTGGACTTTGGGTCCCCCAGTGCAGGGCAAGGAACTGTGCGCAGTGTGTTCCCATCAGAGAAACTAGGGATGGCAGAATAGCTTCCTGAAACGACATCCTAGCAGCTGCCACACGCCGAGTGCCCAGCACGGTCCACACGTGTCCTGCATGAGCATCTAGTCCTCACAACAGCCCACGGGGTGTTTTCTCACGGACCTGCTCCTGCAGACAATGGCGGCTGGGAGGGGCCGAGACACGGCTCAGGTCCCGGCCCTGTCTGTGTGGCTGAGCCGGGGGGAGGCCCAGGCGAGAACCTCCAGTCTCAAAAGGCAGGCGCCTGGCTGTGGCCAGCGGGACAGTCCAGGGAGGAGGAGCCGGCCACACTCACTCCCTCCTTCCCCCACGTGTCTGGGCAGGCTCCACATCAGACCCTGGGGACACCTCGGGAGGTGTGGCCTCGGGAATGAAGCAAGGGAAGTCCCTGGGGGCCAGGCAGGATAGAGGCTGAGCTGGCCCTGGAGGGTGAAGGAGCCAGCCGGGCGGGGGCTGGGGGTGACCAGGCGGGAAGACTGGACGGGGGCAGGTGGGAGGGGAAAGGAGGGAAGTAGACAGATGTTGGGGGTGGGGAAGGGCTCCAGTCTAGGTGACTCCCAAGCTTGGCCCCCTGGGTGTGGGTGCCACTTGGGCTCTTTTCTCCTGGTAGCCCGCCCCGAGAGAAGGCGGGAGACCTGGGTGAGAGAGCCTCAGGCTGAGGCCATGGAGCACCCCAGCCTCACCCCTGCCCCTGAATGCTGGGGAAGCAGGGGTGGAGCGGCCAGCTCTCACCCTGCCCCTGCAGGGAGGAGGGGAGGAGAGGTCTCTAAGGCAATGGCCCTGCTTAGACAGGAGGTGGCTTCTGGCCTGGGGGGAGCAGTGACAGTGGGCCTCCCTCGTGTCCTGCAGGTAAGAGCCTCGGTCTGTGGGTGCCCAGGAGGTGGCAGACACAAGCCCTTGCAGAATCCTCCCAGGAGCAAGGGACAAGTGGAAGACAAGAGCCAGAAGTGCAGAGAGAAAGGGGGAGAAGGTGGGGGGAGAGGCCCACAGGACAGATGAAGGGGAGGTGAATGTGTGAGTCAGAGGGGGAGTGACAGCCACTAAAGGGAGGGTTCAAGAAAGGGCCTGGGCCTCAAAGAGACAGAGACAGGGACCTGGGAGGAGGGAGCCAGGCTGGGGCGGCTGTCAGCGCCCAGAGCGCTCTCTGAGCCTTTGAAGACCTGAGTGCCGCTGGAGCCTGGCAAGTCGTCCCTTCAAAGGCCTGTTGTGCCGCCTGCCCTGGCACATGCACGACATGCCTGTCACGGCCTTGGAGCGGTTTCAGCTTTGATCAGCCTAAAGTCACATAAATCTTTCACCCATCCAGGGAGGGTGCCCGGACGGGGTGGCACAGTGCAGGGTGCAAGAGGCAGCTGCCCAGCCCTGGCGTCGGCACCACATCCAACAGCTCTCGGGGAGACCCAGGAGGGCCCTGAGGCTGGCCGGGCCTCGGTTTGCTCCTCTGGAGCGTGGGCAATGGTGACACTCCCACCCGTGGTGGTGTGATGAGGACGGAGTGGGGCGAGGTGTTTAAAGTGCCTGGCGCGGCCTCAGGCACCGGTCAACGTCCTTGACAAGGGTCAGACACCAGGAAACGCCCGAGGGCTGGGTCTGGGATTCACGGTTTCACAGAGACACCGTGGCTAAGCTGGCGGTCCCCGATGAGTGGGGGTCCTCCATGGGGTGCTTGTGACGCAGGTGTGTGGGCAGACCTGGAGGTGGCTTCCCTGGCACGGCTGAGCAAGGAGAGGAGAGGACCGGGCAGAGAGCGCGGGCAGGGGACTCTGGCGAGGGCCTCGAGGACCCGCTGTGAAATGGGACAACAGGTGCCCAGCTCCCGGGGCACTCTGAGGACAGAGGGGGTGTGAACACGCAGCATGCTGTGACAACACTCATTATCAGGGATGGTGCTGGCTATCCCGATCGCCTGCAGTGGGGCTCCCAACCACCTCACCCCTGCCCCCCAGGGGACCTCCTGTGGGCCAGGGCCAGAAGGGTGGCTCAGAGTTCAGCAGAAAGCAGATGTGCTAGAGGGTCTTGGGAAGTGTGTGTGTGTGTGCACGTGTTTGTGCATGCATGCTTGTATATTTCTGCATGCATGTGCTTATGTGTATGTGTGCACGTTTGTGCACGTATATGTGTGCACATGCCGGTGCATGTGCATTTGCGTATGCATGCTTGTATATTTCTGCATGCATGTCTTGCGTGTATGTGTGCATGTGCACACGTGTGCATACACACGTATGTGTGCATGTGTCGTGTGTGGGATCCAGAGCTCCTGGGGTTGACAGGCGGGGGAGACCGCAGCCACCCTATCTCACAGCCCCAGGGGGCGGCAGGGCACATACAGGCATTGGGAGAGCCGTGGGGCAGCGGCAGGTAGGAGCCGGCCCGCCAGGAGCGGGTGCGGAAGTTCTTCTTGCACTTGCCGCAGTCGGGGCCGGTGGTGTTGTGCTCACACTCGCACTGCAGGCTGCCCTCGCGCACGGAGCACAGGTTGGCGTGCAGGTTGCACTTGCACCTGGGGAGACACGAGAGGGCGGAGACGTCAGAGAGCTCGCGGGCATGCTTTCTGGGGAGGGGGGGAGGAGAGCCCAACGGGAGGGGTCCGGGAAGGTGCTGGCCTGCAAGGACCCCGGAGGCCACCATGCCCACCTGCACTACCTCCTTCGGGACAGAAAGTCCCAGATCCGCCCTCGCATGGAGGGTTCAACTCCGCCTTCTGAAGGCTGCCCCTGGACCCGCCACTGCTGGCCTACTCCCCTCTTTGATGGTGGTTCCAAGGATTTCCTGCTTCTCGGCTGGGGCGGGTGACAAGCCTCCTTCGTCCCAGATGCTGCATTCTTAGCGACGCAGCTTCTGAGCGCCCTAGCTCTTGCTGAGGTGGGCGGACAGGTGGCAAGGGCTGCTACCAGCCCCTCGCCGCGCAGACGGGGACCTGGCCACAGGCTGCACCTCTGCTGTCGGCGGTGGCCCCCGCCCGTGCCCTTGAGGGGGACGGAAAGAACCCCAACTCCCAAGCCCCTGTCAGTTCATCCACACATGTATTATTCATTCGTTCATTCAAATATTTATAGGCAACTCATTATTCTGAAAACTGGTAAATAAAGGAAAGCAGCGAGCGTTTATCTCGCCTGTCCTACATAGACGGCACCTCGGGGTAACCAGAAGCTGATGAGGGGAAGTTTCTGTTTATAGACGCATTTCAGGATGGAACCAGTGGTCCCTAACGGAGGCCTGGCTGCAGGCGAGGAGCAGCGACAGGACAGCAGAGAGAGCTTCCCGCACCCCCGCCCGCAGCCGTCTGGCCAAAATAAATCGCTCCTAAGTCAGACCAAGTCTCTGGACCCGGCCGTGAATTCCCAGCAAGTACAGAGCCACACACCAAACGCCAGGGGACGCAATCCAGCTGGAGGAAACCCCAGAAGTGATGACCCAGTTTTGTCAACAGATGAGTTGCACTGGGACAAAAACTGATGCGGAGGGATAAGGGACCTAAACTAGGAGAAACCTCAGAGGCGTATTATCCAGTGGCAGGGCGTGGAGCACCTCTGGTCTCGGTGCAAACAACCTACAGAATCAAATACGCAAATGGAAGGTACATTTACGAGACACTTGGAAATGGGACGCTGCCTATATTTGATGATATTAAATTAATGTTTTTGAGGGATGATGATGGTATCATGTTTTTAAGTTTTGTTTTGTTTTATTTTCACGGACACAGGGTCTAGCTCTGTTGCCCGGGCTGGAGTGCAGTGGCATCATCACAGCTCACTGCAACCTCCAACTCCTGGGCTCAAGTGATCCTCCTGCTTGGCCTCCTGAGTAGCTGGGACTACAGGTGAGTGCCACCACGGTACCTGGCTAATTTTTATTTTTTTTAGAGATGGGGTCTTGCTGTGTTGCCCAGGCTAGTCTTAAACTCCTGGCCTCAAGTGATCCTTCTGCCTTGGACTCCCAAATTGTAGGTATTACAGGCCTGAGCCACAGTGCCTGGCCTTGAAAAGTTCTTTTCTTTTAGAGATACACACAGAAATATTTACAGATGAAAAATCATCTGATAACTGGGATTTGCTTCAGAATAACACCGAGAGGGGGGACATGGGCCAAAGGAACAGATGAAACAGGAAAAGCCACCAGTTGACAACTGAAGTCGGATGGCAGATCCATGGCGGCTCATCGTGGCAGATTCTCTTCTCTTGTGTGTTGGAAAGTCCCCATGATAAAAGGTTAAAGAGAGAGAGAATGCTCTATATTCTGACACCAGAAGATTTCCAAGGTACCTTGTCAATACTTGGAAAAATATTGCGAAACGCAAGTTGCAGAACAACATGCGTTTAGTAGAATCTTCTTTTTATTAAAATATGCAAAGAAAAATATTTACAGGGCACCTGTTCTGTGGCAGGCTCTGAGCTGGGAACAGCGAGTGCAACGGTCAGCAGAGCAGACGGGTCCCGGCCCTGATGGGGCACAGGGTGTCGCAGGGAGACAGTGGAAATGTCAGTGACCTGAGGGATCGGGGAGGGAGGACAGGCAGGCAGAGCACAGGGGTGTCTAGGGCAGTGAAAGGCTTTATGGCACTGTCGTAAAGTTACATCGTGCAAATGTCAAAGCCCATAGAACTGTAAGACATAGATGAACTGTGATGTAAACTAGGAGCTTCAGTTCATAACTGTGTATCGAAGTTGTAACAGAGGTCAAACACAAAATGTTCCCAAGGAAACCTGTGCAGAGGAGAAGGGGCTATCTTTCTTGTGCTATCTGCTCAATATTCTGTAAACCTAAAACTTTTCCTAAAATGAAGTCTATTACTTAAAAAATAATCGTCACACAAACCTTCAGCTGTTCTAAGTGCCCCAGGGTTGCACAAAGGAGAAGGTATCGAGGGCAGGGGCCCTACCCTGGTCTGCGGGGAGCAGGACAGGTTTCTAGGAAGAACAGTTTTGAACTAAGACCTGAAAGAGAATCAGAAGTTGGCAGGTCAGGAGAGAACCTTCTAGAAGGAGGCAAGAGCAGCGGGAGGGAAGACCCTGGGGCTGACGGGGCCTTGAGAAGAACTCAGCTTGTAAGGTCTGAGCAGAGGCCCAGCGGCGGGATGGGGCCGGGCGCGAGACAGGCTGAATTTTACCCCGAGAGCCACTGTCAGCCTGCAGCAGGTCTGACGTGTCCTGCTTTGGTTCATGTTTTATGCCACCGTGCCCACTCCACGGAGAACGGCTTGTCTGGGGGACGAGGGCCCAGGCAGGGAGACCAGGGGACTCTGTACACAGGGCCCTGTCCCGGGTGGGGGCCCCGGGCCCACCGGTCACGCCTGGGCGTGGGGCAGCTTCCCCTCCCTGGCTGTGCGCCTCTGGAGATGGCTTTCCGGACGTTTAGTCGACAACACCCTCTCGCTCTTCCTTGTCCCTCCCCTCTCGCCCGGCTGGGGGAGGCTTTCTGTCTCCCACACCGCACTCCTTAAGCCGTCCCGGACAGACAGACGCGTGTCCCTCAGCCTCGGCCACACGCTGCAGAGCTGCGTCCTGCCCGCCCTTCCCCTGCGCCCTCACCGCCTGCCCTGCCCTGCCTTGGTCTCCACGGGACCGGGACCTGGGCTCCGTGGGGGCCGCCTTCCAGGCCAGGATTGCAGCGGGAAAACCGGTGGCCCCCGGGTCCACCAGCCACCAACCCCCGTGTGCCGCCAGGGCCGCCTTCCTCCCTGCGGTCTTCCCTCTGCCCGGGGGTGACCCTGCAGAACGGCGCAGGAAGTGAAGGTGCGTCCCGGGAAGGGGCCATCGCAGCGCTACTGAGCACCATGCCGTCAGAGGCCGCTCCCCGCCACGGGACGCTCCTCGCAGGCATGAAAACGACCACGGTTACCGAGGGCTCGCAGTGTGCCGGGCAGGGGTCTCGTGCAGGCCTCTGACTTGCCACCAGAGGTGATGCCATCGTCACCTTCGCGTTACACATGAGGGGGTGGAGGCTGAGAGGTGGCGCCTCTTACCCAGAGGCGCGGGGCTGCCACCGACTGTTAGAAGCTGGGACCCTCAACACCCCTATGACTTGTCCTACGCACGGGCCTCGCCCTGGAAAATTCCTAGGACAAAAACAGCACCCCACCCTCCAGCTATAGCTCTGAAAAGAATGCGTTTCATGACGTGCTGACCGCGAAACACGCTGGTTGGGGCTGGTTGGCCCAAACCCAAGCCTCATCGTCACCCCACTCTATTTTTCTGTTTCTACTTCCCTGTTTCTACTTCCTTGTTTCTGTATGCTTATAAAACCTACAAAGAATCCAAGTAAAGCAGACCTTGACAACCCTTTGCTTGGTCTCGTTCCTTTCTCTCGCCCAGCTCTTTCAGGCACGGTCCCCCTTGACCCCACGAGTAACAGAAGGTCCCGTGGGCCGGGACAACCAACATGACGGGGCTGGAACTCAGAGATCTCTGGCCCCAGAGTCCAGACGGTTAACAGGGGACAGAGCACGGGCTGCAAACAGCTCGGGTTCCAAGGCGCCGTGTTTAAGACACACGTGTCCGTGTCCGCACACGAACAGCAAACGAAACGCACTCAGTTCCCGCGGCGGTCGTCTTGGGGAGGGAAGGGATGATTTTTGCTTTCTTCACCGTCACATCCGTGCTGTCCATGTTCTCTATGGGGAGCAGGCCCTGGTTCCATGAGCAGATAAAAGTGTCACTGATACTTGGCCGAGCACGGGGGCTGTTCGGGGCGGCGAACTGCTCTGCATGACACTGTCACCGTGGATACGTGGCATCACGCATTCGACCCACGGAATGTCCCCCACCGAGCGTGACCCCTGCTGTGCACCGTGGACCTGGGTGAGGACGACGTGTCAGTGTGGGCCCGTCCACGGCACCACGCGGGCCACTCCGGGGATGCCGGCCGTGGGACAGGCTGTCCCGCGCCAGGACAGGGAGTGCCTGGCCAATCTCTGCCTTCCCTTTATTTCGCTGGGAACCTAAAACAGCTCTCAGGAAAGTAAGGTCTGTTTTGCAAAAATGTTATCCAAAAACACGAAGTCAGGCCCGGGCGGGGAAGGCAGGAGGGAAGGGGAAGGACTGGGGTTCGGGGGGCTGCTCACACTCCACACCACCCCCAGGTCTGCGGAGCTCGTTTCCCAGGACGAAGGACGTGTCTTGGGTCCCCTGGAACGTGACTGGGAGGCACAGAGAGGCCCCGGCCAGCAGCACCGGTGGCTGCTGACGTCTGCCACTCAATCCCAACCGCCCCGTCACTGCCCCCACCGAGGGTTCGCTGCGATACCCAGCAGAAGTGAATGGGGCGTGAAAAAGCCTGTTCACTCTTTCCCCGGAGTTCTAACCCCTCCACTACGGCATGTGTGTGCTGTGGGCCTACTGTGTGCTCGGCTCTGGGGAAGGCAGCATGGGATGGCAGGCACCTGCTGGCACTGGGGCTCTTCTTCCCAGGGCACTAACACCCGGAGACAGATGGTCCTTAGCAAGAAAAGTTCCTGCCGTGTGCTTAAACCTTTTTGGTCAAGCATATCATGCTCTCCAAATC